AACCCGATAGTCTTCTTCTTATCATAGCATACCAACCAGCGAACACCCAGCCAAGTTTAGTTAGCCAGTTTGAGTATTCGTTACAGTTAATAAGTAAGTTAATATCTATAGAATCTAGTAGATAGAGTATCTATTTATAAGGCTTATTAAATTATTATTTAAGTAGAATAAACCCTTTCTAGATATTAGTTAGAGAATCTTCTTATACTTCTTATATAATTAAGGCTATTAAGTAGGTTCTAGCCCTACTCTAAGGTTCTTATTATAGATTAACTTCTTATTCTTAAACAAGGAGTTAAAGAAATTATTATTAGACACTAGAAGGTCTAGTATAGCGTTTAGATAAATAGTTTAAGAGAGAGAGAAAGAGAAGATAATAAGAACAATTAATAATAAAAAGAGAGAATTAAAGCTTAATTAAATAAATAAATAGTCCTAGCTATTATTATTATTATTATTTAATAATATTCTAAAGTTTATTAAAGGAGTAGTAGTTAAAACTCTGATAAATAGACTTATATATTATAAGTTATAGTTCCGAATAGTTATTATATTTACTAGATTTATAAAATAAATATTTATTCGTTTTTTATAAAGAAATCATAGATAGTAAGATCCTACTAAAGTATATACTAAAATTACAAATCTTAATTACTACGACCTTGTATTATTACGCTTAATTTAGTAAACTTTGCGTAACGTTCGCAAATCTTGGTACCAGGCTACGTGTTTTGCTCGGCCCGGTGGGCACGTCCCCGGGGCTCTTGAAAAGACCTCCGTACCGTGTAGGAGATAGGACACCGCTACCATATACATAGAGTGCAACAAACGACTGCTCATATATATATGGCAGATATTCCCATAAACTACTTAAGTATATTCTGCCAACCTAATTCCATTACCTTTTGATCCCTGCATTTGAATGCGGGTTTGTAAGATGGAAGGGCAAGAGGAGCCATGCTGCAATGAAATGATGCAATTCTATTGAGCCTATACATTTTTGGCGTTAAGTGTTACTTCTCAGCCCAGATTGTCATTTATGTATATAACCAGGTTCAGATGGAGTTTTACACTGAGAGCGCCACGCGGCGACATTTTTTAGTTTCATGATTGCGTATCAAAGTACTTCAAAAGGGCACTGCTAACTTCAAAATATCAACCCTAACGAAAACTGTATCTCAAACGGGCCCTTTCCCCATTGGAATGCTCTTCTCAACATTCTCCTCCACTTCTCATTCTCATTCTCACATGTAAAGAACTTGTTTTATCTTTCGGTGGTTCTAAAACACTTCTTTCTCAAGTCATTTTCATTTACGCTCTAGTACTATAATCTCAGTCTTGCTAGTCTGCCTAAGAGCCTTTCTTTTCTATCTAAGTCAGCCAAGCGGATGATAATACAGTACATGTATGCGATTCGTTAATCTCCATTTTCCAGCTCGTCGTTCGTCCGATACATTGTTAAGAATCTGTCCGTCAAACACCAAGGCTCTCCCTTAACAAACCCCTTTGGAGCCAGAGGATAGCTAGTGAATACAATAACTTGTATTTACTAGGAATCGATTCAATCGCCTGTGAGAGCTTGGGCTCCAACTGGTATAAATATGGGCACTCACGTGGCACTTGAAAATAGCTGAGGTCACCATTAGAACAAACAAAAATCATATCCAACTGACCCTATTATATAGCATCCTGAGTTTACACTTATGTTGTGCTGGGTCTACTTTCTCTTTTGCTCCACTTCCTTATTTGATCCACTTATAGTTCTGCTGCCTAAATGCTTCATGTCTGCCTAAACCTTACACTCTTTATATAAACACCTTAGACAGCTACCTTTTACAATGCAATCAATTCTCCATGACCTTCAGTACCAAATACCCTTTCAACCCAATAACTTATTAGGCTAATAACAGCTAAATCGCAAATGACACCTAACCTTAACCCCCCCACTTTTGATTCTGAAACTTGATTGTGAAAACAAAAACCATTAGGTGTGTTGGTAGTGCTTTAGTTGAGGAGGTGTAGAAGTGCATGTATTACTTTATGCCCCACAAAGACCTTTCAAAACGCAGCTGTTTATTAAGAGTCAAACCCCAATCAACGTAAATTAGTACTCCAACGGCTCATACTCCAAGGTCTTTGTAAAATGTTCTGGTAGAAATCGCCGAGAAAGTGCGGTTCGAACTTGGGTAATATTGGTATATCGTAGTTTCAAACTGCCTGGCTGCCAGACACCCAGGGTTTTCCGTATGGCCATACTTATAACTTGCATACTATAAAACAAGAACCGCCCAAGACTTTATAAACTAACTAGCGCACCCTCTCTGACGCTCTCCGAGCACCTATACTTGACGCTAGTTGGAAAAACTCTTCAATGTCTCCCTCGAGGACATCTTATACCACATCAAATTTCTTCTGCACTTCGATTGTTGAGAACTTGGTTAGATTCATCGCGACATATATTTCGTACATGATCCTACGTCAGAGTGAAGTGTTCATCGGGTCAGGATTCCGGCCGTCAGCGCGTGCTGCGGTTTTTAACTCGATTCTCGAGCGAACGTGTCGCCTCTTCATGGCTCAATGACCCATATTTACGGGAAAATATTGCTTCGCTTGTTCCCGAGGGGCAGACGATTATACAATGACTTCAGAGCCGTCTCTTAGCTATCTTTTGAGCTTAAAAGTTTAATTCTACTCATACTTCTCTGATGGAGTCAAGACGGCCACCAACTGTAATCGAAGCGGGAACTGCAAGTTGTGGCTGAAAACATGCCTTCACAGTGTACTGTGACAGACGATTACCGGTATATTATCCATCAGTTACAAAAATGACCAGTTCATGATACAGGAATGGGTGTGCAAAATAAAAAAATTGCCTTATAAGTTATGATGTACCCACACCAAGCCCATCTGATTAATTTTTTCGAAACCCGTAGGACAATAATGTTAGGACATATACTATTCGAAAACATCTCATTTGGAAAGTCGTTATTGAAACTGTTATACGTAGATAATCAAGACATATCGTATAAATTGATAAATCAAGCGTGTGTGTGGAATAAAATATACTGGAACATTATCAATTAGCGCATAGGTAGTGTTTCAAAATACTTTGGACGAACGACGGTAGGTTTTAGGTCTCACAGAATTCACCGTTGAGTCTTCGGTTGCCATGGCCTAGATCGTCGCAATCCTATAAAAGAAACAAGTGGCCAAAGTCAACGATTGATCAGGAGAATGAATAAAATAATCGCAGGTAGTAACACAAACCTACCCCAGTGGAGGCACCAGTATTATGGTATAGATTTCTGATCGGATAGCCGAGTAGAAGAATAGGCAGTGGCGAAAAAAGACTATTGAGAGGAGGCAAATTAGCAAAGTGGGAATTACCTTGTGGATTCCGCCAATAGAAAGTGCTTCGAAGGGACTTCAATTCCGCTTATTTGATAACCAACATATGCTTATATACAGGAACTGCGATTAAGTGGTCTCTAACTATAACCACAGTTAGCTCATGTTCGAAACGAACAGTTCCCCGAAAATCACGTACCACTCAATAATGGAGCCACGAAACCGGCTACAATTATATGTGAGGGTTAAATATGATATCCCCATCAAAGCCAGTAGTCGATTTACTTGCACGTCAGTCCTTGAAGATAAAGAGATGCTCACAACTTTCATGTGTCCAACTAGGAGGCACAACATAAGTGACTACACACCCTCACCAACCGATCAATTTTATACAAAACACCATCGCAAAATCTCACCTCACTCGCTAAGAATTCAAAAACCCCCAAACACGAAGGAACGGATGTAATGGTGTCCTGTAGTAATGTGGCGTAAATAGAAACACCATGAAGCTGAAACGAAACAACCCTTTGCGATCCCACGAAGTCATTGTTTGACGTCACTCACCTCACCGGAAGACACCTCGCGAGTCGCCAAATGCTCCTTCTATTTTGGGCGCACAATCAAGTAAAATCCCTCCTGTGCTGTTCTGTGGCAAACACAATAATGTTCGTGATAAGAGCTTCCACTAGAAAGCTTACCAGTTGAGATGGGATCGCGAGATCCCCAGAAGACCAACCATTGGGATCCTTACGATCGAACTTCTTACCAGCCCTATACAGATTGAGATACCCACAGCCCCAACCCCAACGTTCTCCATCCCATATACTTCGTATCATTTTATTCCGATGCGAGCAAGTCGTTGCGTTGGGTCGGCGCCGACCACCAGGGCAATAGTGGCACTCCCTTCCAAAGCACATGTTAGGATATGAGAGCCTGGAATTCCATCAGGATCATCACCTCGTAGCCACTCAGGGAGCAAAACACGCTGGGTGAAGAAATAAGCTTAATTGAAACGAGTGGAGACCTTTGCAGGGGTGGAAACACGGCTATCTGAGCGCCCTTTCACTTCGGGAAGTGGCAGAGCCGCCCGTGCATGAACGTGCTCTTGCCGCTTGGCTCGGATAGGGAGTGAAACCTCTGCTGCGAAAGTGGGAGCGAGGAACTTGAATAGGGGAGTGGGAATGCGAAAGAGAGGAAGATGGAAAGAGTGAAGGCTGTAAAGTAGATTAATACTGGTGAAGTTAAGAATCAGACTTTATTGCTCGCCACAGTAAATTAGAAGAGACCAAAAAATCGGTAAAGCAAGCGTTGGCGAATAGTATCGGTGGTCGAAAAGAGAAGATAAAGGCTCTATACTGGAGTATACATCCAGCAAAGGACATTCAATATGTATAGTGTACAAGAAGAGATGTATGTACAAAAAGGAAGGGAGAGACTACCCTTAAAGCAGTATCTGCAAATGAGTACTTATTAATGCAAACAACAGAAGAACGTGAAGGAGAATATAAGTTTTTTTTTGGTATCTTTTTAATACGAGGGGTCGAAGAAGAAAGAAGTACTGTACAATAAAATCGCTTGAGATGCCGATAACCAAAAAAAATATAGCAAAAGAAGGGCTTCTTCAACCACCTCTTTTTCATCCAAGAAACACCGGTCATCATCGAGTATCGAAACTTTGAGCCCATACATGACGTATATAAAATGCATGCAAAATAAATGGGTTGTTTTAAAGGGTTCATCGACCACTCACTCCATCAGAGATGAGTGTCGGAAAAAGAATAGAAAACTTCCATCAACACATCCTCCCAAGAATTCCCTAATATCCATCCTGCCACGCCAATCATCTTTTTCTCTGCCTAGAACAAATGGGATCCCCCTCTACTAAAAAGAAACCGCAATATTATTATACTACGCTCCCCTTCACGGCTCCCTGGATTGAGAAGAGAAGTGAAGAATCGAAGCTTTGGTAGTGTTTATCGCTAAAAGCAAATATGACCTCTTTGTAAAAAATGGGTTCTCCCATCTATGAGACCTGCATAAGCATAGGACCGGCGAGAGTGATCGCGTCGGTAAGACCGGTTGCCGGTGCAGCGCTGGCGAGGTTGACATATGTGAGACCAGCGAGGCCAGATGGGACAGTGCATGCACCATTTGCGAAGGTTGTAAAGGCAGTTCCACCTGGAAGGCCACCGTTGGTGAAGGCACAGTTGGTCGCTCCAGTTGCACTGGTGGCCAACTGAATGGTGGTTCCAGCAGCTGCTGGTGGGGCACCGGCCGCTGGAGCAGGGCCAGCCATGGTCAAGGCTGGAAATGGAGTGATGGCCAAGTTGGCACCTTGGGGGCAGGATTGAATGAAGCCAGCGGCGAGGGTGAAAACATTGCGAATACCGAGTGGGGTGTCAAACGCAGATGGGATGGCAACAGCCTTTGAGGCAACCCGGATAAAGGTTTGATGGCGAGACTCGACAGTAGCGATTTGAGCAGCGACACCAAGAATTGCTGGAGATTTGACGAGAGGAGCAGCACCAAGATATCTGTATTGTTTGTTAGTGCGGTGGAGGGGGTAAATATAAAAGTGATCACATACGCAGAAACACCAACGTTCTCAAGAATACTTGCGGTGGCAACCATCCCAGCAGCATCAGTAAATCCAAATTTGTACTGGCATACAGGTACTGGCTGCGTGCCTGTAGCAGCGATGGCACTGTTCAAGGTAGTGACGTGAGTAGCCTCAGTTCCTCCAATTGACTTCAAGTTGGCGATATCTGCTGGCTGAAGACCAAGAGCTGCGAATTTATCATCTGAGAACATGGCGAAGCCTTGCTGGTAGAAAGCTGTCTCGAGGTTTTCTAACGTCAACGCACTGTGTATTGATGGTTAGCGATAATCTGCCAATGGTGTCATGATCGATGGCCACATACAATTGAAGAACATCAACATCTGTCAAGTTATCAGGTAAACCGGTTGCGGGATTCTGTCTTCGCTGAATTGCCTCGTACTTCTTGAGCGTCCTCTCGCTGAGTCTTGGTTGTGCTGGGAGCGCATTTGTGAGGGCAACCATTCCAACTGCCATCGCACCCAAAACTTGTCTTAAACTAGGCATCTTGATGTAATATTGAACTCGGGATAGAGGTGATGTGGTATTGAAACTGTAACGTAATAATCGAAGTGGAACAGGTGTGTATTGACAAGACCAGCCTGAGCTATTACCACTAATGATGATGTTGATTAAAAGGTATATTAAATAAATGGAATTGCTGTCAAAGGAGTGGAAGTGAGTGAGTTCTTGGAAAGCAAACCAGCGCTTCAATGGGTATAATTAAGAAGTTCAACGCAAAGATTGTTGGCCGACCCAGATCTGGGAGGTGAGCTTATTAAAGACCCAGATGGTGGGGGAAAGGGGGGAATCTCGGGCCTTGGCAGTTCACGGGATGAAACTTGACCGGCGAGGCAAATCATGGACCAGCATCTTAGATTTTTAGTCTTCTGTAACCAGGCATCTCCGGGAGCCGAGCAAGGGGTTCGCGATTCGACTCGCTAACGTGCGGGGCGAGGGAGACACGAGGAGATGCAGAGGAGCCATGAGGAGCCATTTTCATAGGGGCTGGAAAAGTCTTGGTCAGGAACGCCTTCCATCCGAAAATCATACGGGTACGGGTACGGGTACCCTAAGCGCCATGCAATATCGATGCCAGCCACAGTGGTAATCTGGAAATTGGTTCCATCTCAGTGGTGCCATGCCATCTATGTATCTATCTGTACTCCGACTCCCTGTTCTACATGTGGAGGACGCTGTCTCAACCCCAGATTTCAGTAGTCTTACTCCATACTCGTACACACACACTACCCTAAGATCACTGCACCCGAGTGCTCGCTGTGTACTTACCGGTATGTAGGCCCGGTTGATCATTGCAGTATGCACATCTCTTCTCAAGGCCCAATACACCACCCATTTAGCGAGCATCCGGCCCAGCTAGCGAGCACACAGCTACCTCGCTAGCTGATTGATTGTACGAGTACAGGTCGGGACCTGCCTGCAATCGCTCCAAACGAAACCTCGCGAACCTTCAACCCGGTGTTTGTATCGAGTGGCGAGGTGGTGGTTGAGGCTCAACGTCCATCAACAGTGTTTGATATGTCATAGGCCATCATCCACCCACAAACCACACGTCAAATCCGCTTCCTATGTGTTAAACTTCCGATTGCGAGGATCCAATACACCTTCTCGTCATCCCACTCCAATAGGAGTTCCAATCAACCAGTGCAAGTGGTAATTCCAGCTCCAATTGTGGGTGTCACCGCTCCCTACAACCTCCTTTAGGCGACAACCTCCTTTAGGCGAAGTGATGAATCTGATGGCAAATACCAGGAAGCCCGATTGGAAGAAAAGAGATCTCAAAATGGGATCCAAACAAAACATTATGCAACGGGGTGTCCGTTGACAGACCGTCGTGACGCCCTCGCTGAGGCCAAACCGGAAATCGCAACGAGCCGTGAGTCGCCATGTAACAAAGTACAGAACCTGGCACACCCCCCAAGCGGCCTTCCAGAAAGCCATGATTGCACTCGTGAGAAAGGGCACCTAGCGTTCCCTGCATGATATCGATGTTGATGTCGTGGGAGATGTGGGGACGGCTCACTGGTTTGCGCTTGGCCATCAGGGGTTCTCTTGTTTTAAGCTTGTATCAGGGCCAGGGTCCCAAGAGAGACAAAACCACCTCTGCATCCGTGACAACACCACTGTGAATAAGATCCCGACTAGTCCCCAGTCGATCGTCACGGCAAATTGACGTCGCGTGCATCCTTCACGGAAGTTTGCCCAACCGCTGCCAGCGAGCGTGCTTGATATCGCACCGGTTCTCATTGTGATCATTTCGATGCTTGTAAATCCACCCTATCCTTGCCATCTCCATGAACACTTGGATTAAGAGCACACATATATCCCAGCTGTCGCTCGCAAGAAATCCTTTCGCTCCGTAGACATTTCCGTCAATAATGTCTGCTCACTCGTACGGTACAGTGGATGGGTGGAGGTTATTTGGATAAGCTTTGATCCAAATTCAGCAGAGATGTGTCAGCAACCTTAAAAACCTCGACAACCACAGAGTTCACTTGAAAAAAGCATCTTCTCAACCTCAATACGAGCGGCAAGTGATGGAATGGTCTGACATTCAACTATAGAAAAACCTCGATTTGAAGCCGGATCTAGACCATGTCCTAGACATGACTACGATCTTCGCCACAACAACTACTCTATGAATACTGGTAGAAACAATTCCAAACATACGTCTCAGCAGCCAAGTTGATAACCATCGTGGCCTCTGCAACAAGTGGTTCCGCCAAGATGTAGAGCAGTGAACTAAGCAACAAGACACTTCGACTGCCGGAATACGTTGAGTAGTTCACCTATTTCATGTTCCTAAATCCTATTGGTCCTCATCATCGACTTTTCAGGTATCAACTTTTCCTCCAATGTCATGCTTGCTATGGTGACTATTTCAACAGTTTCAAAAGAAAAATGACCTTCACCAGTACACAAACGATTTGACGACATTAGCGAGGTAGACATAAATCTGTTTCCCCGCACATCCGGTTCGCAAAGAACCCGACATCCTTATCACTCCCGTTGCCGTGAAGATCATCAATGCACCCAGAAAAAGCATTACTAAACATGCCCATGCTTGACAGTAATATGCAACTAAAACCCTACAATGCATAAGGGTTCATACATCGGATGGTAAGACAACTGTGATTGGTTAGCAGGGGAGACCTCACAATGGACCAATCAACTTACGGAGGGCTTTTGGTAAGGTCAGTCTTCAAGATCACTGGAACACGGGTCATCTCCTTTACGTCCTGAATATATTCTCCGTTCTCCTCTCGGAGCGTGAACAATTTGAGATATTTCTCTTTGGGACTAAGCTTTGCCTCAGCAGGCTCAGCAACATGTACTTTGGAATCTGAACGAGTGCGATGGAGGTTACCAGCGCCAGCTGTAAGGGAGTTTTTGGTTGGAGAAGGAGGGACACTTTGCGTAGGGCGTTCCGCAAGCGACACGCCCGCAAGACTATCAGCAACATCAGAAGCGTCATCTTCGTCATCGAACAAGGCATCAATGTCATCTGTTGAGATGGTGCCAGTCTCCATTTGCTTGCGTTGAGCTTCCTCATGCTCCTTCTTTGCGCGCTCAGCAACAGCAGCTTGCTTTGCGGCAGCAGCGGCGTTAGTGGTTCGTTGAGAGAGACCTGGTCGTGGGCGCTCATCTTCAGGGACGTATGCTGACGAGGGCACACCCTTCTCCCAATAAAGCTCCAGAATTCGCTCGTTCTTTCGGAACTCTGCCTTTTTCAATGGTAGTTGATCACAGTGCACACGCTTCTCGAATCCATACTCGGGTATGAGAACATCGAAAGCGGAGTCGTACACGCAGATGACAATGCCCTCGCTGATCAGTTCGCCACCAACCTCCTCGCGCTTTCTGTCCATAATTCGGCAGGATTCAATGTGCACACTCTGCTCTTGGGCATTTTGTGAAGAATCTTTCTTGGTATTGCAAGACTCGGTGGTCTTCACCAAAGTTTCGATATCTTCATTATACTCGATCTTGCCCTCGGAAAGAACAGCCTCAAGTTGACGATGAACGACAAGGTCTGCATAGCGACGGGATGGATTTGTGAAATGAGTATACACAGGAAGGTTCAATGCATAATGTGGGTGGAGGTGTGCAGGAGTTTTGCCAGCAATATAGTATTTTGCTCGTTGCATGGTCTTCACAACCAGAGTTTCCATTCCCTTCCGGAGGTTTGTGTCGTCGACCTTGAACAAACTGTTTTGGAGTGATCCACTGCTCGTTGTATCCATTTCGTAGCCAATTTTGTTCATTCGGTCGGCGAAGGTTTGCAGTCTTCGTGGATTTGGAGGACCTTGGCGACGGAGCAGTGCCTTTTCTGGTAATCCCTTGGCAATTTTTTGGGCAACATAAGTGTTGGCCTTGTGGAGCAATTCTTCTATCAGTTCATGGGATGGAGTCGAGTCGAAAATGTTCTGCTCAACCGGGACATTCTCATCGTCCAATTGGTAAATGAGTCGCAGAGGTGCAATAGTCTCACCGTCAGTTCCAAGACGTTGCTCACGGAACTTTTGCGCGACAACCTATCAGTGATTAGTAAAGCACCAAAGATAACACGTGTGGAGCTTACATGAAGAATCTGAATGTCCTTAATCTCAGCGCCCACAAGCTTGACATCAGAATGACCCGAGAGAACGGCATCAACGTCCTTGTAGGTCAACTTTCCACCACTCTTGATGATTGATTTTCCAATCCAAGTGTGCTCTTCAGCAACAACACCTGTGTGTGAATCTACCTTGAAAACGACACTGACGGTAAGTCGCTCTTCACCAGGAGTCAATGAGCAAATCTCCGAAGCAATCTTGGGTGGAAGCATAGCGCAAGATCTGTTCACAAGATACACGGCTGTGCCTCGCTTCTTGGCCTCGCGGTCAACCAAAGAGTTTGCTTTGATAAAGTGAGCAAAATCAGCAATGTGAATACCAATCTCGATCTTTCCATCCACATCAGTCTTGACATGAATAGCATCGTCTAGCTCATTAGCTCCATTGGGATCGATCGTAAAGGTCTTCTCATCACGGAAGTCTCGACGGGCCTTGATGGCAGCTTCATCTTCCTTAGCAATAGACCACTCATCAAGACCGACGCTGCGAGTGACAGCATCGGAAAATTCGTCCGATGCAAAGTTGTTATCTCTAAGCAAAGCATCCGTCTCGACCTTGAGTTCGCCCATCTTTCCAAGTTGTTCGACAAGAGTACCGAAAGGATGCAAAGACGTGATTGGCCATCTTTTGATACATGCAACAAAAATTCTATCGGCATAGTCCATGTGCTTCTCGACAAAGTCACGAGGAGCTTGCTCTGTTGGGATGGCAATAAGGGGCACGCGTTTACTAAAGCTTTCGTTAGCAAGACTAAAGATTTGCCGCTGCGAGGGAGTGGAAATCATGGGGTTCGGTGCAGAAGCTCGAGTCGTCCAGAGTTAGCCGACCCGAAATTCTAAGTGACCAAGCTGAAATAGGTCCAAGGCTGCTGTGCCCGCCTGTCCTCGAAACCCATTCGTTGAAAAACGATGGGTTCGTGAAACAAGCATAAAATTCATTGATCAAACCATCTGGATTAGTGGGTTTGGCAGCAAGCACGAATATCAGAGAATCAACGAATATAGAGAAAACTTACTCAGTTGGCTTGAACCAAACAATCTTCGGCTTATCTTGTTGTCGTTGCTCATGTTGTCGTCCGTTGCCTCCATCTCTTGCTTGACGCTCAGCCTCTTGCTTTTCCTTGGTGGCTTGACTACTTGGACGGAGCAAGCCAAGAGTGCCAGAGAACATCTGGCCAGCAACACGCTCAATAACCGCAACAATGTGACCAGCATAAAGGGGCTTCTGCTCATCGTTGACTTCTTCCTCTTCCACCAGAAGAAGACTCTGACCTTCGACTTCAACATCATCGTTCTTCTTTTGAGTAGGTCGTTGTCTCAAACTTCCACGTCGGCGCATACCACCGCCTTCAGGAGCAGCTGGCTTGTCACCATTGGTGGAGTTGTCCCGGTGAGAAGTATCGGCATTTCCATTGGATGATCCACCTCGTGGGTCCGTGACGTCTTTGCGCTTCTTCTTTTCTTCTTTCTCGCGCTTTTGACCCCAAACTTCATCTACATCAAGCAGTTCAACAGCAACAAGATCACCCTCCAAAGCACGATTTCGGTCCTTGCTACCGCAAATGAAGATATCCGCGTCGAGAAGACCATCTTGTGTCGAAACGTATGCATCACTTCTGTTTTTCTTGTTGACACGGAGAATACCAGATACCAGCTGTCCGTCGCCAAGGAGTGCAGGGAGGGTAGCTTGAGGGAGGTATGGCGTGAACAATGTCTTGCGCTGTTGCTGTTGCTGATTGCCAAGTTGTGGACCATGTTGGCCTGGCATGCCGTGTCCATTCATTTGAGCTGCCTGAAGAGCTTGCAATTGACCCATTTGAAGAGGGTTCAATTGCTGTCCGGGGTAAAGCGGTTGCTGGACAAGGGCCATTTGACCTTGTGGCAATTGAACAAGCTGGGGTTGTTGGCCATATTGCTGGAATTGACCAATATTGTTGACAGATTGGTTCATAGAGCCACGAGTGCGATGTCCTGGTTGGAAGCCACCCTGAGGTTGCTGCTGTCCTTGGAAATTACCAATGGCGGCTTGGGGATCCTGTGGACCTTGGGCTCCAGCTGGTTGATTTCTCCAGTTGCCTTCAAAGTTCCGAGAAGAGTTTCGTGCATGACCGCCACCGCGTTGCTTTTGGAAATCATTGCCCTGTCCGCTCGCGCCAGCGTCTGCGGTTGCTTGCATAGGAGGGAATTGGAAGGACCCGCCCCCTCGCATGGCTCCACCACCGCGCGCTGCGCCGACTGCCATACTTTGACTTCTACCATGACCTCCTCTACCACCACGCGCACTTGGAGCTGTTGACAGATGGTTTCCGGTAGCTTGAGTCAGGCCAGCCTTCTCCTCTCCAGCTGGACTGTCCGTTCCCTCGCTAGGAGCGGCGCCGCCGGCTCCAGGGATAGGAAATTGGAATCCAGATGTGGTTCGTTTTTGTTGTGCAAGCTCTGCTGCTTTCTTCGCTTCGGGCAAAGCCAAGGAGTGACGACGTTGATGTCCACCGCCTGAAGGAGCGCCCCCACGTCCTCCACGAGCGGCATTGTTTTCTCTGTTCTGTCCTGCAAACTCTCCAAAACCGGTGCCGGCAGCGCCAGAGGAGGGAGCAGGTGGAGGGCCCATACCCATGTTTGGAAGAGCCGATTGATTACGGCGATGTGATAAGGGTTGTGTTGGAGCACCCATGGGTGCATTCATCTGCTGTTGCTGCATCTGATTTTGAAACTGGTAGCCTTGTTGTGGAGGCATGTTCTGCATTTGTGGTTGGAGCGGGTTGTAACCGGGAGCCAGATGCTGCGATGGAGGAATCATCCCCATGTTGACATATTGCTGGTGGGTAGCTTGAATCTGCTGCTGTTGTTGTTGAAGAAGTTCAATTTGTTGCTGTATTGCAAGCTGCTCCACTACAAGTGACTATGGTTAGCATTGGCTCTATCATGGGTCCTTTCTTAACATGGCCGTTGATGATGACAACAATGTGAATGGTGTTGTGTTCACTTACTGCCAGGCGACGAGAACATGCTCATCAATGGTGTCAGCTCCGACGGACTTCTTCTATGGGCAATATGAAGTCGTCGACCTGTCGGGCCTGGCACACCACCTTGCGGTGGTGGCGGGGGTTGTTGGGTGTTTTGTTGTTGGTGGTCCATGGTTGATGACGGAGGTGCACGTCAAGTGCGAGTAGCTTGCGTGGTTTTAGCAATTCAAATGATGGTATTGTCAGATCAAATGAGGGCGAAGGGAGGGTACGAATCTGGTGAAGAAGTTTGTGGTAGAGAAGTAGTGAAGGGGGGGAAGGAGTGCTTCTCGAGGATTCGAGGCTGTGGGACGCGCCGGATGGATTGATGGAGGGGACAGTTGAGAGGAAGGTTGGGAGTGGAAGAGGGTGAGCTGGATAGTTGATGCCAAAAACTGGAGACAGGCGAAACTGGTACCAAGAGCGTCGTTGCTCTACGTTTTGGCGGCCTTGGCACCGCTAGCCTGGCTAGCCTGGCTCAGGTCAAAAGCGGCAGTCGGCGATCAATGCTGAGGCCTGAGGAAAGCTTCCTGAATCCTGCCGGGCTACAGAGGGTGGAGGGTAGAGGGTGGAGGGGAGAGGGTGGTCAGCGGGTCAGCGATACTCGGTACATCGATACGACTATCGGCAGTCCTAGCTTCTGGCTCGTGTGTGTGCTGGGCGGTTCAATATCAAGAGTCCGTACGCTGGTGATGTCATCCGAGCAATGGTGTTGGTGGTTCGTGGTTCGAGGTGTAGAGGCGAATTTATATCTTCATTCACACGACTACTCGTACCTACTCGTAGGTAGGACACACAACACCATTCCACGATGTGTTGAACACCCGACGACTGATGCCGCTTTGATCTGAAGCTAGAAAGTCCGGCAGCGCCCTGGCTAGCGCCACTTGGCATGCTTACACGTGAATACAAGAAGAAACGTCTCCGATACTCCGTACCTAAAAAAAAGTTTAAAATACCCGCGGACAAGAAGGAAAAGTCTTCGGTCGATTTGATTGACGTTGGGATTGCTGAATGTGATGATACTACCTGTTAGGTATGCATGATGTATCGGTAGTTGGGCACAGGCGACATGGAGGAAGTATCTCTTGATGTCTACCGAGGTATGTAAATTTACTTGGAGTATGAAAGATATCTCGAGAGACAACAAATGTCATGTCGAGTTTGGAGATATACTAATCAACTAGCACCTGCGAGTGTGAGGCATTCGACTACTCATGGCTTCATAGGGCACTTTTCAGCTTTATGCTTGAATTGTTTGACCTTAGGGTTAGGGCTGAAAAAAGGCGTACTACTGGGTACCCGAGGGCTACTCGTGTATACGTTGAGCTAAAAGTGGCACAATGTACATGAAACCCTTGTTTCTTGCTACTTTTGGGAAAGGGCTATATCAAGGTGTATACCTCACCGGCAAGATTATGGTTAACTTCTCCCTCTCGATTCGAGTATCAATAGAGGGACCCTCAATAAGACGTACCCGTGGACTCGTAGCCCTAGTACTCCGTACAGTAGCAGTCGAGGGTACGAGAGTACTCATACAAGGGTACCTTGGTACCTTTTGCCGAGGCTCTGCCGGGGACAGCGGTACAAAGCTCCGCGGCTTTCAGGTTGGTTGAAAGCTCCAGCAGCCAGCAGCCAGCTGCAGCTCCACCTGGTGAAAGCAAAGTTGACACTGTCAAAGCAATCACCTTTCATCCTCCACCACTACCACTACCACCACCACCACCAAAACACCAGAACAACCCTCTCCTCTATTTTGTGTCCGAGTCCTCCCACCCCCAATGTGCTCAAGGAAAAATGGGCGACTCACTTCCTCGCAATGATGACCCAGCATCATTGCTGGGAAGGAGTTTCCTCGGCCTCGACACGTTTGAATACAGAAACAGCGAACAAGTACATCGCGATGCGCTCGCGGCCGCCCAAGCAGAACATGCTCGTGTCCGAGAGGTCGCGGTCCGCGCCTACGAACTACATGAGGCTCGTCTGGCTCAGGTTGAGCTCTACCAGCGATCCTTGCAGGAAGAAGAACGGGTGAGGATTGAGACGGCTCGCGCTGAAGCTGAGGTCCGTCTACGAGAGATTGAGAATGCCGCGAAAAGGATACCAATACCACCTCCTCGTCTGCCGACTCCTCCTCCGCCTCCTCCTCCAGTGCCTCGAGAATCAGAGCCAGCGGCGGTCGTTGCAACTCCACCGCCCGCCAATACGAGCCAACAACAGAGCCAAATTGAACAGCAGCCAGTCTCGACTACACCGTCAATCCTCCAACCGCCTACTCAACTTCAGCCTGCAAGGTCCCCATTTGTACAGGCTCAAGCGCGCACGACGCAGCCTCAGAATCTGTTTCAACCACCAGCTCAATCCAAAACTGCCCAAGCTGCACCTCCATTTCAGCAGAATACACAATCCCAAGCTCTCCCGAATGTATCGCAACAGCAGCAGCCGATTCAGAAGCCGATCCAGCAACCCGAGGCGCTCAAGCCTGTGGTGAAGCAGTCTTCGCACCATCTTCTTTGGACTCCAGAGCGTTACTTGGAGATTTTCCAGAATTTGAAGAAGTTGCGTAAATATATCAGGGAAGATTCGGCATCTAAACCCACGAAAGAGCTCAAGAACCAGGCCGGGAACTTGAAGAGATCCATTGTAGCTTCCCTTGGAAAATTGACACTTGACGTGAAACTGAACAATGGGCCTGTATGTACTAGAAGCCCCATTTATAAAGCTGGCTAATAAAGTATATAGAAAGAGACCATAATGAACGCTTTGAGACAAGCCCGAGATGGTGGTGTTCCCAGTATTCAGGTGGATCCTAGCCTATATATGATATCGAAACCAGAGCCCACTGAGGGTGCTAGAAATAATGGCGAGACGATGCCAGCGTTATTTCTTTACCTCCTCAACATACTCGCAAAGGGAATTGTGAAGCAACTCATCAACGAAGCTGGACCTGCGCCAAAAGCGGCTGAGAAGATTGGGTTCCTAACCGTCGCGATTTTCTCCCAGTCGGAATTCCTGTGGAGGGGACATACCATGATTGATATTCTGATGGCCAAAATGCGAGTTAGCTGCCCCGTATTATTTGGGTTCCGGGGACTGGAGACAACCATTGAAGGGCGTGCTGTAGTTGGATGGAAAAGGGACAAAGAGGGAAACAAAAGTTTTGTCGCTGCACAAGTCCACAGTGATAGAATGACGGGACTTGGTGCTGGATACGCCTCAATATGTTTACGAGACTTCTCAAAATCCGCCGTCACGAGTCCATGGAAACCATGGCATTATTGGCAAACCCTGGCGACCATCACCAGCACCCCACCCGAAGAAGCTTGTTCGACCCAATTTACGGTCCTGAAGGCCATGATCGAGTTTTCGGAACAGAAATTTCTCAAGTTCTACGGAAGCGCGGGCGTCGCAGCATTACGGGTTGCATTGGTGGATTTTCCGGAGAATGCTACGCAGAAGGGCGCAGCCAACATGTCGTTGGCGGTCTTGGCGGATAAATTACTGAAGGATACGGGATTGCGATTAAGACAGTGACAACAATTACCAAAAGAGGAATGAATGGTGTACTAGTACCCTCCACAATAGAAGCCGGCTTGGAGTTTTAGGGGAATTGGAAAAGGAGTTTTTGAAGGGACATGGGATTGAGCTTGTGGGTTGTTTTTCAAGATTTCTACCTTTGTGCTTGTTTGTTTCTGAATTGACGGTTCCTCGCATAGACATGTTGTTGTCTACAGAAAGAGAGAGAGAGAGAGTTGAAAAGATCGTCCTTTTTGACTAGTTGAATAATGAAGTACCTGATTTTCGCGAGAGATATGGTCGTTTCTTATAGGTGATGACACCTTCCAAGGTTCTTCCCCGATACAGGGATTACCTGGCCTGGATGGAAGGGACTAGGCTAGGGGACTCGGGGAGAGAATATGATACCCCATATGCATCGCAAAGAGCTTGACTTCAGTCTTGGGGTGTTCATTGCACAACCAAGGGTTCCCTCCCGTGTTGTGTGTTACCTGACGTCGCAGGTTCGCAGGAATATATATCTTAATGCATACGACGGGATTTTCCTCCACCCCCACTTGTTTGTTGCCGGTGGTGCCTGTGCCGTTTTATGTCGCTTTGTTGTTGTGGTGGTTCGTCGGATTTTAAATTGAAACCCTTTTTTGGTAGGTTTATGGTGGACTGGTAAGTACTGGGTACTGGTAGGGGAGGGGAGGTGGTTAAGCTTGAACCCTTTTTTGGGAGTTTAATTACCGTATGTTACTTTGGAGTAGGAGTCGTCTACCCCAGTGGGTAAGGGTCCGTGTACCGTTGACTGTTGATGGAGTAATTACTCAACTCGCGATCCCTAGTGCAACACCCGAAGCCAAGTTTTCGCCGGTAGAAATTGGAAGCACTTCGACTATTGAATTGACGACTACGACTGTGGAAAAGGGATGTATAGAAATAAACGGAAATGGTTGAGAAGCAAATAGACTACTGATGCTTAAAGCTATACTGTCAAATGCTGCCTTCTATATAGTAGTAGAATACTCGTCTATCTACTAGCCTGCCCGGCCTTTCTTTATCTGTCCCTGTCGCTTTACGTAAAGGAAAGGACGAACTAGCTATTACTACTATTACAGAGATTTCCGTACTTACCTCGAGGAGATGGAGAGCCGGGAGGTAACTAGGGGGTATAGGTATAAGAAATAGGGACTTGTGCGTGGGAAGATAAATAGGGGAGAAGGGGCAGGAATATATAGGCGCTACTCTCTGTTGGGCATACTTGGTAGTCAACTTAAAAGGGGTAGTAAAAGTATATCCCAGAAATCAGGAATACCCACTTACCTAACGGGAGATACATAAAACATCGAAGTACTTCATACATACACACTGTCCGTTACTAGCACCCCAAGTAACACAAACACCAGAAGACAAGTTCAACATTTTGGGAGCTTGAGTAGGTACGACTCCCCTTGTTCAGGTATCCAGGTAACCGAATCACTTGGGTCAGTAATACAGGAAAACCTTCTCACTTACTTACACACACTCACACCCGACTGACTCCCTTAAAGAACCGATTCACAAACTCAAGTTACCCCCTGCCAACATTCTCGGCACATTATCACATAAAGAGTTTCCATTTCTAAAACCCTCGGCTAATCCCCTACACAACACAACGCAATACTACATGATACAACAAACAACACACCAAAATGAAACCCCAAAATCACCCATCAACCTCCATCAACCTTCCAAAACCTTTGAGCATATCGCCTCTCCTCTTTGCCACCATAAACAAGCAAACCATCTTCGTGCCAAAATGCCAAAAAAGGGAACACTCATAAAATCGACACCATCTCTTCACTCTTCAGACACTACCACCATCAGCAAGAGCAATCCCAATCTTCACAACCTTAACCGCTGAATGCGTAACAGCTTGACTCTGACTAGCTTTACCAATGTTCTCAGTAGAATTCACGAACCTCAATTCCAACACCTTGAGCCTCTCAACTACCCCACCTGTAGCCGTAGCAGCCCCATATTGATCAATCGTCGCCGTCGAAGATTCCGAACTCGATATCGTGCTCGTACTTACAACATCCTCGTATGTAGGCGTAGTCAACAAGCTTCTTCCAGTATCCCCACCATCCATCATGACTTCTCTGAGAACAGACATGACAGGAGGTATCGGGTTCTCCTTCTCCTCCCCCTTCGAGTCTTCTCCCGTCGATTCCTCTGCATTCTTTGCGTCCGCACCAAAGCCACCGACCAACTCTTTCCCTCCAGATCCCCCAAAGCCTCCACCTCTGCCAGGAACAAGCCCCGAAAAGAAATCGAAGACCGCATTTATCGGGCTTTTTGCAACAGAACTTCTCTCCTCTGTCCCTTCCTCTTCTGAATCCTCGGTCGCTGGATTTTCCTGGGGTGTTAAGGAATATTCTGGCATGGAAGCTAGCTCTGTCTCTCCAGGCACGAGACCTGCCAATAGAAGATTGAGGGCCTTGAGGAACGGATTCTTTTGCTCGACCGAAGATTCGATTGGTACTTGTTCCTGGGATGAAGGGTCGGTCGATATTTGCTCCTGAGGAGTTTGAGTGGCCACCTCCGGTAAAGAACTAGATGTGAGAGTTGACGAACCTTTCGTCATGGCACTGGTTCTGAACGTTGAGAAAGTACCATTTACCATGGATGTTTGTGGGACGAATAAAGCGACTGTATCGTTTGTGGGTTTTGGCACTTTGAGAAGAGTGGAGGTGGTGCAGTGTTTGTACCGAGTATCGGCGTCGTCTGCTTTGATGATATCTGCTGCCTAGGTACCGTGTTAGCAATTGGGTTCTCAAGACTTGCCACAATGAAAAGATTCAATACCTTTTCGCTTACGGCATAAACGCTCGCCTGAAGGTGAGCAGCGGGCACGAGGGGGAAGATGCCAGCATCTACAATTCGAAGATTTCGTGTTCCATATACCCGAAGATGAGAGTCAACTACCCCGCCATACTCGAGAGGCAACATTGAAGTTGTTCCCGTGCCGTGGAATTCAGTCCGAATCCCACTTAGAATTGCTGGTATCAACGATTCCACCGTGGCATTTTGTAGAAAAGGATAGTAAGGGACGGATTCAAGTTCACGCATTGAGCTGGTTATATAAGGTTAGCTTTGTGTTATCGCAAAGGCAGGTTACAATATTGTTAAGCAAGTTTGTGCTCTCACCGAGTATTCAGCAAGCGATTATTAAACAATAATGCCTCTGCCAATATTTGGCAATCAAGAGGGTTCGAGCAGTAGCGAGGATCAATCAAGGGTTGCGTTAATGGATTCTGGGACTGGATATGAACGCTTCCTCTGGAGAATGTGTGCATTGCAGCAACAGAAAGAAGACCAATATTGTCACTCAAGATTTCGTATGCTCCAACATCTCTTCGGCTAAGAAGTTTGGTAAGTACTTTTTTCTGCTCTTTGTAACCAGCTACAATAGTTGAGTCGAGATGTGGAAGCAAATGCTTGCTTGCATGTTGGCTTGAAGCATCAGCAATCATACTGGTCCAATTTTTTGATGATGACGGTAGAGATGGGAAGGCAACGGTATTGATGGCACCAGCTGTCCATGGTCCTAAACAGAACTTAGTTGATATTACAAGTTGCGAAAAATCCATTTGACTCACCCGTCTTATTGACGTAATACTGTCGCTCCGCCTGTGCTAACAATCCAGGATTGTGGTAAATCATATCAAGAGTAAGATACAAGGGATTAGAAACTGCGACAATCAGCCCGAAATCACCAGAGAGATTGTACATTCTTACCATAATACACTACACCGACATATGGATGGTCTTGAAAGTTGTTCCCTACCCCTGGAAGATGAAGTTGGACTGGGATACCGTATTTGCTGAGAACTTCGGAATCCCCAATACCGGAAAGCTCAAGGATTTGAGGGGTATGTACAGCACCAGCAGCAAGGATGACCTCTTTCGAGGCCGTGACATTGAATACCGATAAAGTTCCATCTGGGACAAACTGCATCGCATTAGTGAGTTCATTTGAGGGTTGATACAACGACTTACTTCAACACCTTTGATTAAAAGACCGTCGGGAGACCTGGTAGCAGAATTTGTTTTATCCATCAGTAAGCGATAGACATGCTTCCCTGTGGCGACGTGAAAGTTGGGACGGGAGTCGATAAAACCATCAAAATAGCCAAGTCGAGCATCTGACCGAGTCTGATTATCCGGAGAAATGCTGTTTGGAATCAACATTGCACCCGAGGCTGTACCATTATTTGGATCTGTCAGAATGGGTATACCCATCTCTTCGAGTCCTTTGAGTACAAGCGCTGTTGTTTTGTTAAGTCCCTGCAAATGAGCCTGCAAAGGATAGGTACGTACTTGACTGGTTGTAAAAGTACCGAGGATAACTGACATGAATATATCCATCCGTACCATGGGTCCCGGGGTCGGGTTTTATATAAAGTTCTCGGCTGGATTCTGCATCAACGTTGTCGCTATAGTTCTCAGACTGTCCATAAATCAGCCTCAGAACTCAAGGTAAACCAGAAGTAGTGCAATAATTGCCTTCTTGAAGTAAGGCAGCAGATCATTCCAACCCCAACCAGGATTCCCGAGAGCCTCCCAGGCATCAAAGTCAGCACTTCCACCCCGAGTCCAGCACATTCCATTGATCAAACTTCCACCTCCAACACCTCGACCCATATCGTATGGACGAGGGTGGCCGTCAAGAAACTTCTGAGGAGCGGTGAAAAGGTTCCAGTCATATTTCGTGCCAAGTCCATGACCATCCTCGATGGGATTTAAGATTGTTTCCTCGTAGTTGTCACTAGAACCGTGTCAGACAGACGTTAAAATAGGCTTTCTTGTGGCACTTACAGGTTTCCAGCTTCCAGCAGCAAAACAGTCACTTCACAGATGATCAGCAAAAGTACTAAAAGGATTTATCGAAGCAAACAAACCATTTGGATCTTCAGTGAGACGATTTGCAACAACCAAACCAGAAATACCACCACCGACTACGATATAATCATAGCAGTCCAAGAAATCACCATCAACATCTCGGGCATTAAGACGGACGGAGGAGACAAGAGTAAAGTACAAGGAGCAAGCAAGCAAGACAAAAACACGAAGTTCCAACATCGTGAAGCGGGAGGGAAGCGAACGAGTGTGTGGCCAAAAGGAGCAGAGTGATGTTCGTTCCAGAATTTGTCAATCAAGGAGAATTGAGGGAGGGAGAGAGAGGGATTTTGAGATTGACATGATTGAATACTTCCCTGGGTTGCTACTTCCTTGAAGCTGCTACCTCGAAAGGAAGGAAAGAGCGAATAGTTGTTCCGCGGCTTGAGGTCACTCAAGTCTCGAAGAGCTTACCAACTCGCGATGGTCAATAAAGTGTCAGATAACAATTGCATTATTCATACTTTTTAGATTGTTGGCTTTTTTAAAAGGCTGAAATAATTATCAACCGAATGCCCTGACATAACCGAGACTATCATCTCAAACCTTGTAAGTAGCTACCTCAGCAGTCATCTCGAAGGGTAGCACAACGAGAGAAGTACTTGATAAGCTTTTTTTGCCCGTTGGAGCTAGCCCACACGTTGCATTGCAAACAGGTGCTCCTCACCAAATCGGTAAACAAGAATAATTCAATATAAAGCCTCCGAACCGCAATTTTATACGACAATAATCCTTGTTTCTTATCCAGCTGTTTCACTTCTTCAACCTCAGCTTATAGCATTTTGGGTAAAGCTCTTATGGACTGAGCTCGCAAGTATGACCCATATTCAACATTTGGGCGGAGTGCTGCTTGGAGAGATTTTGTGTCTCAAGTTCTGATTGATTGACCTTCTTTACACGACATCATGTTCATGCAGATGCAACTACGGTATAGTAGGTGCGTTTCACTGCATGGCCCGGCTCAGGTTGTACTGTACTTGAAGCCAAATTGGACTTCGTGTAATGAGGAGTGCGAAGGGAGGGACCAGAGTGAGTCATTTTTGGAGGGATGACATTTAGAACTCCTGTCAATGGGACACTGGCACTGCTAATCTCAATTCCTGCGCTGAGAATCGGTGGCGAGAAAAACAATGCAGACGCCTACTATGGACGTTGCTACCACGGAAAGTACCTGGGATTTTCATTAGCTCGATGAATCAAACAAACACGGCAGCAACGACTGAGCCTCCAACTTCCCAACGGTGCCAACATCCACTAAATTCTTTGGAAACTCACCGTCTGCGTCTTCCAGCCCGTCTGCACAATGGCGGCTCTCCTCGAATATTTGTTCACCGTCTTCATATAATTGCCCAATCCCAGCACCAAACAACTAACACTCAAACACCAAAACACAATACCCAATGGCTTCGCCATTCTCATCTCGGCCTTTGTGGGTTGGCGTTTCAAGTGGAAGGAGACGACAATGGCCATGGCTACGACGGACATGTAGATGCTCAGACGCAGGTAGCTGAGAAAGGTGCGTTCATTTGCGCAATGATCGCGGGCATCGCTGTCGGTGTTATCGAAGAGAAGGGGACCGACGAGAGGGCGGAAGCAGAAGACTGAGGTGTCTCTTTTGCGGTGAGCGTGTCTGAAAGATACATATTAGGTACTTGATTGAGATAGTATGATGATGTGATGAGTAGATTAGAGGTGTCGTGTTTGAGAATAGATAGCTACTACGTTGCTATTGCGGGGAAGAGTGGGAGTGGGAAAGCTGGTCATGTATGTGCCATGTACTAGAATGGAGATATTTATGGAGTACGAGTATCGTGGTCGTAAGTATGAACTTACAGCGTGACGTCGATGGGGGTGGGATGAATGGGTAAACCCAAGGGCGAGTAGTCATTGGCTATCGGAGCTTCCTCCTCGTCTCCGTTCTGAACCATATTGATGGGAATGGGAATGGCAATGGGAATGGGAATGCTAGTGCAGATGGGAGAGTTGAAGTGACTTTTAAGTCAATTGACATCCGCAAGGCTAGTTAGATCTCTTGACCGAAAGTTAGACTTTCTCGTACAAGGAACCTTGTTAGGGAGTCTGATGACCCCATTCGCTTTGAAGCAATGAAGCGCGCGAGTGGTCTGCGTCGACCACCACATAAAAGTGGAACTTGGTGGGGCAAGATTGGAAAAGGCAGGGATGTGAATCTGGGTAAAGTTGCCTCCTCCGGAGCTGTGGCGGGACCAGAGAGACGTGATTGGTGGGAGTAGCTAAAGCTTGGGAGGGAGGCAGGGATACTACTAACTCATGTTAGTAAATGCTTTCTGCCTGTCATCTTCATGCTCTTATCACCAACTGCATTTCCAACATTTTATTTCTCTTTCTCTTTCTGTCTCAAGGAATCGAGTAGGATTCTTTGTTCTTGGTGTTGGGAGAAATAGCCGTATCGGTATAGGTAGACTCAGAGAGCTGGCTATACCTTTTACTTCCTTCCTGCTCTTTTCAATTGGCGTTGGCGAGGGTAGCGAATCACAAAAATTTCAGACATAAGCCGCAGCAACGGAGCATAAAAACCTCAAAATCCTCGCTGTGGCGGCGTCATTTTATTCTTTTGAAAAAAACAGATCTGAGAACATCTCACCATGTCAACACCAGCAAAGAATATTGGAGTACCATCTCCCCGCAACAATTCCAGAGGACGCTCTCCCTTCAGAAACTCTTTTGTGGCCAGCTCTCCACTCGTACAGGCCTCGATTGAACGGGATCTTGCTGAATGCTCCGACAGCGAGGTCGAGCCACTAGAACACAATGACGAGACCGATTCTGAAAATGAAACTTCCGAGACGTCTACAGTACGCCCTCATGATCACCAACACTCCATGGGAAGCTCGTACAGACGACCAAGTTTCGTGGCTTTTGGTGGTGCAAGACCTGCCATTGCACCCCATCCTGCCGAAACGACCTTCCTCACCAAAAGAGAGAGGAAGCAGTCGAGGAATGAGGAACGGAGTTTGTTGAGGGACAACCACCTTGCATCACCAAAACACCCCGTGGTACTAGAAGAACGTGCGGGCATTGCGAGTAGGATATACGGGCGCCTATTTAGCACCAAGAGAAGAATCGAAGAGGGCGATGCCGAGAATCCTCCCGATCCATCCTTTACCGCTGAGCCCTCAGAAACATCACTATTGCTACCAAACGGAATGGGAGAGACAAGTCGATCACAGCACGAGAGACTAAACAGACAATGGGAGTCGGCAGTGGCCGCTGGAAAGATCAAGACGACATGGCAACGTGAGGCTAAGGTCATCTTGGGTTACGCAGGTCCTCTCATAGTTACCTTCTTACTCCAATATTCTCTTACAGTTGCGAGTATCTTTACCGTGGGAAGGTTGGGTACCATAGAACTAGGAGCGGTGAGCTTGGCTAGTATGACGGCCAACATCACAGGTTATGCCATCTACCAAGGACTAGCAACTAGTTTGGATACTCTTTGCGCCCAGGCATATGGATCTGGAAGAAAACATCTTGTTGGTTTACAGTTACAACGAATGGTATATTTCCTCTGGCTTATCACCATACCCATAGCGATATTCTGGCTCGCTGCCGAAAAGCTCTTGGAGCAGATTGTCCCAGAAAAGGAATCCGCACAGCTTGCAGGGCTTTACTTGCGAGTTTTGGTACTGGGAGCTCCTGGATATGCTTTGTTCGAATCTGGAAAACGATATGTGCAATCTCAAGGTCTATTTTCTGCTACGACATATGTTCTCCTCATTGCAGCTCCTCTCAATGCATTTATGAATTGGTTATTTGTTTGGCATTTCGGCTGGGGATTTGTGGGGGCTCCAATTGCGGTTGCAGTCACAGATAACGTTCTTCCTCTATTACTATTTTTATATGTCATGTTCGTTGATGGACGTCAATGCTGGAATGGCTTCACCATGAAGGCTTTCCACAACTGGGGTTAGACCCTAAGCTGATTCCTTACGAAAACATCTTGCTAATACAAAACAGGTCCGATGATCAAGCTCGCTATTCCCGGTCTTCTCATGGTAGAGGCTGAATTTATAGCCTTTGAAATCCTCACTCTAGCATCGAGTTATTTCTCCACGTCTCATCTAGCCGCCCAGAGCGTTCTCTCAACTATAGCTGGAATAACCTTCCAAATCCCATTCCCGATGGCCATTGCTTCCTCAACTCGAGTAGCAAATCTTATTGGCGCAACGCTTACAGATGCCGGAAAAACGAGTGCCAAAGTCGTAAGTCAATCCTCTCACTTCTCTTCCACCCTCTTTTATCACAACCACTCGCACCCTCACCCTACACAAAAACAAGAACAAACTCTAACACCAAAACCAGGCCTTCGTAATAGCCTCAATAATCGGCCTCTTCAACGTCATCCTCCTCTCCTCCCTACGGAACCACCTTCCCCAACTCTTCACCGACGACCCCCTAGTAATCTCCCTCGTAGCCCAGGTCCTACCCATCTGCGCAGCCTTCCAGCTCTTCGATGCCCTCGCTGCCAACGCCTCCGGCCTTCTACGCGGTCTGGGACGCCAGGAGATAGGCGGGTACACGAATCTATTCTGTTACTATGTTGTCGCTATGCCTATTAGTTTCGGCACGGCGTTTGGACTGGGATGGGAGTTGGAGGGATTGTGGATTGGAGTGGCGCTTGCGTTGGGGTTGGTGGCGGGGATTGAGGCGTGGTTTTTGGCGAGGACGGATTGGGAGGATGCGGTGACCGAGGCGGGGAAGAGGAATGATATGGGGTAGGGTGGATTGTGATGTTTATGGGGGTTAGGAGAAAGGGTTTGGATTTAGAAGGGTGGGTAGGTGGTAGGTGGTGGGGTGATGGATATTATGATTAATGAATGCGTGATTTGATGATTTGATGACATGGATATATATTATATACATAGAAAATAAAAGTAGAAAATGAAAGGAAGAAAGAATCAGAAATTCGTAAATGAACTTACCTCGCTACCTTTACTGGTTTCTACCTACTAATTCACCTCGCTTAATAACTCCTTTCCTACTCCCCTCCAAAGTAACCTAAGAAGAGCGGAACTTTTCCATACGACCCTATTAACCCCCTAATACATACATATAAGGAAATAAAACCCATCATTCGCTGCTGTAGCTAGTATGTACAACCAACTCACCAAGCCAATTTTTATAACCCGAGATTTAGTACCCTCTCGACTTCCTTTCTGAAATCTAGTTTTCTAAGGCAGAAGAAGAAACGAAATAAATATATTACTACTTGTTACCCCGGTTATTACCACTGCGTTAGTAAATTTGACAAAGTACGTCGCTAACGCTAACGGAGGGGGTCGGTAAGAAATTACTCATCACATTTTGGAATTTGGAGGGATCTCAGAATCTCGCTTAATTTTATTACGTGGTTGTAGCGAGAGAATGAGAATGGGGACGAGGATATACCTTTGATATAATACTTAGGTCTTTTATTCCCGTGGTATCCTAAGAAGGGTCTTGGTAATTTTGGGAGTTCTATGTCTCATTTAAAAGTCTATGTATATTCTTCTTTATATACCTCGTACATTCTCGTTTTCTCATCTTCTATCTTCCTGTCTTTTAATTCCTTAGTCAACCATCAAGATTCTTCAAATTTCGAAATCCTGTATACACTGTATATTAGCGATAACACGGCTTTCCTGGTTTGGGGTCAAGGGATGTGTTTGAATTTTGGTTGATATGCAAGTACTGTACAGTTGTATCAAGATGGAAGGATGCTACACATTCATATCTCCTAGTCCTTTTCGATGGGATTTGATGGGATTTGGATTAGATCATTGCCGGAAGTTATAGTATCTTACTGATGTCGTGGAGGGATGAGGTGTGCGGAGAGCGGGCCCACAACTTAAAGCTTCCGTTTCTTCCACGTCTAGTTCTTGGGTGCTGGAAGCAATATTAATACTATAAGATCTCACAGTCGCTCAAAACATCCAAAACACCACACCAAAAAAAAAGAAGGGGAAAAAAAGACAAGGTTAGCATTATACTGTAGTACCCACCCGAACAACGAAACGAAATCACAGCAAGAACCAAGACAAAACATCTCATTCATTAGACATTTCATTCCCTACACACCTCTACTATAGCCCCGCGACTGTTGCGGCTGGAATTATACAGGAATACCCACTGTCAGTACTGTACTGTAATGTCCCATCATCCCATCTATTTAAGTCCCAACTCCAATTGTCCCCGATCCCCATCGCCAATCGCCTTCCCACAACCCCAGTATCAACGCCATCCACACTCCCCCCCCCAATCCAATCCTTTGCAAAGACAAAAAGACAAACAGCAAAACACCAAACGCAGGAAAAACGAGACAAAAGCAAGGAAAACAGACAAGTAATTATAATACCAATCAACCACACAAAACTCCTCCCCTTTTTCCCACAGTACTCCTTCCTTTCCCCCTAAATTCATGAGTCACATATTCACTTTCTCAATCCTCATCCTTCTTGATTGCTCGACTCTTCACCAACTCCTCCGGATGAATATCCCCATGCATCTTCACGCGGTAAAGACAAGTATAAGGAATGTTATCTCCCCAATTATCCTTAGCCCTTACCACCAACCGATTGACCGGCGCTGAGAAATCCTTCAGATTTATCTGGGGCGTGAAGGATTGGCTCATTGTACCATTGGCATCATAAGTCCAAGAAGCGATTTTGACGTAGTGAAACTCATGTTTGGGTGTCAAGTCTTTTCCATCATCGAAATGGTGGTTGGAGACCTTGATCACCTTATCGTAGGCATCAAAATCTTCAATATAGGCAAGTAGCTCCATGTTTTTGGGTGTCGCTCCGGGAGCAATAGATGCCGCTGGAGCGATATGCTCAACAATTATCTGATCCGGATAGAAGTGGTGGGAAGAAATAACTCCAATGGTTGGTCCATACCCCTTGGCGTCCTTCGAAGGGGAACACCAGCAATCTCCATGTTCCTCCCATCTCTCCAGTGCTGCAGTAGGGGGGTTGGGCGCTGGCACTGGGTTGTTGATCGCTCGACGGAAATGTTTCGAGAACCATCCTCTATCCATGAATGGGAAGACATAATTTGGCGATGTCATCTGACCGTCAACAACAGCTCCAGTCCCACGAGACCAGTGGTTGATACGATTCATGCCATTATTGATATTACCTCTCAAGAGATGTTCAGCCAGGGCTTGCAATTGATCATTGACCAACAAGGCGGAGATTCCATCAGAAACGAGCTCTCTCGTTCGAGTTTCCGAAACACCACCACCACGATTATTCTGCAACTTCTGGAGTTCTTTTTCAGCCTTTTCTAATTTAGCGGCAAGTTTTTTGAGTTCTGGGCCCATGGATGGTTGCTGCTCCTTGTAGCTTTGACGAATCATGTCGATTATGTTCTTTTTGGGAACCATTCTATTTTCTTCAAAATATTTTGGATGTTGCTTCTTCAGCTCGGGGTCTGCGCTCTGTATAGAGGAGATCTGCTTGGCGTTATCACTGACGAACTTGTCCCATATTGGAGCGGACCTCTTTCCAGATGAACCGAGTCCGGTGCTCGCTGGGCCGGATGAATCAACCGCGCGAGTTTTATCGTTAATAGCGGCCCAAAGCTCATTGGGCACCGTGGTGCGTCCATCTTCACCTATTGTGACTGCAACATATTCTGGGAGATCTGCAAATGCTGCATCAACGAGCTTTTCATTTTGTGGTGCCGCGAAATCATAATCTTTGGATACTCCTGAAGGCAAGTATTTTGAGAACCCGTCTTTGGATACTCCTGAAGGCAAGTACTTTGAGAACCCGTCTTTGGATACTCCTGAAGGCAAGTATTTTGAGAACCCGTCTTTGATGCTTGGGATTGGATTCAAATTCGATACACGGTCGGCAACGTTCCAATTGTAAGGCTCAGACTGACCAGGCACGGAGGATGACGAGGGCGACAAGATCCTCGATCCTACCCCTTTCATCGCACGATACATTCCATAAAGGATGGAAAACATGATGATAAAATAGATGATGCCCATGAGTGCCGTCAGAATATAAGCACAGACGTCTTTGATAAAGCCAGCAGGAAGTTGCTCCCAGAGCCAGTTTCCACCCCTTATGATCAGCAATTTGTAGAGGGCTTCAACACCCCGAAAACCTGCAGCGATGCTTGACCACAGACCGCCTAAAGTTTTCCAAAAGATCCAGACGATAGATGCATAAGTCTTGTCAATTGCGGATCGAACAGATGAACCAATGGTAAAGAAGATGGTAGAGATGAACTCCCTGACATTGAGATACATCCATTCGAAGAAGCCCAGAACATATTCATACATTGTCTCTCCATCATCATCCTGGTTTCGTGGACTCCCCGATTTAGTGGGAGAACCTCTCGGTGATCCTCGGACGCTTGCACCGCTACCCCGACGGGACCCTCGAGTTGTAGATAACGCGGGTTCATCGCTGCCTTTTTCAGTTCCTCGACGGGATCCTCGGTCGGTAGTCGGGTCAATTGCTTCGCTGCCTCGACGGGATCCTCGAGTGGTGGTGAACACGGGTTCATCGCTGACCCTTTCACTCCCTCGGCGGGACCCTCGAGTGCTAGTAAAGACGGTTTCATCACTGCCTCTTTCAGTTCCTCGACGCGAACCTCGATCTGTAGAGGATTCAACTGCTTCGCTGCCTCGACGAGACCCTCGAGTAGTAGAAACTACGGGCTCATCGCTGACCCTTTCACTCCCTCGGCGGGACCCTCGAGTGCTAGTAAAGACGGTTTCATCACTGCCTCTTTCGGTTCCTCGACGCGAACCTCGGTCTGTAGGGGCTTCAACTACTTCGCTGCCTCGACGTGATCCTCGGGTTGGAGGAGATACCCTTGTCGTACCAGACGACCCGGTTCGAGACGATGCTCTGATCGGGGGATCTTGGGATTTGGGAGGCGAAGGCGTTTTCCCTCTTGTTGTGTCTCGAGGGGAGATTCTGGTTGGGGGCGATGGATTCTTCGATGAGACCCTAGGTGACTGTCGCACTGGTGTAACCTCCTCTACCGGCTCTTCTTCTGACTCGTCTGTCCCAGATCCTTCATCGCCACTACTTGGCGTTACCACGGACGAGTCGTCAAAACCGGCTCCTCTATTGATGGAGGATTCGTCGCCATAATTTCGATTTGGGTCAGGCGCATATGTGATACTTGCCGTTCCAACTAACCATTATATCAACATTAGCATAGGCCGATTTGAAGAGCAGGAGCTCGAGACTTACCCCTCCCAGACTCTGGTCTTGCCCGTATTGGCTCTGGCTCCAGATTGCGAATCACATCTGTAAAAGAAGGTGTCGTCGTCGACGAGACCGGGCGTGGAAGTGGAGGGCTTGGGTCGCCATAGGAATTGGCGGTACGAATTTGGATTCCTGGATCAAGTCCTACATTTCTTCTCGTGTTTCGATTTGTTGTTGGAGGTACCGTCGGTCCCCTGTTGCCGGCATTGCGGCGAGAAATAGGAGGCATGTTGGCGGTGGTGGTTGCGTATGCGACAATGCGACCAAGCTAAGCTCCCGAGTTGATGATGATGATGGGTTTGGGGGTGCGGGTGCGGGTGCGGGTGCGGGTGCGAGTGCAGGTGGGGACAGACAGTGCGCGCGCGCATGCAATGCAATATGTGTTGTAGTTCTAAAAGATGTAATGAATCTTTTTGAAGCAGATGCAGCAGCAGTGAATTGGAATTGGATTGAATTGTATGGCCGCAACTCGACAAAGGTTCCGCAGCCGGGAAGCAGAAAGAGCATCAGCGCATCTTTGTTTGCTCGACAATGAGGAAAATACGCGATGCTTTCGGGTGAACGCGCCGAATCCAGCGATTCAGCCACCGTGGCTGGTGAACCCCGCCGTCTTCGTCGGGGAACCTTGTAATGCCCGTAGAGAGACTGTCTACGGGTACGAGTATCCGTAGACCCACACTCGAGAGGTAGGTACTCGCACTTGAGTAGGTATATACCACTCTCTACTAATCATCATACAAGAAAGACATTGGCTTGTTGAGTGTCTAACTTTTAGATTATAGAATGTCAATAAGTCTACAATTGACTGTTACTTTGCAAATACTCCGAGAATTCGGTTCTTGGAGTATTTCAAAGCATCACTCCTATAACCGAGGACGAGCTATAAATGAAGAGAATTGTTTCCAGAAGACTTGCCTTTTGCGTAACTCTTTGTGACAAGGTAAAGAATGCAAAGAGGCGCAGAAGTCTCACGAGGAGGCTTTCCAAGAGGCAGGTTCTCAATGTCGTTCTACCCTTAAAGTTACTGCTGGTGAATAGTTCTCTGCTTCTCAGGTTCTGTGTTGTGTTGCTAGATGAATCGAGTTCATCACCCTATATTTCTGATTCTTATAGTTGCTTTGGTTGTCCTGGTAGAGTACAAGGATTATTTTGAAGAACCACTATTGCTTTACCAATAGATACTCAGGACACTAAAACACCCTCACTTTACTTAATATCTTTTTCATGTACCTCTCCTTAATACCCTTTCATGTACTTGCTCTATTCATTGTCCCTCTTATGTACTCAAATCTCGGACTTGGCGGGAAAAAGCTGGTACTTCTTCAATGAAATCTTCAGGTTCATCCTTACTGTACGAGTAACTTGTCTTGTCTCAATGTGACGATAACGATAGCTAACCAACCAAGGCGGAAACCTAAAAACTGAAAATTACCCCTCCATCTGCTCTTGTACCACTCTCCCCTGCACAGCATTCCACAGCTGCATCTCTCAATTGCAGTTTCAAATATATATAAAAATAGCCAAAAAGTATCGCGAAGAAGCTCATTCATATCCCCGAAACCAATTTCCGTCATCATGCAGCTGCACCATTTCAGCTCCATTCAGGGCAGTCGAGTGATAGGCCCCCCATTTTCTTAGAGGGGGAAACTTGTGGACATCAGCCCGCAGCCGCAGCACCTAGTCTCACTACAGTACCCCACCAGTCCAAGATATAGGGACTTACATCCCACCTCAAATACCCGTCTACGCGGGCGTTCTACGGTCTACCTACGACCAACTTCTCTCCTCCACTCCTTCAACTTCTCCCACCAAACCCAGAATCATGGCACCCGTCGGAACGGTTCTCATTACCGGAGGCGCCGGTTATATTGGCAGCTTTACCAGTCTGGTCCTCCTCGAACATTGCTACGAAGTAATCGTCGTCGACAGTCTCTACAACGCAAGCGAAACTTCTCTGGATCGCATCCAGTTACTGTGCGGAAAGCGACCTATCTTCCACAAAGTCGATATCACAGACGAGGCAGCCTTGGACAAAGTCTTCACCGCGCATCCCAATATCGACAGCGTCATCCACTTCGCAGCCCTCAAGGTATCTAGGTTTTACTCTGCGCGTCGCTTGACATTTCCAAGCTGACATGACCAATTCAGGCCGTAGGCGAATCCTCTGAAATCCCACTGGAATACTATCGCGTCAATGTCGGAGGAACCATCACTCTTCTACGATGCATGACCAAGCACAATGTCCCAAACATTGTCTTCTCCTCCTCGGCCACCGTCTACGGCGACGCTAGCAAACACGAGGGCATGATTCCCATCCCAGAACACTGCCCAATTGGCCCAACAAATCCCTACGGACGAACCAAGAGCACAATAGAATTGGTCATCACTGATCACATAAATGCGCAACGCGACAACGCGAAAAAGGCCGGCAAACCATACGAGCAGTGGAATGGAGCTCTGTTGAGATACTTCAACCCTGCTGGTTCTCATCCAAGCGGCATTATGGGCGAGGATCCTTTGGGTGTACCATTTAACCTCTTGCCTCTCCTTGGCCAGGTTGCGACTGGCCAGCGCGAAAAGCTGTTTGTTTTTGGTGATGGTACGTAACTTTTACGCCCTAAGTTTAAAATATCCGCTAACAAGCGATAGACTACCCATCGAGGGATGGAACTGCTATTCGCGACTATATCCACGTCGCTGATTTGGCCAAAGGACACCTCGCTGCTCTTAACCACCTCCGAGAGAAGAACCCTGGAGTACGAGCCTGGAATTTGGGCTCTGGACGTGGATGTACCGTTTTCGAAATGATTAATGCGTTTACCAAAGTTGTTGGACATCCATTAAAGTACGATGTTGTTGGACGACGAGCAGGTGATGTGCTGGATTTGACCGCAAATCCAGCTCGCGCGAACGAGGAACTCAAATGGAAGACAGAGCTCACGCTTGAAGATGCATGCGAAGATTTATGGAGATGGGTTAGCAACAACCCACAAGGTTATCGACAAGAGCCACCAGCAGCGCTAGTGGAGGCTGTAAAGGCAGGAAAGAAATAGTTCTCTACATCGCGTGTTCCATAGCACTTTTGGGTAGATTGCATGCGCAAAGAAATAAAAAAAAGTTAGAAGAGCAGATGAGAGTCATATGACAGCTAGACTACAATTTATGGTTTCAAAAGCAACTTTCCAGTAGTCTTCCTGCTTTCAATATCCGTGTGAGCTCTCTGAATATCGGCAAGTGGGTACGTCTCGTGGATCTTGACATTCATCTTGTCCTTGAGGATGAAATCGAATAGTTCGCCGCAGTATTTCTCGTACTCCTCTCGAGTGGAGATGTAACCGAATAGTTGCGGTCTGAGTAACTTGAGACATTTCGGCGCTAATCTGGAGATCACGAAAGGAGGGACAGCCCCAGACTATAAGCTATTAGCACATCTCCAAATCCCAACCATCTCCATCACTTCCTCACACTTCCTTCCCCATCCCATCCCAAGCAATAGAGAAAAAAGAGAGAGAGAGAATCCACTAACCGAATTCCCAAAACTAACCAAACTCCCCTTCCTCGCCAACACCTCGAGATCATTCTCAAGCTGATCCTTCCCCGTACTATCAAAGACCGCTCTAACCCCCTCCCCCTTCGTAATCTCCTTAATCTTCCCCACGAAATCCGTTTCCGTCTTGTAATTCACCATGAACTCGGCGCCGTTGGCCGTCGCCTCGTCCATCTTGGCTTGTGTGGAGGAAGTCCCGATGGTATGGGCTCCGAGCGCTTTGAGCAGTTGGCAGAGCCATAACCCGACGCCGCCGGCTGCGGCGTGGACGAGGATGAAGTCGCCGGGCTGTACGGGGTGGGATTCGCGGATTAGGGTTAGGGCGGTTAGACCTTGGTGTTTTTATTAGGATTTGGATGTTGGTTTTGGGTTCTTTATGAATGTAGAGGTACTGTGATAGGAGAAAGGGAATAGATAATTACCTTGCAACAAAGCAGCAGCTCCAATACCAGCAGGTAATTCCTCAGGCAAGACATAGGCTTTTTCTACGGAGACAGCGCTGTATTCTGCGTAGGCGCCTGTGCCAAGCCAGACTACGCGGGAGCCTTCTTTGATGTTGTACTTGTTTCCGGAGCCGATGGAGATGACTGTTCCTTCTGCTTCGCGACCTAGGATCTCGGGTTTGGGGGCGGGGTAGAGACCAGTTCGGAAGTAGCTGTTTTTGTGCAAGAATTGTTAGATTATCCATTCAATTCCATTCAAATCTACCCAATTTTTTGAGCTGCATTAAGGGAGTGTAGCTTGTGTGAATTGCAAAGGGAAGGAATTGGCAAATAGCAAGAGAAAGAGAATATCTCAAAACTCACGTATCAATATAATTAACCCCAATAAACTCATTCCTCACCAGAATCTCACCCTCCTCTGGCGCGGGAACCGGTAGATCAGTCTTATACTGCAAAGCCTCCACCCCACCCGTCTTCTCGATCAACACACCTTTCATAACCTTGGGCAGCGGTGGCATGGCGAAGGTCCTGACGAAGGTCCGGATTGGGAATGTGGGGTAAATGAGGGGTCTCTGGAATTGAGTTTGGATGCGGTTGGGAGCTTGGGCGCGGAGTTTGGTGTGTGCTTGGAGTTTGCGGAGATGCGGGAGGGTTCTTGGGAGCATGTATGAGTAGGAGGATGAGGGGATTGAGATGTGAGATGTGAGGAGGGAGGGATGGGGTATAGGGCTTGTGAGGGGGTTGACAAATCGTGCGTGTTGATGTGGGGAGCTACCCTGGTGCTACCCACCCCGCCTTCATTCCTTCGGAGTTAAGGTGGTGGGTAAAGTTTATTCTGCGTTCACTAGTTGATTTTCTCGGCTGCAACGACATCACTGGAATATATGTTCTACATTTTTTTTAGAGAGAAAGGGATATCAATGGGGCACGTAGTATACTTTCGCGAGGAAAAGGGGTATCATTGTCTAGATAAGCAAGTACGTGTATGGTGCTCCTAGATATATTCTTCAAGACGACCCTACCTCGCTTAGCTCCTCACGAGTCTTGATTGTCTTTCATTTTCCGGGTTAGATGAGTCCTGTCGCTCTACTCTCGAACGATGCGATGCTTCCTGGTCGGAACGTTGTCGTTCTCGCTTGATTTCCAGCTACGCTGAGTAGGATGCGTATTCTCAGAGTAACTCATTGGTCTGGGCTGTCTTCCACACTGGCAACAACACCACATTCTTTGAGGGGGTCTTCGAGTTTTTCCTCATCCTCTTCCTCTTTCACACCCTTCTTCCCAAAATCCCCACCATCATCCTTCTCCTTTCGACGCTCCTTTCCACCATCCTCTCCACCTCCCTTCCCAATCTCCCCATCATCAACCAAATCAATCCTACCACATCTCAACCCCTCCACGTATCCCTCCGGATCTCGTCAATAGCGAGCCCACATAGAGTGCGCAGTCCTTCCATTCTTCTCCGCATTCACAGTCTTCAATTCCTCCCCTCTACCTCTCGCTTCCGACCGACGTCTACCAAACCATCGCGTAACCTGGAGCTTTTCCAATCCAGTGGCATGGACTAAGAGGATGGTCTCTCCGATTGTGGGGTTGCAGTCTCTGGCATAACTTTCCTTGAGCGCTTTTTCTTGGGGGGGTTTAAAGGGTCCGGTCATTTTGTTTGTTTTTTGACGTGCTCTTGGGTGTAGTGAGTGATCAGTTTCGTGTTTGGGCGTTGTTGGGGTAGAGTGTTGAGATTTGGGAAGTCGGTGATTCGATTGTGTATTGGGATTTCTGTGGATTTTGCGCTCTTGTTTAAAGAAGAGGTTAAACACAGTCACGGTCGGTGCATACCACACGACCAGCAGGCGCTAGTATGGCTAGGTATGCAATCATCTAGTGAATTTTCCTTAACTGTTATTAGCTAACATGCTTCACCTTATTGAACTCACAGGCATCTTAACAGAATTTCAGAGAAATGGATAAGCTAAGAGCTATAGAACATAGCTTCAGACGTCTTCTTATGCTAGAATGTTGTTTGCTTTCTTATTTATAATTGGATATGTCTTTCAGATTCTAGATTAACCTATCTGTTCTAGCTAGGACTATCTACAACTTAAAGTAGCTCATATATAGTAAGATTACTACATAGAAAATGACAGCAGGTATATAAGATAGTTAGGTAGAACTCTAGAAACACCTCTCTTAAAATAATGTTATCCTAGGAGCCTCGTATAACAAAGATAATTATATAAAGAGCTTAGAATAGCTATTAACTCTTACTTCTTATTAGCCTAGGTATCCTAAGACAAATATTCTATTTGTCCTAGAAGTTTAGCATACCTAAAATAGTTATATAGAGAGCTTAGAATAACTGTTATTCTTACTTCTTATTAGCCCAGGTATTCTAAGATAGATATTCTATTTGTACTAGAAGTTTAAATTAATAACTTTTTATATAGTGTATATAGAGTAATAACCAGGTATTTTAATCTTAATATTGTGAACGTAGGAAATGCAAAGTCAGGGCTTTCCTTAATACTTAGACAGCTAATCTATTTTTAGTCTCAGGAGAAAAAAGTTCCAACTTCGCTACGTTCCATTATCTCCACCAATTATAGTAATCCCCATATACCAGCTTCCAAACCCTCATCAAAAACACAATGTACTGATCCATGTGCCCATGATATCTGTTCATGCCCATACAATAACTATCCAAGCTCTTAACGTACAGGTTACGTTCTGCTGGCGTTTTGTAGTCTGGTCTAGGAATACTAGGCCCTGGCCCTCCATTCACAGGACTAACTACTCCATGCTCCAAGCATACGACGTACGAAACACCGTCATTTCTGTATTTGTTCCACATAAAAACGACAGCTTGACTGTCCATTTGGGGGCCATTGGCAGAGTTAAGGACGCCTCCGTTGTTGGTGGTCTTGTGTCGTTGTTGGCGGAACCAAGTTTGGACTTGTCGCCTGGTCAAGTTGGATTTGTGGACTAGGAGTATGAGCTCGCCGGTTGTTGGGTACGGGTCCTTGTTGAAGCTGTCTTGAAGGAGTTGGAGCTGCTCGTCAGTCTTCTTGGTTATTCTAGGTGTGCCTTCAAGTGACGATGTTAGTTTTGTTCTGCAGGGAATCAAAGGAAGATAAGCGAATACCTGTCTCATCCGCCAAACGCTGTGCGAAGTATCTGTTCGGTTGTTAGTTAGTGATTTTGGATTATTGATATTAGGATACTACTTACATTCCAACAATCTGGACTGTGACTGGAGGACCCATCTCAGAGATGCGTTCTGCGATCTTGCGACTCTGTGACTTTGGTGGGCGCGGTCGGTGTTCTTTGACTGTGTACTCATCCCAATAGAACTTAAGACACTCTTGCTGCTCTGGCGTAAAAATGGGGGGCTCAGAGGAAGATGAACTCATGTCGTCTTCTGATTGCGACATGATTTATCTTTGCCGTTATTCTAGGTATAGACAGGTCGGCGGCGCTGGTGTTGTGTTTTGCGCAAACAGAACTTAAGTGCAAATTGTGTTTGCTTAATTCTTTTGTGGTGGACAGCTGGCAACGGCAAGTCCGAAAACCCTACACAACTTTCCGATGGCTTATGGTTAGGATTAGGGTCATGGTTTTTAGAGTGTACATAGTAAGTGAAAGTTGATCCAAGAAATCCTGGTTCCTTTCGCGATTTCGTGTTTACTTTTAGCCGAATTCTAACTCCTTGGGCCAACCATCGCTGTTCGTCTCTTCTCACTATATTCACTTCCCGCTAATATAGCCGCAATTCAACCGACCACACACAAAAGAACTCCTTATATTTAGCAATAAGCATCCAAACTTCAACCTAAAAAGAATCGGTGGCTCAGCGGTCGGATCGACGACAATCTTATGCTAACATTACAATAGTCAACTTTGCACTCCATGTAACTTCTGGTCGCCAATAGATGGGCGGCCAAGGAGCAAGATTCATGTATAAGGATTTATTCGCCACCAAAGAGAAAGATACACAAGGAACAAACACAGAAAATAACTTCACGACACCAGCTGGCCCAATAGATGGGGTCAGCTTGGCGGACTGAGGCAGCGGGCTCTACAGCCTGTGAGGGAAGAAGCACGCTACAGGGGCCAATAGATGGGTCCCTGCGACTACTGATACTGCGGTTCGAACTGTGCAAGTATTGGGAGTTTGTCTGAGAAAAGCCAAAAAAACATAGAAAAACTCATAAAACAACAAAGACAAGATGTGGCATAACGGCCAAGTGACGGTATAGAGGCCTGTAAGTACTACCCTCCCCTTCCCTCCTCTCCTACCGCAGAGCACCGATTCAGATTCTTTTATTATTATTTTAGAGCTACCCTCTTAGGGAAGGAGGAGGGAGTAGTATATAGTCTAAACAAGCGGTGAGGTACCGCTCGCTTAGAACTGGATTATCGTTAGCTACGATAAGAATTATAGTAATCCTACGGGCTATATCGCGAACACTCTATACGTGGAAATGTTTCGAAGGTGTTCGAAAGAGGGGCTTCGCAGCGAGTATTAATTTAATAAACTAAATTCGGTCGAGATATTGTCTGCACGTAGCCCTTCGCGCCTTCGCTTGTAACCGAGAATGTCGGTGGCCAGTCGTTTACGATGGTGCGGGTCGCCCTACGAGTCGCCCATCGAAAGACTTTAGCGAACACCCCTACACAGCCAAATGTACAGATGTATAAATATAAAGAAGGTTTCCAGTCTTCGCTCTTTTCTGAACATCTATCATCACGTGCCATTCCACACAGTAAGCTCCTGGAAACCTTGGCAACCATACCACGAAGAAATCCACTAATCTTCCACTTGCTAGCCACGTCAAAGTCACCCCCAACAACAAAATGCAATTCAACCTCGCAATCGGCGCAGTGCTCTCCACAACCTTGCTGGGGGCAGCCCACGGAATAACCCTCGGGACAAACCTCAACTTTACCGCTCTCCACACCGATGCTACAAGCTTCAAAGTTCGTTGTCAAGCCGGGCTCAGCGACACCAATATCTGTCAAGACTAGTTTTGTGCTTGTTCGGGAAACACCATTTTCTGCTTGTCGGGAACGACCTGCTTACGTACTTGTATTTGTAACTAAGCTGTTTTCATCAAAGTATTTCTTCCCTGGTGGCTTCAAGTTTAATTCAGTGCTGATGTATTACAGTGAAAGGGGATGGCGATGTGGTTTAGTACGAAGATCTTTACTTTGTATGGTTCTTCTGTCCGGACTTTGAAGGGGCGGAAGGGGAAGGAGGGAGGTGGTATCTCGTTAAGCGGATGATTCGTGGCGGTGTTTACTGGACTTCGTGGATTTACACTCCTTTTACTTGATGTACTCTTTCAACAAGATACGTTCAGTCAAGCGTATTGCTCGTGATAGTAATACAGTCGTCTGTGACACAAACCTGTCTCATCACAATTTTCTCCTGCTTTCTAAACCTGTGAAATCTACTCCCCGTGTCGTACCTACAAACATTATACCATCTAAAGATTGACCAGATGTTGCTTACTGTAAACAGAGCCTTGTTTGTATAGGTCAAACTAGGAAATGAAAGACATTTACATGGCTAATATTCCGATTTTACAGGTACTTGAAACATACCAAAAGCTACGAGGATTTGACCCTGTAGCATGATTCCCTTCAGATATAACCACAGATCCCAAGATCGTTCCAGGTACAGACAAGTAAACACTCAACAAAACTTCTTACTCTCTCTTCTCTACCCCGCTCTCTACAACAACCACTTCACTAATCAAGACCCTTGGCCCAACATATCCCTTCCCCTTAACCACCCACCACCCCCCACTAGCAAGCGTCACCGCCCCGGCAATCAACGAGGAGTAATTCATATTAACAGCCGTCACAGGCATACTATAAGGAAAACAAAAAATCACCACAAAAACAGCAATATAAACACAAGAAACGCTATTAACCACATACCCCATCCTCCTCCCCATCTGAAACGGTCCCGGCGTCATACTATTCACAAAATCTCGCTGGTCCGTACTAGCCTTGTCAAAGCGTTTCGTGAGGATGAAAGGTAGGATGGCGGCGAGATAGGAGAGCGTAGATAGGACGACGAAAGAGCCGACGAAGGCATTAAATGCCGTGGTCGAAGCGACGTATATCGCGCCCAGGATCGTGGAGAAGATGCCACAGAGAATGGTTGCGTTGAAGGGGTTCTTGAAGCGCGGGGAGATTTGTCCGAGGGTGGAGGAGAAGGGGATGGCTTCGTCGCGGGCGAGGGTCCAGACTCCGCGGCCAGCTGTGATGAATGTTCCGGTGCAGCAACATATGAGAGGGAGGAGGATTACGAAGAGAAGACCTATTGTGCCTGCGTGGGAGCCGGTTGCTTGGATATATATCTGCATTAGAGGGAAGTAAGGGGATGAGAGGACGGCGTCGAGATCTTTGGTTGCGTAGAGAATGGCGATTAAGTATAAGAATGCGGCGAAGAAACCGATGATCATCTGTGCTGCCATTGCGAGGGGGACGTTGCGTTTTGGATTTGGGATCTCTTCTGCGAGGTGGGCACAGCAATCGGGGGTTCCGATCGAGTACGCTCCATTGAGCATGCCAGCTAGGAATACGAAGCCGTTGCTGCTGTATCCAGTTTGATTTGCCCAGTCTTTCCAGACGAATGAAGAAGTGGCGTATCCAGCGCCTGTTTGATGAGGCAGGATAGCACAGGCGAGTATTGTAATCAGTAGCCCGCCGAGACAGAACAAGATTCCCACATTGCTGATCATGGGGAGTGCTCTATTGGCGAAGAGAACAATAAAGCAGGAAATCCAAGAGATGGTTACTTGGCCAACGAATACATGCCACCTTTCTGGTACATACTCGGGTCTTGAAAGTCCATACATTGCAATTGCAATCTGGGCGCAGATACTTGTCAATGAAGCTACAAAATATTAGCATGGTCGATTCGAAGAAGGTGCTTCATTTACCAGTGCCACAAATCCATGCAAAAGTATTCCACCACCCAGCAAACCAGCCAATAACCCGTCCGTACTTGGGACCGGGAGTAATTGAAGCCCAATGAAAAACGCCAGCCGAATTAGGCATCGACGAAGCAAGTTCCTTCAAATCTCCGTCAATACCACGAATACCATTCCTTTCAGACCAACACTTACAGCAAGAGAAGCAGCAATCAACCAATAAAAGAGCGACACAGCAATAAACTCATAAAGCACACCCGGAGGACCTCCATTGCTACCTCCACTTAGCATTCATTCCAACGATTTGGGAATTGGCTGACTTGCTAGATGGCGACAGCAATCGTACCACCAATAGCAGCCCAAGTATTCCCCGTAACAATTCCGACGGAACAAATCGATAGAAGGGAGAAGTTCCGTTCTAACTGTTGAATGTGTCCTGTTTCATTGATTTCCAGATACGGTGGACTAATTGGTCCCCTTGTCGTTGTCGCCTCTTTCTCCAAGTCTACCTGTGTCATTTTCTGGGTTGACGTTGAAGCCATCTTGTGATCGTGAGGTTTTAGTACCCAAATAGTAGTGTCGAGCTACACCAATTTTCGTGCTAACTCTACTTCGTTCCAATCTTCGGTCTATGAAGGACCCCTCTGTTGACTATGGAAAGATTAGGGTAGCCGATCTGCAAGGTGGGGGAGGGTAGCCAGCGTCGTAATTGTAACCTCAATATTACTCGGCATCAGCTCTGTGCTTTGATAGCAAAGTTCGTTGTTTGAATATTTATTTACGTAAATCACTGAAAATATGTTATACTCGGTACATTGAAAGGTTTGTAAAGCTGTGAAATAAATGCAAGATATGGAGCTGATAAGAAATGCATGTTAATCCGTAGGGGCTCCGGTTTAGGGAGCTACCTTCCACCTTCTACCCCTTGAACTTACATGTATACGGGCATTCTGATGCTGCTGCTACATCAGCCAAATTGCTGACTGCCCTCGATTCTCCCCACTGACTAACAAGCTTTATAATTTTTATCAATTATACCTGAGTAATAGGCATATACTGACCGGTAAGTGTCTACTCGGTGTCTCGATCAGGTGATAAAAAGCAATTAAAACAATCACTCACCTGCTTCATCATACACATCTGCAAAATGGGTACGGAGGTATGCACTGAATTGGCTAACCTATTCCAGACTCATGTGAGCCTAGATCTGAAAATAAAACAGCAGCAACATCTCTCCCAAATGCATAAATTCCCATTCCATAATAGTACATAATGTTGCTAGCAAATTGCAGCCCCTGTGCAGCCTAATGCTGCGAAACTTCCAATCCTTCTAAATGCGAGCTTTTTGAGCAAGGCCATTATCCTCTGCTACTCGTCGAATGGAAATGGAACCCCACATCCTGTGTCGAAATCCGTCAAAAAATTGCAATGCAAACCTTTTTTAGCAACTCAATCGATTCATCGAACAAATCCCAACTCCTGCATATAATCAATCATGGCATGGTGCCGACCACCGGGTTCGGTTCATACTTTATGAGATCCTGGGATACTCCCCGTAGCGATCCCTCCAATTCTACTCACAGTTTTCTCGTATCCCCGAAGGTTCTGCTTCGTAATTCGTATATGTCTTTAAGCTTGGTAGCTCTCCATTACTGCCTTTTAGAGACAGCTGGATTCAAGGGTCGTCGGGAGACATTTTTTCGTGTTCGTTTTAGGCAAATTCCCATCGTGATGAAAATTTTGTTGTGTCAACCGATGAGACCATCAAAGCAGCTTGCGCATAATACACCTGCGATCAGGATCCACACCAGCACTCTGTGCCTCCTCCTTGAGTATTTCGGAATATTGCTTCTTCATCGCTCGGGGGCTCACTTCTTTGAACCCCAGTTTTTGGTACCACTAATTTGGAAAGGGTTAGCACGAAATCTATGCGAGCGAGAGGCAAACAGAGGCAAAACAACCATGTGGCAAAAGAAGTGTGGGCTGGATGGAATTCTTACAGGACCATTCCAAGGAACATCTTTAAAGGTTGTAAGAGTGATGAATTTGTATCCTTCGCTCTGGACTTGTTCCATCATGGTCTGCATCAAAGCTTTTCCAATTCCCCGTCCTTGAAAGTCTCGTGCGACCGAGATCTCCGTGATGTGAAAGTTTCCGTGCATGCTCTCGCCTCCCAAGAAACCAATTGGCTGATCCCAATCATTGACGGCTATCCAGAGGTGATTTGAGCGTGTCATGACGGCGAGAGTATGAATGTCGAGTGTTGGTCTATCTGCGAGGGTGTCCAAGTCGACGGTTCGGAAAACTTCTGCGGCAGACCTTTCGACGCGATCCAAGAGAGGGATATCTGAAGATCTTGCACTGCGAATCCCGAAACGGGGTATCTCGTCGTGAAAGTCCATGCTCTCTGATTGTTGAACATAAGCAGCGGCCAACGCAAGGATGCTCAGCGCGGATGCCATCTTGAGGGGCACGAGGGGTTGTGCAGAGATGAAAATGTGGGTAAAAGCTTTGATGGAGAAGGATTTCTTGAGGTTGCAGAGTTGGAATGGGTGGCAGTGGCGGAATTGAGGCGATTCCAACAATGGGTATAGGTATTGGTAGTTTGCAGTTTGTTGTTTGGTAAGAGTGAGAGTGAGAGTGAGAGTGAGTGAGTGAGAGTTTAGAGGGAGAAAAGCGGAAGCAAATGGATGGCAGGAAAAAGTCAGTAAATGGTCTTGCCGAGCTTGCGGCCTGCCCTTGGAGCCTGGCTCGCCTGGCCATGGCCCTGGTACATCCTTACACATTACATACCGGGTATTTGTACATGTACCAGTAATTGTACTTCCAGCATATTTTGGATAAAACTCGGCCAAAAATGCTGCATGCATTTAAGCTTAATTGTCACCGGCGAATCAGCTCTCAACGCTGCATCCTCTACCTGGGGCCAGGCTGACGTCAACAGCTTGGAAGCTTCCATATCATCCAAGCATTGCCTCGTACCTGAGTCGGTATACATAGGTACCTCGTACTTGGTGGTACCGTAGACAAGAAGAAGACGGCAACATCTTCGGGGTCTTGTCTCGACCTGCAGTGTGACATCTACGCTTAAGCTGTATCCCAACGTTAACCGCCTCGCTCTCTGCAGCTTCCTTGCTGCTCTACTCTCCACAATGCCCAAGAAAGGCAGCAAGTCATCAATTCCCACAGAGTCGGCCGATATCACCCCGCCAGCTTCTCTCAACGATGGCCCTCTCCCCAAGCTGGTCGTGTTTGACCTGGATTACACATTGTGGCCCTTTTGGGTTGATACTCATGTCACGCCTCCTCTGAAAGCCTCCACGGATCACGATTCAGCAAAAGACCGCTTCGGGCAGGATTTCGCCTTCTATCGTGAAGTCCCTTCGATTCTCTACTCGTTACGTGATCGCGGAATCAAAGTAGCTGCAGCATCCAGAACTTCTGCTCCTGATTTGGGACGGGAAATGTTGCGGCTGCTACACATCCCAGATCCGGATGGAAAGAAAAAGAAAGCAATCGAGTATTTTGACCACTTGGAGATATATCCCGGCAACAAGATCACACACTTCAATAAGCTGCAAAAAGCTACGGGTATCAGATTCGAGGAGATGTTATTCTTCGATGACGAGACGAGGAATAGAAACGTGGAAACACTAGGAGTTACAAGTGAGTTATTTTGCTACCCTCTTTGGAACGACTCTCTAACCGCTTTAAGTGTATTTGGTATATACTGCCTTCCTGCGAATCCTTTAAACTGATAGTACTGACTTCAAGCAGGTCAGAAATGGAGTTAGCAAAGCGGAGGTGAATAATGGCATCAAGGAATGGAGAAAACGCCATGGGCATGTGATTGAAACGGATTGAATGAACTGGGCCTTGAGATGAACAAATACACAAGGTTAGGTTAGAGATACCCCGCTAACAAGATACTTTTAGAAATGAATTAGGAAAAATGCGAGAGAGATAGTCTGCATGGACATCTGTAAATATTAACAGCAATTTATCTTTGCCTGCTTATTGCCTAGACCAATTCAATTCTTGTGAATAATAGCTACAATAGTGCCCTAACTAGTTCTGATATATCCTTATGTTCATGAATTTCAGAAATCAAATACCATGGGGGTTTACGACTAAAGGGAATTACTTCAACATATTTTCTATACTACTTCTAATTTGTTCATTCTACATGATATGTATAGATGATTGTTAATATTGAGTAATTTTTGTTATCCAGAGTTCCTAATTCAATTTGTACTTTTTCACTAGATTATTATTACTCCATTAAATCATTCATTGAATGTGCGGGCTACGTAGGTACGCCCGGCCCAGCTCGGACTTGAAGTTGGTCCCGTGCTCACGCGTCCGCGAAATATCTTGGCGAACGAGTGATGATGCAACCAAGTCCCGAAGGCTTTCGTGTGCGTTGATCGGAATCTGCAAAACACAATGTACTTTTAGGACTTGTACAGTACTGGCACTCTTGGAAAACAATGCCGCCCTTTCTCCCACGCAAACGCCTCCGATCGTCATCACCGGAGGCTGGTCCATCAAAGCCGGCCTCGAAACGCCCCTCAAAAGGCAAAGCCGCTGCTTCGACACCAAGAAAATCGACACTTTTCGACGACCTCGATGCTGGAGCGGGGAAGAAGCGCACCGTTAAAGACCAGAAAGAGATCTTGAAACAATTCGCTACTGCCGATGACGAAAGCTCTCTATCCTCCCTTTCCGAGGACGAATTCGAAGATATTCCGGGCGCAAAACGGCAGAAGCTAGACGATCAGGAATCGGATGAAGAAGATGAAGATATTGAGTTTGAAGATGTCGAGACATACGCCCTCCCACGCACGGAAGGTCCCGTACCTTCCGGAGACCTCGAATTGACCTTGACGAAGGATACACGCATATCCCTTACCAATCCCTTGGGCACGAAGAAGGGACCGTCGAAGATTGAGAGACAGATTCGACTTTATACACATCAGATGCATGTACAATTACTTATGTATCACAATGCAATTCGTAATGCCTGGATATGCAATAAGGAGCTGCAGGAGATATTGTTAGGCCATCTAACGCCGCATGCCAAAGAGAAAATCGAGAAATGGCGACGCAACAGTCATTTAAACTCGAAAGATGACAAAAAGCCGGAGTCAAAGACCAAGGGGAAGGGAAAGGGAAGGCAAAAGGGTAGAAATGCTAAAGCCAAAAAAGATGAACCTCGTAATCAGCGCGACTGGGGAGAGCCCGCTGAAGTCTTTGAGGATGAACAGGTCAACATGAGCCGTGGAGATCCTCTCTACATACTGATGCAATCATTGGTGCATTTTTGGAAACAGAGATTTCGGATTACTGCGCCCGGGCTACGAAAATTAGGATACATGTCACTCCAAAGGCTTGACGAGGAGACGAAGAGTCTCGAACGCGATGCGCATGACCCGGAGCGACATGGTGAGCTTATCCGGGATATCGAAGATTTCAAAAAATGTGCTGCCAATATGGAGGGAAGTCGGGACGTTGGAGCTCAATTGTTCACAGCCCTACTGAGGGGTATCGGAATTGAATCGAGACTGGTTACAAATCTACAGCCTGCGGGTTTTGGCTGGAGTCAATTTGAGGAGGCTTCGGAAAATAATCCCCGTTGTTTGAGGAAAGCAAAAACCCCTCCCAGAGTCGATCCTATGGCCGACAGCGATGGCTCCTCAAGCGAACAGGAGGTGCAGTCAACTGCCAAGAGAAAAGGGAAACAACCTGCTTCTTCTAAGTCCAAGAAAACTCACAACCCAGCTTTAAAGCCGGCTCGTCAAAGTCTTCGTGGTAATAAAAGTAGCCCCATCGCTCTTTCTGATTCCGAAAGTCCAAAAAGCGACGAGGAATCTGTAGTTGATGTGACGCCAGCAAAAAGCAAAGCAAAGCCTTCTCTAGCATATGATAGAGATCTTGTCGTGCCAAATTACTGGACAGAAATACTATCTCCTATCACTCATATCTACACCGCTGTAGACGCTATTGTGTTACCTCTTCATGCCACCAAGAATGAGGAGTTCGCTAAGTTTTTGTCGCCCCCAAAATCTGACAAGGTCAGGCAAGTTACCTCTTATATCATCGGGCATTCCTCGGATGGTACAGCCAAAGACGTCACTACTCGATATTTGAAGGGGAAGATGTGGCCTGGCAGGACCAAAGGGTTCCGGTTACCACCTGAAAAGGTACCTATTCACGACCGCAATGGAAAGGTCAGACGTTATGAGATACACTCCTGGTTTCAGGATCTCATGTCCTTGTATTCTCGAGGCACAAAGAAATGTCCTCGTACCGAAATTGATGAGGAGGAGGAATCTACAGATCTCAAACCAGTAAAGCGAGAGAAGAAGGTTGTCGAAGAAGGTAAAGAGACGCTCCAGTCGTACAAAACATCCACAGAATTTGTCCTTGAGAGGCATTTGAAACGAGAAGAAGCGATTAAGCCTGGATCCAAACATGTAAAAATGTTCACTGTTAAAGGCAAAGGAGAGGAAGCAAGCACTCAGGAGAAGGTGTTTCGACGAAAGGATGTTGTTAATTGTAAGAGTATGGAGACCTGGCATAAAGAGGGAAGAGCTCCCCGTGAAGGCGAAGAGCCTCTGAAACGCGTACCTTATCGTGCAGCAACCACAAATCGAAGACGAGAATTGGCAGAGGCTGAAATTGCCACCGGTGGAAAGGTCTTGCAAGGACTTTTCAGCAGAGAACAGACGGATTGGATTATCCCGCCTCCAATCGAAGACGGAATTATCCCCAAGAATTCTTTTGGGAATATCGATTTGTACGTCGAAAGTATGCTTCCCAAAGGGGCTATTCATATACCTTGGAGAGGGACTGTCAAAATATGTAAGCGTCTTGGAATCGACTATGCCGAAGCCGTCACGGGCTTTGAATTTGGCCATCGAATGGCTGTTCCGGTAATTGAAGGTGTTGTAGTTGCAGAAGAGCATCATTCAAGTATAATGGCAGAGTGGGAGAAGGACGAAGCTGAAAGAAATAGAAAAGAAGACGAGAAGCGACAAAAAGCTGCCATCAACATGTGGAGAAGAATGCTGATGGGATTGAGGATCATCGAAAGAGTTAGAGAGGCCTATGGTGCTGAGGGTGGATTCGAGGTTGATGCCTTGAACCCTTTCAATAACAAAAATGCTCCAAGGCAGGAGGATAAAGCTTCGGAAAAACGTCAACGTAATATGGAGCAGCAAGAGGAGGATGCTGCAGGAGGGTTTTTCCCGGAGGGTCACGATGAGGAGGAAGCTCAAACCGGTCGACGGTCAGGCTTCTTTCCTGTCGCTCAAACAGAAGATCGAGAACCAGATGACGACGGTGGCGGTGGATTTTTTCCTGTCGCCGACCCAGATGGAGATGGCAACGATGGAGGCTTCATTCTTGAAGACGATAAACCTGAAACTTCAAAATCTGTCTCTCAACAAGCATATCCTACGCCTCAATCTTTTGAATTCTCTACTAAAGTAGGAACGTCAAAGATGCCAAGTGAGGGTTCGGATGAAGATCAGGAATTACAAGATGTCAAACCCAAGGCGCAACGAAAAGGGCGCGGTAGGCCGCCTGGCGCAAAGAATAAGAAAATGAATACGAAGTCTCTACCAGCTAAGAAAGAAACTCAGGCCAAACCTTCTAGTGCCCACCGCACACCACGACCCGCCGCTAAAAGAAAATTTCAAGTCAACGATACTGATGAGGAGGCTTCATCATTGTCTTCTCCACCTTCGGATATTGGTAACGATGAAGAGGATGAAGAGCCACCAAAGAAGATTGCGAAGAGGGCCGCACGGCAGACAGCAGTGCCGAAGCGTAAGGTTCAAATCCAAGACACAGATGACGAACCAGATTTCGCCTCTGATATGGACGAAGACGATGACCAAGAAGAAGAACAGCCACTGCGTACACCCAAGAAAGCTCCCGCGAAGAGAGCTCAGAAAGCACGTGCAGCTTCAGCTAGCAAAGCCACTCCTACCAAGACACCGAGACGGACTTCACGTAGAAGTGCTACTGCATTACGTTCGCATTATTTTCAGCATAGTGACGAGGATAACGATGAAGATTGAGTGGGTGAGTGAAATGGAATGCACCTAGGCTGCGTGCGGAAATTCAGTACGATGGGATGGTTAGTTATGCTGCTGTGCAGACGCTTGTACAATAGCTGAATCTCGCTTTTGCGATCTGTGTTACATTTTGCTAGCTTTACACTTTGCTAGCTGTACAATAATTTGGAATTGCAATATCATATGAAATCCTTAGGGATCCACGATTCGCACAAAATTGAATGATTCGCACAAAACTGAATGAATCTACCAACCTCTACTACCAAGCCTTTAGAAATGATCAGACTCTTTCGCGCAATCCTTCCGCAGCACTACTGTAGCTAATATGCCAAGAAAGCATGTTAGGATCCACGGCGGCTTGCAGCATAGGAATTTGTTGCGTCCAGTAAGGATGAATTGCGCGGCAACTAATTTGACGGCTCACAATCATATATTGCGATTTAAAATATAGATTTGGAATATGCAAGGAGGAGGGGATATTTTATCTGCCGACGGTAATTCCCAAATTGGGACGATGACGACGAGGACCCTCGACCGATTATCGTGTGGCGTTCAGGGGAACTTGTGTTACACCAGTTCATCCCGTCCCGTCCATCATCCGTCCCGTCGGGAGAAAAACATCTCAGGTATTTTCCCGTTGTTTTGAAACGAACCCAACGTCTTGGTTCTGCACGTTTTCGTGATCGTCTCTCTTTTGGTGGTCGAGGACTCTTCGTTTTAATGTTGTCTTTTTCTCATGGGCGAAGAATGCTACGAGGATATTAATTGTATGGATCTACCAGTAGTTCCCCCCCTCCTTTCTTTATCCATGAGCTCGCTAAGTACATAAGGCAGAGTTGCAGGCGGCAAAGTGCCCCTTTCTTAGATTATCTCACCTACATAGGGGTCTTGTACCACCACCGCGGCTGGAATCTCGGCTAACATTCCCACGGGATTTCAATACCACCCAGAATCCATGTGGCTTAATCTAGTTACTACAAAAGGTTTCCCGAAAGGACACTCAATCGAGGAATGTGCGCTTGCATATCGTGCCGAATCTTGCACGACTGTGGCCTACCAAAACACTCTATCCAAAGTAGCGCCCGCGGTTTAATAGTCAGTGCGTCTTCCCACGGCGCTGTCGCTTGTGGTCAGGTGAAGCAAGTGTCGCGTGTGGGCATACGTATATAGCTCATTTACCTATATAACGCCACTTCTACTTATCAGAAAGACATATAAATAGGACAGACTTTTGGACGTAACTAACTACTGTCCTATCCTAAAAGGGTTTAGCTTTTGAATACGATTTGCGTACGATACAGATAAGTTTATTCGATTCCGACACCAAGGTAGTAGACTTGATTTTCGTGGGGTGCGGCACGTGCGCCCTACAAAATACGTACTTTATACTCTCGAAGGGTCTCTTTCTTTTCGTATCTATACAAATTAACACGCCGTAGTTATATTTATCTAATTTTCTCTGCTCTTATAGAGCTAACTAATGGCTTTCTTTTGAGCCTATATAGAAGCTTTTGACTCAAAAAGTAACTTAAATAGAAGAAGCCTAGGTGAGACGCGACACTTGCTTCTACACGACACTTGCTTCACCTGACCACAAGCGACAGCGCCGTGGGAAGACGCACTGACTATTAGTTCCCAAGAGCCCGGAGTTATACGTCACAACTTACAAATTTTTATTAAGGAGGCAGGCCTCGCATATTGCTGAGATCATGTCAGATTTTGAAACCAGCCGATGGTTTTTTATTCGATCATTTTGCGCATCCACCATCTTGTGCATATGCATGCAGTGCGATAGACTATGATTACGCCCCCCCTATGTGGCTAGACTTGGCAGTTGGAAGGATGCGAGAATGGAAGCAGAACGGTGTATATGAACCTAAGGGTTTCCTGACCTTCGAATGTTGGCTCTACACAGCACACTGGTTGTTTGCTTTGTACGCTTTGTACGCTTTGTATTCTTTGTACAGTGCACTCTGGTTCTTTATATCTCTCTTTGAATAAACTCACATTCATTAACAACCAGTGCAAATTTTTGGACAAAGAGACTGGGCAAATATCATCCACTACTTCTTCAAGAGACCAACATCTGGTACCGACCCCCTTCAATTACCCTCAAAATCATAATACCTAACTTAATATTTCAGTCATATACTGAAACCTTCATTCAACACACTCATTACACAATACACTCATTCAAAATGCGCTCAGCTCTTAACATCGCCCTCGCGTTAGCAGCATTTACCCAAGCAACCTCGGCTGCAGCTCTCCCAGAAAAGAGACCCAATCTCGGCTTGAACAAATGGAAACACCATAGCCATCGACCAAGCGGAACTGGAAAATTCCACGTCCCAGCCAATGCTACGAGAACGGCAGGGCCGGGTACAACTGTTGTCTCTGTTCCTGATGCTACGGTATTCTCTACCTTTACTGTCACGGCCACTTCTACCCCCATTGGGGATGATCCAGCTCCTCCCACGCCTACTGAAGGAACCCCTGAAGGTGGCGAAGAGTTGCCTACAGGTGGCAATGATGAGAGTGGAAACTCTGGAGTTATTAATGCTCCACCTCAATCAGGAGGACCTGAAGAAAATAACGGGATTAGCGAGAATATTCCTGGAGACAAGAACGAAAATAGCAACGAGAACAGTGGGGATTTCGGGGCTATCATCTCTCTACCAACACCCAGCAATTCTGAAGATGACACCAAGTTCCCTACATTAACATTACCAGCTTCCTACAGACCCACCGGCTTCTTAAACGCTACCGGAATTAGTGGTTCTCCATATGGAACTGTAAGCTTGACAATAGACACCGCGGCCGGTCCGACGACTTTCCCAAGCTCAACTTCATATGCTTCTTCACCCCCAATCCTCCCTAGCAGCTCCGAAGATGGGGAGGACACAGTGATAATTCAAACTGTAGTCCCAATCCCAGCATCCACATCAGCATCTACAGCCGCGCCTTTAGCTTCAACCAGCACGCGAGCTGTTAGTGATGGTTCCCAATGGAAACCAGCTGTTGGAGCAACATGGCAGATTCAACTCCACGGAACAGTAGCCGATGCCAACCTCCCAGTCGATATTTACGACATCGATCTCATCGAATCCACTCCAACTTTGATTTCCACTCTCCATGCAAATAACAAGAAAGTCATCTGTTACTTCTCTGCTGGATCCTTCGAGTCCTGGCGACCAGATGCTGCCTCCTTCACCTCATCCGATAAAGGTTCCCCTCTTGAGGGATGGGACGACGAATGGTGGCTCAACACCAACTCCGCCAACGTCCGTACAATCATGAAAGCACGTCTCGACCTTGCCAAATCCAAAGGTTGCGATGGCGTGGACCCAGACAACGTAGACGTCTACAGTAACTACAACGGTTTGGGAATAACCAAACAAGATTCCCTCGCTTACCTACAATTCCTCTCCACCGAGACGCGCGCACGAGGCATGGCTATGGGCATGAAGAACGGTCTCGATATGGTGACTCAGTTGCTCGATGATATGGATTTCCACGTCAACGAATCGTGTCTTGAGTTTAGCGAGTGTGAGAAGCTGGTCCCGTTCATTGCCGCTGGCAAACCGGTTTTCCATATCGAGTATCCGGCTAGTGCGCCTAGGATTGCGAAGGATGTTGTGGATAGGAAGTGCAAAGAGAAGGCGGACAAGAATTTTAGTTCGTTGTTGAAGAATGTTGAGCTTGATGCTTGGGTTCAGACTTGTTAGAGGGGGTTTGGACATTATTATTGGTCTAGAGTTCATGAGAATTTGGATTGGGAAAAGAAAATTGATTAGGTGCGAAGGGATGTGGTAGAGAGCTTCGATTCTTTGTATTTACATTTTCATAGTTTGCCCTTTGTTCTGAAAATAAAATGGCCTTTCCTTATTGCTTGCCTCGATCATGCGCGATGTATGTACCTGTTATAGCTGAGCCATCTCGTAGATGTAGATGAACCTGCTCGGAAAACATCAAAAGACAGTTAAGGGGATATGGGAAAAAAGACACTTTCTACTCGAGAATTGGTATGTCTCGATTATTGGCACTCTCTAATAGTATAGTACCAAGAGATCACTATATCTCTTACTGTCAGGATTGTTACCCAGAGTCGGATTAACTATGATTTATACACATGACATTCTTGAAAGTTAGTCGGGCTGTATTTCCGTTAAAAGGGGGTAGCAAATAGTAATAAACTATACTAGGGATAAAGTTCGTATTATAAACACCTGTTAGCTCTATAGGGGCTACGTATCGTCGTAGTTCTATTTACTCTATTCCATTGGTCAAAATATTCAAGGAAAATAAAACTACTTGAAGACCACCGCGTATCTTATAATGATTTACTAATTATTTCTACGTAACCATTATCCGATATTTTACTGTATATCTGAAATATTTTAGCTTAGCTAGGAATGTAATAAAACTATAAATAGTCACGCGACTCTAGGATTACGACTTTGCGAATTTTCATTAGTAGCTTCTAAGACATATGTGTAAGGGTTAGGTTTCGAGTTTTACAGTGTATAGTTTTATACGTGATAACCCCCGCTTGAGGAATAGGGGTATTCTATAGATACTTGATTAGTTTCCCCGCGGGAGTTCTCTCCTTCCTTGCGAACAATCTAATCAATATCCCACCCTGACAAATTGTTTATACTAATATATACGGAAGCTAATCCGAATAATATCATGATGCCTCTATTGTCCGTTTTCCTATTTAATATGCCCAAAGTGTTATACACGAGTATCGTGAGTTGTTAGGCGTTCCTAGACAGACATAAAAGAGTAATTATTTAATATTACTATATGTAAACGCTAATAAAGAAACTATAGTTTAAGACCTAGTTAAACATAGTACGTCTTAATACTGTATAGCCTAACCAAATGTATAGAATTGTGTGTAGAGCAAGGATGATCTATAGATATACAAGCTTATATCTCTACTTATCTAACAGGAAGTAAAGAAGCCATTTTTGCCCAGGTTTTACTAGTAGCGGTGATTTGATTATCAAGCTGGACCGGAACTTGCGAAGGCCCATTTAATGGAAAGTTCTTACAGGACCTCACTACAACATTCAACCCATTCAACACGTCAAACCCTTGTCTAATAAACTTTTGTCCAAGAACAATTGCTCTGATAGGACTAAAGAGGTTTTTATCCAGACCTACACCAGCGCACTGATTCAGGACCCCTGCGATATGCATCTCAAGTCGATGACATGGGAAATTGTCTATGTAGATTGAATTCTACGGGATTCACCGTTAATTGTGTACCCATATGACTTGAAGAGTGAGAATAGTAGAGTACCTCATTGCATAACTCGATACCCCCAGCATCCCAATCCACAGCACCCTTGTCACAAGCTATAAACACACACGAGTTGGCTTTCACACCACACATCTTATCCTTGATGCCGGTGATCTGATGTCGAATCGCGGTCACCATCGTAGGTATATAATTTTGGATGGGGGCGCAGAAAATCGTCGGGTCCTCATCTTGATTTCGCACGCCTGTAGAAGGTGGTTCCGCGCTATAGTCTCCTCCATAGCCATTCGCTATGTCTACATTGGCAACATAATCTGGAGAGCGATGTTGGTGAAGGGCTTCATGGTAGGGATGATGCTCTGAGGCCTGGGAAAAGTGAGTTTTGGGGAGAAAAGTGTTGGAGAGAGGCTTACTTTTGCGGTAATGAGTAGGAGGGAGGTGAGAAGGAGGGTGCGGAACATGGTAGCGATTGCTTGTTTGCAGGGATTATGTTGGAGTAGTTTGTAGTTCTCGAACTCTTGGGCAAGAAATTGGATACTGTAATCTTACTGTGACGAAGATGTGCGACTCATGCAAGTTTGATCTCAAAGAAAATTTAAAATTGATACCCACGACCGACAAAGGGTTAGTTAACGGAGATATCTGGTGGTTATAAAGAACTATCGGTACCCCAATTACCACGGGCTCTTTGTTGTATATGAATTGTCATGATTAAATAGAACGCCACTTTGAGGAAGCAATATAACTTTGCCAACATTTATGACAAATCTTTAACGTTTGAGGGTTTGGGGACTCGCTCTTGACAAAGCCGACTTCTTTTCCAGTATTTGAGTATTGTCTTCAACAGGAGTTAGAGATTGTAATAATCAGTAAAGTTATATTAACTGAAGTATACTTGAAGATAAAGGGGGTGCTGATGGGGTAGACGGTATGATGCTACGAATCCTTTCCAGCACCACAAATGGCTACCTCCTCAAAGTGAATAAACTACGATGGTTACCCTTTCCTATATAAATCTCTCAGTTTTCCAGGCCATTGTCCAGTCCAGCGCTCGGCAAATGGAACCTATTCCATGGAATTCCAGGTGGAATGGAATGGAATATTCCATCAAAAAGGCTCTGGAATTCCATGGAAAGTGGAATTCCAGGGGATATTCTGACTAATCAGAGCATAGTACTAAATTTAAGAGGAGTGAATATTAATTAACTATAGACCTGTACTAAAATAACCTTGTTTCGCTCTAGATATCGAGCATGCTAATCTCTTCGTCGCTTAATTGCTTTTAAACCTATATTCTAATACTAAAGGTATATATAATTCACCTAAATTTCTCGCTAATAATACTATTTACCGGAATCTAGGCTTCCTATTAGTCCACTGAGCGGATGGACTTTTCTCCGGGTCATGTGATTCGGTTCTATGGAATTCTAGTGGAATACGGGGTATGGAATGGAATATTCCAGACCGTCTTCCAAATGGAATTCCAGTTGCCGAGCGCTGGTCTAGTCTACCAAACCACATTCTTTCCATCCCATGTGATAACTTCATACCATATAAATCATATTCAACAAATTGATTTCTATAACCAAGAGCAAGAACGAGAAGCCAACTCGCGTAATTTGCTTACCTCATGTTTCCTAGACTTTAGTCTAACATAAGAGACATAAAATACTAAACCCCGTAGAACATTGTTCAAAACCAGTCATTATTAATCCATTCTTTATAAATCATACATATAATCCAACTTCATATCAACATTCTCCCACATTGGCTATCTTCCAATTACATATTAAACCATCCCCTTATCTCTCGAAACATCAACCCATTTCCACAGGGTGCCTCTCGCCAATCGGACTAGGCAATTCCTTAACTTTCATAGGCTCATTACTCAACTCAGATCTCCTCTCAGTTCGTCCCCATTGGTCCTCCACTATTCTGTGACTATTCCGTCTATGTCTCCAGAAAAAGAATGCAAGTGCCGCGAAAGCGATGAAGCAGAGAGACACTGCCACCCCAATCCCAGCTTTTGCTCCCGCAGAGAGTTCTGGGGAGTTGGAAATCGCGGTTGGTGGTGGTAATGATGAGGCGACCGGTACCGATGTCGTAGCGCTAGCTTGAGGTGCAGCTGTTGAGGAGCTGCTGGGAGTTATGTCTCCACTTTTGAACTTGACGATGAGGGGTTCGGCATATATCTCCCCATAGTATGCAGGAACGGTTGTTTTTATAACAGCACTGGTCGTCTTAGTCACAGTTGCGACCCACGTATCGACAGAGGGAATCCCAGTCTGCCAGCTCGATATTGAAGTCTGCGTCCCAAACGTCCCAAACGTGGAGGTATAGAGGCGAGTAGAGTTGAATGTGAGTGTCAAGAAACCACTCATTATATTTCCGCTACAGAATCCGGTGACTGCATAGTTGGGGCCTAACGTCTGAGTGTATCCTGTGGCATTTCTATCGAATGGAGATAAGCTTTCGACAGTAAATAAAGGGAACCTCGTATTTCATTACCTGGGACAACAATAGAGCGTTGTAACATCTTCATATATACTCGTTGCAGGAGCAGGATAATCACTTGGAAAGATTCCCGGGCTAAAAGCCGTAGGACGTACCTGGGGAGGACAATCACTGCAAGCAGCAGGAGCCGTTAAAGAAGGCGCACAGCCATCGACCGTAAAGTTCCGTGTCAGTCTAATAAAGTCGTATGATCGGGAGGCAACGGGAGTCCAATAGTTGACACAGCTAGAAGGTTCTACCCAACTTGTCGTCAAAGCAGGCGAAGTACAGCTCTTCGAACAATAGTCGGCATCTGACCAACTTACGTTTCCGTTTCGGGCTTCGAGAACTCCCTTCGAGTTGTCATTCCGATCGACGAGTGCCATTTGTAGATTGAGGCGACGACGGGAAGCGGAAAGTCTCACTGTGCCTCACAAATATCAACATGAAGCGGGGAACCAGGCAATCTTAAGATTGGAGTGTCTCTGAGATGACAAAAGGTCGGCTGCAGCTTGGGTTAGTTATTATCGGCAACGAAAGCGATTGATTGGTCTTTCCATTGTGTAACCAACATGTAACCAACATATGCTAATTCTTGGATGCAACAATCAAATCGGGTTATACCTGTGGCGATAGCATTTGTTTTCAGGAGGAAGTGTCAGCATGTTCAAAGCTGTGATAAGTTTGGGAGGCTGGTATCAAAATTCTTTCGGGCCTCTACGAACCTAGAACATGTTTACAACTTTTGGACACGGCAGCGAGGCGAACTTGACACTTCCTGATTAGGCTTTAGCACATGTGGGATACAAGACCTGTATAGAAATCTCCAATTTTACATTGCTGCCACAGAAGCGAAAGGGAAAACTAGCTACAAAATATTCTCGCAGAAAACGATCAATAGAGAAGAGATAGTACCGTGAGCATCTATTGGTCACCAGAAGAAAGACGGGGCTCTACTATGTGTACCAGTTTCACTCTTTTTGGTATTACAATTGCCAATGCGATCCAGGCCCCTATTTCAACCATCAGTGAAATCCCATATCCTTTTTCCATGACTCAACTTCCTCGCACTCGGGACAACTATTTGTATAGCGGGTGGGCAAGGGTGCCTCAAAACTAAAATCGACTCCGTTAAAGTTCCAAGTACCGCGGTCAGAGAAATCTTTATAATCAAAATCTAGAAATGGTTCGATTTGATCCCAGGTATCGGGACTCAGGACAATTCTGATCTTCCTCAAACTTTGTGGCAGCTCTCGCCCCGCCCATTTCTTCAGATTTGAGAACTGGGCGGGGTCACATCTAGTGATGGTGAGCTGTTCCAAAGACTCCGGAAATAAGCTTGTAAGTTCAGAGATGAACGAATCCGAGTATTGCTCATGTGCTGGATCCTGTCGGTATTTTCCGAATAGCATGTGAGCGGGCATTTGTAGGCTCTTCAACTTGTGAAACGCCGTCATCGAGCTTATTGGGAGATCGGCTTCCGGGTTTTCGATCTTTTCTAGGAATTGGTCCTCACTGATAACAAGTTCTTCTAGTGAATCTCTCAGATAAGAGATACAACTGTGGAATGCTCGCGGTGCAAAGTCTATGTCTTCCCATTCTTCACCTTGGTGGGGATGATCTTGGTACCTGAAATCGTACTCCAGTCGCTGGAAGGATTCGAAAAATCCGAGAAACTGAGCGAGATGCTCATGAGTAACAAAAGCATGCTTTATTGAGAGACTAGTCTTTGAGAAGCGAAAGTCTGGCTTTGGATCCACGTCGACATAAATTGATCCCGGAACAAATGTTGGTTGAAAAGCATGTATTCCAAAATCATTATGAGGCCACGTTTGACCTTGGAGGATATGGCACGAGAGCGCTTGGACCGTTGGTAAGGCAAGAAATGGTAAAACTTGAAAGATTGCTATTCCACTGGTGGGAAAATATTCTTCTCCTATGCCACCGTCGAGGATGACGCGTCTCAGTCTTTGAAGAGGCGAATTGTTTTTGGGCTCTTGGTTCTCTGCAACCCTTCGAAGCATTCGCTCGAGTCGGGGATGGCCTTCATTGTAATTTCCGTGGTTTAGTAATTGTATATTTTCAAGATTGGGGAGAAGACAAAGCAAAAGCGCTGTGAGGTCGTCGGCATTTCCTCCTCTTATCCGCCTCCATCGTGCTTCATCTGTGTCTGGACAATGTTCCTTGGTTGCCTCCATGGCTTCTCGAAAAAGAACGAGCTCTGAGGCTGTCATGTAACCCAGTTCCATCGCCAGCGATTAGGGGGAGTTATAGCCAATGTATGTCTTTACATGCTGGGCTAGACCTGGCTTCAGCAAGATGGTGCGTAGAAAATTTGGTAAACAAGAACTCTCCTCAAGTTCTCGGAACGAACAGTATAAAAAAGGATATGCGATTTCTGAGATGTACTTAGAAGTGCGAGCGAGAGCCGCCAGGGTAGGTACATGGATGATATTTCTGATAACTCTGGTCAGGATTTCGGTAGGGAGGCGGTTCTCAAGGGAGAGGGAGCCAGATGCCTTAACCGTACCGTAGGCATCCTCAGTTGAGACGGGGAGGGCAGAGTCCAACGACGGTGTCATGTTGGAAGGAATTGTATGGTATAGGTATGGTGTTTCTGTGAAATAAAAATTTGCTGGATGACGTTGAGTACTGTACAGTGGAGTGGAGTGTACGTGTTCCAAGTTTTAGTTTTGTGGAATTTACGAGTACGCGGCGCGGTTCAATACTCGGTTATAAGCACAGACCCTCCAATCGCGAAGTCGCGTGACTGGGAATGCCCTGCCTCCCGAGGTCGCCTACTCATGGATCCAAGTTCGGCCGTTCTCGCTTATCAAGAGTTGAGCGTCAATTCATTGTTCTCCTTACGAACTTGGGCGACAAATCTCTTCGCTCGATACTCGTACACAACTCATCATCTCTTTCCCTTCTTAGATGGTCGAGCATTTTTGGCCTTCTTCCGTTCTGCCAGCTTCCGCTCCTTTCTAATATCCTCTGTACTCTTGATCTCCCGCTTTCCACCCCCATCTCTAAACCTCCCAACCCTCTTTTCCCGAGCCTCATCCACACGCTTCTTCCGCACATGGAAATCGTCTCTATAACGATCCGCTTCTTTTGGAGCCCTCTCCTGTTTGTGCTTGTACCTCGTTCCGAATCCACGACCAATACCACCACCACCAGCAGCAGCTTCACGTTCAACTTCCCCATTGCGAGGAAGACGATCAACTTTGTGTGTTTTGCGCCAGCGGTCGAAACGTCCCGATTGAAAACTAGCAGCAATCTTCTGTCCAGACTCTCCCATGATCATCCTCTTACCTTTAGAACCATCCTCGTCGTTGGCTCGGGCGACATATTTGCTGTTCTTTTTATCCCAGCGCATGCCCTTGGCTCTTGCAGGCTCCGCGAAAGATTTCGCTCCATCATCGTTGGTAAGATCCATAGTAGCACCCCGAGCTGCTTCAACAAAGTTGGAGTTTTGAGAAGCAGTATTGTATGACCCCGAATGCACACCATAACCACGTTCTTCTGCTGTGTTGATATTTTTTGGTGTGTATGACATGAAGTTCTCAGAATCTTTCCATCCTAACGTCCGACCTTTCCCCTTTTGTGCTGATTTTGAGAATGTAACTTCAAGTTCGCCGTCGGAAGCCTCTTCCATATCATTATCGCCACCCGTTACAGTAACTTCCAGCTCGCTATCGTCGTCCTCTTCTGCCTCTTCTGGTGCTTCTTCCAATGCGTCAAAGTCATCGCCACTCTCTGGCGCATCTTCCCCTTCCTTCGCTTTTGCCGCAGCCTTCTCTAAATCCTCCTTTTGTCTTCGAGGAATGATCTTCTCTCTTCGATGTCTCATCATCTCTGCAGCCTCACCATGTCCAGCCTTTCCTCGAAAGCCAATTTCAAAGACAGTTTCCTGGGGCCTGAATCCACTAATTCTGGCCAGCATGTCTATTCGCGCCTGCTCTGCGTTATTTGTCTCGTTGTGAAATAGAGGGTGCAATTGCATCCACCCTTGAGAGGCGACCACCTCCTTGGCGCGATTTGCGCTCTCACTTGACGCCGAGTTTCGGGTTTTAATGTACAATTTCTCTCCCTTTGCAGCGACTGTTCGAAGGAGACTAAGATCATCATCATCTCCAAGTAACTTACCGATCCATTCGCTCGTGGCTTCTAACTTATCTCTGACCATCGCACCGACAATCACATCTTCGGAATAGTTGGGGGCGTCACCACTTTCTTTGCCAAGCAATAGTCGCTTGCCCAGGAAAAGCTGCAGGTCCAAGAGATATGGACAGTCGGTATCCCGAACAAGACTGTAACTCCAACCTCTCTGGCCAGCTCTTGCGGTTCTACCAACACGATGAACAAAGATCTTTGGTTGAGGAGGAAAGTCATAATTGATGACGTTTGCCAAAATAGGAATATCGATACCTCTAGCAGCAACATCTGTGACTACCAAAATATTGGTCATACCCGTCCGGAAATCTTCAACTTGCATATTTCTAGCAGTTTGATCCAATGAACCATAAGCGTGAGACACCGAGAAACCAGAAAGTCGGAGTAAAGATGCCAAATAATCAACATGGTGCTTTGTAGCAGCAAAGATGATTGTCGAGTGCTCTGAAGGCTTTTGTTTTCGATTTGGGCCCTCGGCGCCTCTTTTGCGCTTCTTTCCATCTTGTATGTTTTTCGCACCTTCTGGAACGCCCGTAGGCATTTTGATCAAGTCATTGAGAATGTGAAGCAATGCACCTTCCTTTTCGGCGCTTTTGACACTGAAAAAGGCACTTTGAAGATCCGGTGAGACCTTGCTTTCCGCGTCGAGGCGGACTAAACTTGGCTCCTGAAGACCAGCCCTCGCAAACTCTACCAACGATTTTGGAAGAGTGGCAGAGAACAAAAGCGTCTGTCTTGATATTGGCAGCGCATGTAAAATTTCTGCCAATTGGGCCGCGAATCCCATCTCGAAAAGACGATCGGCTTCATCGAAAACCACATATTTGACCGATGACAAGTCGAGAGACATTTCAACCTTGAGATGCAGAAATCGACCTGGCGTAGCAATGACAATATCTGGATTGGCGGCCATGAATCCGAATTGTTCCTCTAGACTGTCTCCTCCCACCAGCAAGACGCATTTCAAATCTGTCCCTCTGCCAAACTCCTTGACAACTTTCAAAGTTTGAATCGCAAGTTCTCGAGAAGGGGAAAGAATCAGAGCTCTAGCCCCAACTCTTGCGCTATGCATTTTCAGCCTCTCAATCATTGGTATCACGAATGCTGCCGTTTTTCCTGAACCAGTTCTAGCCATTCCCACCACATCTTGACGGTCGAGGACGAGGGGTATTGTTTTCCGCTGAATCGGCGTAGGAACTGAGAATCCTTTTCTACTGATTGCCTTGAGCAAATTTGCATTTAATCCTGCCATAAATTAGCAAGCTTACTTGCAATTCAAAAAGAAGTATTCGTACCCATAGCCTGGAAACCACCGCCCTTCTTCACACTTTTTCCTTTGACATTGGAGGACTTTCGATTCGAAGCGGCTTGCTGGCCTGCGATAAAAGCTTCATCGCCTTCTCCGTCGCTCTCGAGAGATAAATCCAGAATTCCACCAGCATCTAGTGTCTCTCCGTCCTTTCCTCCCTTTGCGATTGCGAAATCGTCTCCGTCTGAATCATCGTTAAAGAGAGATTTCGTAATATCGAACTCATTTTCGAATGCCGTGGGAGAAGCTGTGCGGTGAGGCATCGTGCGCACACTTCACCAGTTGTATTGTTTAGGTTTGGTGGAGTTGGCTCTTCGGGGGCCTTATCAATTGATAGAGCAATTATTTTCAGAGCGACTTTTTAAGCAGTGACAGAATGACCAGACGGGGTTTAGCCTACTTTCGCGCCACTACGGCCCGAGCTTTGTTTAGCCGAGTTCCGCGGACATGATCGGGCCGGGTATCATTTCTTGCCCCTCCTCTCCTTAGTATTATAGCAGCAAATGAATATTTGTTAGCATAAGATTTTACTTCATCCGTACCCTCTGGAGAGATGTCTGCAGAGCAAAAATTAGAATACTTGGAAATGCCTAGGTATTGTTTTTTCGCTTCGCTTCCCATTCAGGCACTCGCTTCCAGCACAAGGGGAAATAGTGGGGTGGATGCGGGATGATCACTAGCGCAAAACCTTATCGCCGAATTCCCCATCAAAAAATAAATTCTGCCGGCTTCACCAAGAACAATCCAACTCTCTCATGATGGCTTCCTCCGCCGTAGGACGAAAATCTAAGCTTGCAGGAAGACCCAAGCAAGATGCGCGATCCCTAAAACGAAAGCGCGAAATCAACGAACATGAAACTCTGGAGAAATCCATTGAGGAGCTCGTAAGTCTTTTCTAGATCCCCTTGCAGCAAAGTATTGACTGACCATTTTTAGGATCCCAAGGCCGATGTCAAAGATTTCGCGGACCTACCTCTATCGCAACCTACACACTCGGGACTAGAGGCTTCGCATTTTAAGACGCTAACGGACATTCAATCGAAAGCTATACCACTATCATTGAAAAGGAAGGATATCCTCGGAGCCGCAAAGACGGGAAGTGGAAAAACTTTGGCATTTCTAGTACCAGTGTTGGAAAATCTGTATCGGCAGAAATGGACGGAGTTCGATGGCCTCGGTGCTCTCATAATTTCGCCCACGCGCGAACTAGCGATCCAGATTTTTGAGGTTCTGAGAAAGATCGGTAGGCATCATACTTTTTCGGCGGGTCTTGTGATTGGAGGGAGGAGTCTACAGGAGGAACAGGAACGCTTGAGGAAGATTAACATTCTTGTTTGTACACCCGGACGGATGTTGCAACATATGGACCAGACGGCGGCCTTTGAGATAGGCAACTTGCAGATGCTGGTACTGGACGAGGCGGATCGGATTATGGACATGGGATTTCAGACTGCGGTCGATGCGATCATTGAGCACTTACCAAAGACGAGACAAACGATGCTTTTCAGTGCGACGCAGACCAAGAAGGTCTCGGATTTGGCACGGTTGAGTTTGAAGGATCCGGAGTATGTTTCGGTTCACGAAGCTGCTTCTAGCGCTACGCCTTCGACTTTACAACAATTCTACGTTCTTACCCCACTTTCTGATAAGCTCGATACGCTGTACAGTTTTATTAAGTCAAATACCAAGGCAAAAATCATTGTATTTTTGTCTTCGGGTAAACAGGTACGATTTGTGTATGACAGTTTCCGCCACTTACAGCCCGGTATTCCTCTCATGCATCTTCACGGGCGACAGAAGCAAGCAACGAGGTTGGAGATCACATCGAAGTTCTCGGCATCGAAGAATTCGTGTATCTTCGCGACAGATGTTGTAGCGAGAGGTCTGGATTTTCCAGCCGTGGATTGGGTCATACAGATTGACTGCCCGGAAGATGCAGATACCTACATCCATCGAGTCGGCCGAACTGCAAGATACGAAAGGGCAGGGAAAGCGGTCTTGTTTCTGGACCCAAGTGAAGAGGATGGCATGTTGAAAAGGCTTGAACATAAGAAAGTGCCGATTCAAATGACAAAACCACGACAGAAAAAGCAGCAAAGTGTCAAACCTCAATTGCAGAATATGTGTTTTCAGGATCCGGAGCTCAAATATCTGGGCCAGAAGGCATTTGTCAGTTATGCACGATCAATTTTCGTTCAGAAAGACAAGAAAATTTTCGACATCAACAAATATGATCTGGAGGGTTACGCTTCCAGTATGGGATTACCCGGAGCACCAAAAATCAAGTTTCGTAAAGGAGGAGATGCTAAGAAAACAAAAAATGTTCCACATGCATTGCTTTCAAGCGGCGAGGATACCGATGAAGAATCTGGGAGCAAATCGAAGAAAGCAGTCGAGGTGCGCACGAAATATGACCGTATGTTCGAGCGCCGCAACCAAGATGTCTTGTCAAGCCATTACTCGAAACTTATGGCTGGAGATGCGGCTGAAGAGAAGGATGATGTTCAAGCTGATGCTGATGAAGATAATGATTTCTTATCTGTCAAGAGAGTAGTCTCTGCTGATGAGGATGAAGATTCAGATGACGAGGCTGCACCAGGACCGACAGCAAAGGTAATTCCTGGTATAGGGAGAGAACCATTGGTGATTGATTCCAAGCGAAAAGAGAAGATGTTGACATCAAAAAAGCAACTTCTAAAACTTAAAGAGAAGGGTCAGAAGCTCATATTTGACGAAGAAGGCAACCCCCATCAAATGTACGAGTTGGAAGATGAAAAAGACTTCCAACGCAGAGGACCAGCTGAAGCCCAAAGAGCTAAGTTCTTGGATGAGGAGATTGAGAGGGTTCAACGAGCAGATCTTGATGATAAGCAGCTCGCCAAAGAGAAGAAACGAGAGAAACGCGCGAAGAAGAAGGCCAGGGAACGGGGGGAGAAATCTGGTCTGGAAGAGGACGATGATGCCCCAGAACTTGTTGAGGCTGGATTGGATGATAGTGAAGATCATATGGATCCATTGGAATTTTTGGCCTCTTTGCCAATGGCTGAAGAGGATGAGGACAAGGACAGACGGCCAAAGCGGGCGAAGAAATGGTTTGAGGATGACTCGGATGACGAGAGACAGAAATCCAAGAAGAGGAAGAATACTAGAGTTCTTGAGGCTGCGGATGAGCCTGAGACTTTGGAGGATTTGGAGGCTCTTGCTGCCGGTCTTCTTGGTTGATTGATCACAGAATAGATGTTAAACAACCTACCGTAAATAAGATAATGTATTTGTAGATACCCCTAATTTTGTGCCCCGCGATTATCCGAGCTGCGCAGGTGGAGACGGGTGTGGCTGTCATGGACCAGCCTGCGAACAAAAAATGACCCTGAACTTTGTATTATCAGTCTGCCAATCACCAACTGCAGTCAATCATGGGTTGAATTCAAGGACATTATATCGATATTCATTTCTTTGCAACCAATCCACCGAAATCTCATTCCATTTCCCGAAAGTTTTACATCCAATTCCATGCCTATCCACCCTTGATTCCAACCCGTTTCACCCCTCGGAGAACCCCTCCAATTCAACCCCACATGCTCGGCAACCAACACCAACACCGCCCACCCCTCACCGGTCAGACTGTACTCGAGTACGTGCCACATAAGCTGCTCCAAGAACCAACAATTGCAACACACGTCTCTATTTCTGCGCTCTCTCAAGATCTGGTCCTCCCTGGCGCGACTGGTACACCTCATGGTGGGCATCTACGATCGACGAAACGATGCCACTGGCGAGCGATGACAAAGCGCCTCCGGTTGTTGCCAATGGCCCGAGTATAAGTACAGACACCCTCGCGCCGGTTTGCGCGGGGCTTGCGGGGAAGGTAAATGCTTTTCTGGAGGAGACGGGGGGAGGGGAGTTGTTGGAACGGGTGAGGGGACAGACTAGAGTTGCGCTGGGGGTTATTGAGAAGGCGTTGGGGATGTATAGGTTGGTTTCTCTATTTGCCATTTGTAAAGGGAAAAGGGGTTTCATATCAATTGTGAGAAAACCTCGCTAATGCGCTTTTTATGGAAACAGTCTTGAAGAAATCTCTCTCTCCTACAATGGCGGAAAAGACTGTCTAGTCCTGCTCATCCTCCTCTTGGCCGCATTACACAACCACTCCGTTTCCTCTTCCTCCCCTCTACCTACCGCTCTGCAATCCGTCTATATCATCTCGCGCCATCCCTTTCCTGAAGTTGACGCCTTTGTGGATCACTCGGTGCAGGAATACCAAATGGATCTCGCGCGCTACAATCTGACTATGAAAGCAGCCTTCGAGCAGTACCTGAAGGAAAAGCCGAAGGTAAAGGCGATTTTGGTGGGTACGAGAAGAACGGATCCTAATGGTGGGAATTTGACGCATTTTGATCCTACCGATCATGGGTGGCCGGGGTTTATGAGGTGTCATCCTGTTATTGACTGGCATTATGCTGAGATTTGGGGGGTAAGTTTTGCTTTTATCTTATTTCTTATTTTTGGCCTTCATTTCGAGGATTACTGGGACTGGACTTTGCTCAAACTAGGAGGTTGGTTTTTGAGCTATGGAGTTTGCAATTTTATACAATAATCCTCGAAAAGAAGGCCATGTCAAAGGGCAAAAAAGAAGTGATAGAGAAGGAAAAAATGCTAATACATGCAATAGTTTATAAGACGCCTTGAAATCCCATACTGTGTTCTATATGATCGAGGATATACAAGCCTTGGAGGCACTACCGATACCCATCCTAACCCTGCATTGAAAGCCAGTAATGGAGAGGAAGAAAAGGAGACAGAACAGATATTTAGACCGGCTTATGAGTTGGTTGAAGACGAAGCAGAGAGGTTGGGGAGGGATTGGTAATGGGTTTTAAGGGTCACGCAATGTATGTGTGTAGCGATTGGAAGTTCGCTAAGGACTTTGGAAGGGCAGTTGGAAGGTAAATAGTCTGAGGAGAGGGTGGAGGGCCTTGACTAGTGTTGTCCCTTTTCTTTTTCTGGCACATGGATTATGATAGATATAGAACGCTTTTGAATATATGATCTTGAATTAGTTACGGTTATGTGCTAAGACAGAAATGAGACTGCGCGAGTTGATGCTATCGTATTGAGGCTAGAGAATTGAAGGAGGTTTGGATTTCCTTATCCAAATTAATCGAGTTATTCTGGTAGACGTTTCTAACAAAATGTCCTCACAGGTGTCTGGAGAACGAAGGCCCACTCCCATGGGTCACAGCTTCTCATACTGAACCACCTGAATTGCCAACAACACACCTGTTGGCATTGCTAGCATTTGCCGGTAGTTCTTAGCCCAAAGGTGTATTCCTTCAAGTCATCCAAACATTGAATCTCAAACTCTAGTAGAGCTGCCTCCAATCGTTTTCCTTGAGATTGGAGCGTGTAATAGCATATGGTATACAAGGCCTCCATAATCATGGCGGACGTGATGGCCCCTCCTTTTCGTTCTTAGAGGGCTTGAACCCCAATATTTCCCCCACTAAGCCCCCCGGCTTTGGAACTGGACATTCCCTCTTTGAATTGTTGGTTCGGATCCGAGATCCTTCATCCTCACAGCCATTGCCACTTTCCTCGCGCCCCTCTATCAGACTGTCCTTCGTATCTTCTGTCTTTTCTCCCTCACATTTCCTCCGCCTCCTCCGTCTTGGGGCACCATTGGACATCTCTCCGTCTGCGTATGCGACTCTTGGCGCGGGACATGGTAAAATATGTGGTAATGCGACGACGAAGAAACTCGCAAAGAGCGTGGTTGCGAAGAGGGAGGATGTCAGTCGGCTCCGGGGGTGCATATGAGGTGGCATGATGGGATGGAAGAAGACTTTTGGCAGCGGCCGAGGAGGTCAATTGGAACTATTTTTGGTCAGTATTTACATGCGCAATTGACTTGTGAATAATGAAGGGGAGATAGTTAAACCTGCAATCGCATAAACTCCAATTCTCGGCCTAATCGGAAAAGTCAGTGGTAGTACCGTCGGGTAGTATGTATGGAGTAGGGTACAGTAACTGTACTCGTAGGTATTTTTGAGATGAATCTGTACCAATCAGATTGCTAGCCTCCAACTTTAAATTTAAGCGGGGCGAACCCCAGCCAAGACTTTCCGCCTCTGCCTTTCCGCCTTGAGCTTTGCGACGCGACAACTGGAGTTGATTCTCCAATAGCTTCACTCCCCCTACTTTTTTTTTCGAGAAATGCGATAGGATAGGACGCAATAGAATACGATACGACACCTACGCTCTGTGCCTATAATACCCTTTCCCTTCCTTACGTCTACGTAGGTAACGCGCCTTGTTCTCTTCTTCGTCTTCGTCTCGTCTTCTCCAATACGGTACTCTTCAACTCCCGACAGCAACGCTACGATCAATGTCGATGTAACCATTTGCCCCACGTTCCTCCTACCTTCCTACCTCTGTCCGCTCCTTATCTCCTGCTCAACAACAGAGCGCGGTACTTTTTGAAGCCGACAAGCACAATTTCTACAGCCGCCGAAAACTAAAGTCGCCCCGAAACTAATTATCAAGAAGCATATTGTGTTCGCATGCAAAATGAGCGACTTGGATAGGTGCGATTCCAATGCCTATTCCAAACCTTACCGCCAAATATCCGATCTTGCACTAACAAATTTCCTAATTTCAGAGCAATCGCCCAGTTACGGGCATGTCGACCTATTCCAGAAGCGCAGGTTCGCGAAATATGTCACAAGGCGCGAGAACTTCTAATTGAGGAGGGAAATGTCGTCACGGTGAAAGCGCCAGTAACAGTATGTCTCAAAATCATGTGTCACTTTGCGCAGACAAAAAGTCATGCTCACACAATTTTCATAGATCTGTGGCGACATCCACGGACAGTTCCATGATTTAATGGAATTGTTCCGAGTCGGCGGCGATGTGCCAGATACTAATTACTTGTTCATGGGTAAACCCTACTTCCATTCAACATCTGAACATCAGCTAATCAGCTACAATTGTATAGGCGATTTCGTTGATCGGGGCTTCTACTCTCTCGAATCGTTCCTCCTACTTCTCTGTCTAAAAGTACGATACCCAGATCGCATGACCTTGATCAGAGGCAACCACGAGTCCAGACAAATTACGACTGTTTACGGATTCTATGACGAATGTTTACGAAAATACGGCAGCGCAAATGTGTGGAGATATTGCTGTGAGGTTTTCGATTATCTGGCTTTGGGCGCAATTGTCCTCGGGGCGTCGACTGCACTAGAGCCAACACAGCAGAAGGGACCATCAAGCAGTCGTACATCAACCCAAGAATATATTGACTCCGATATCGAAATCGAGATATTAGGCAGCGACAATGGGGTAGTGTCGAGAATACCAAGAGGCAAATCAAAGGAAGCTGTAGCTCAGAATAGCTCGCCATCCAAATCGTCTTCGCCTGCTACAAAACCAGGGCCTCCCGGAACCGCTGCTTCTGGTTGGAGCAGAGGTACGACGGGAAGTACTAGTGGTGCCATATTCTGTGTCCATGGCGGCCTATCCCCCTTAGTTGAGTCGATTGACAAAATCCGGCTGTTGGACCGTAAACAAGAAGTCCCACATGAAGGGGCAATGTGCGATCTACTCTGGTCTGATCCTGACGAAATTGATGGATGGGGTCTTTCTCCTCGCGGTGCAGGATTCCTCTTTGGTGCGGATATTGCCAAAAGCTTCAACCATGTCAACGATCTCTCCATGATTGCCCGAGCTCATCAACTTGTTATGGAGGGTTTCAAAGAGATGTTTGATAATAATATAGTGACAGTCTGGTCCGCCCCAAATTACTGCTATCGATGTGGCAATGTGGCAGCAATTTTAGAGTTGGCTGAGGATGGCATGGGCGAATCTGCTCATCAACGAAGCAACGGTGATGTAAATCGAAGCAATGGAGGCATGTCCGAGGAAAGCGCTCGTGTGCTGCTTGCTGGTCCTGCAAGGAGATATCGGGTGTTTCAGGCCGCACCGCAGGACTCGAGGGGTATGCCAGCGAAAAAGCCCCAAGCAGACTATTTTCTGTAGACAATCCAAGAAGGACTCAGGAGCGGGTGGCTCCTTATTAGTGCGGTCGGAACGGGTGGATTTCAGGTGGGCTTGCGGCAGATCCGCTGGCCAAACAAGGTTTGCTCTGGGATCTCGTCGTAGGAAGCATCTTGACTTATACCTCTGAGATATACGGTAGCCAATCTCAGGTACAAGATTACACCCTTCAGTTAATACAGGGTCTTGGGTACAAATGATTGTTTCTATGTGCTTAGCGGGTTCTAGTGTTTATACAGCCTTCGTCACTCTTTTGTTTCTCCGACGGGAACCATAAAGACTAAACTCCAAGTACCCAATCAAAGGCTTCTTCGCAAAAAAACGGCCTTTGGATAATATTGAACTACTACAACTCTGGGGATTTCTACAAGTAAGATTGCCAACCAAGCCAATACTGGAAACCGTGTCATTGGCAGGGGAGTAACCAGTGTCAAGAAGATCGGCGACGACAAAGGGCAAATTGTTATGGAGGAACTCGCGGATTTGATTGCCCAGAATGCGTATGATGTGGAGTGTGTATATGAGATATATTTGGCTTTTTCCAATGGAGGGATACGAGGCGTCTATGGGGACATGGTCTCGGTTTTTCATTTCAATAGAGCGTGTATAACAGGTAGAGATTTATTGCAAAATGACCAAATTATACTTGTCCCTGGCTAGTGCCAGTATCGCCTTCTTTCATTGACCTTTATGCTTCAGTTGGGACCATCACAAGGTGTTAGATTTTGAAATGCCCAAGTGGGTTAGATTATATTAAGTTCGTGAAGATTTGAAATTACATTGCAGGTATCCAAGTGGAAATATCACCAATCACTATCTTTCTCTCCAAATAAAAGTAAGAAGTTAAGAAATCAAAGTCAACCCCAAAATACTGCCAATGTCCCTTCTTTTCCTCCCAAACATCCCCTCAAATCTCTGCATATATCCGCCCATTCTCCGATTTCGGATCGGGCAGCGGGCTTTCTTCTAGGAACTCAACCTGTTGCTCGAAGTTTTGCGCAGCCAGTATCCACTCAATATTATCCTTATATGTTTTGTCCTTTGTTTCCCTGTCTTGTGAGTCTTGAACGTCAACGAGCCCGCCGAGAGCCGGGGCGGAGTACTGTTCCCTGGTCTTGCCTATGTCGTTCAGATATTCCTCGACTGACTCACCCGCTAAGCGAGCTTCTGCTTCCAAGCCGATTTCAACGGCTCGATCAGCCATGGCTCTGGTGGTAGTATTCTGCTTTGTCGCTTTGGACCCCCTTCTAGGAGCAGTGATGCTTCCTGGCGTCATGTAGATTCCACCGTCCAGATTGGGGTAGAGCCCAGAAGTCACGGGGTTGTTTTGCTGCCCTACCTCCTTGTTGATCCAATCTTCGATACTCTTGTATCCCTCACTTTGAGCAAACTCATCTGGTTTGAGCCCAGCAGCCTGAGCACGAGCGTTGAAATTGGACCTCAACCCATTCCGGAAATTCGTCTCCGTTGGGAAGCCCATTTTCTCGGGCTCGTGGTACTTGGTGTATTCTATGTACCATGTTGATAATGTTCTGTCCGCTGCGAGGGCCGTTTGCCACACTTCGCCGAGGGCGCCCTCGGTTTCGAAGATTTTGTCCCACTCTTGGAATTGCTTGAGTTTTATCGGCAGGAGATTGGCGGGATACCGACGATTGATTCGAGTAGTTACTTTCTTGCCGGAACTGAGGGGTCTTGCTGTTGGTGGTAGTTTTGTGATGTTGATTTTTGGTTTTTTCTTGGTGGGAGACTTTGGGGTAGGTACTGGTTTTTTTGGAGGGGACCTTTGAGTGGGTGCTGGTTGCTTGGTAGGAGACTTTTGGCCAGGTCTTGCTTGTTTCGTGGGAGACGTTGGGACTGGTACTGGTTGCTTGGGGGGAGATTTTTTCGAAGGTGATTTGTTAACTTCTTGTCCATCGTTAGCATCTACTACTTTTCGTCCCGCTGGTTTGGTAGCTGACTGTGTTTTGGTAGGCTGGATGGTTCTCGGCAGCTCTGGTACCTCAGCAATGATTGGAGTCTTCACGGGTTTGGGTGTTCTGGAAGCCATCTTCTCGGCGCTTGATCGACGTGGAGTAGGAGTCGCCTTTGGCATTGACTCTAGGAGTGCTGCTACATATGGTCTTGCCGCATCGATCTCAGGCTGTTTGCTCTTCCTTCGTTTCCTGTTCTCCTCCTTTCGCAGCTCCTCCAGTTCATCAGCCTCTCTTTTCTTTTCTTTCCTTAATTGTCTGACGAGATCGTTCTTCATAAGATTTGGATTCTTCTGCATCAAGCGCTCGACCTTATCGTCCTCTTTCAACCTATCTCGTTGCCGTCGTTGCTCATCTGAGATCGCCACGAGCTCATCCATCCATTCAGGGCGGGATACAGGTGCTGATTTGCCATCCTCAAGACGTCGTCTTTTTGACGCTTCGTTCTGAGCACTTGAATCTTCCGAGAACGTTCGTTTCTTCGATTCAAGCTCAATTCGCATGATTCGCACATACTCTTTCTGCGTCCGGATAATATCATCGCGAGACTTCCTCCATCCCTCCTCGATGACTTTGCTGCGGACTGTTCCCTTTCGTGGGAAGTTGCGAGGGATTGCTGTACCAAGCCAAAAAGCCTCCCCTTGGGGTTGTCTAGTGGGATCTCTGAGAATCTCTCGAATCTTTTTTCCAAACTCGACATTGGTGATAGCGAGATGTTTGAGTTCATCATCTGGAGAGGGGAAGACATAGGGTACTCTGAGCCTCTCGTTGTCTGGGAGGGGGTTGTCATCAATTTCGATTGGCTTAGTCACATCTTGGTTGTCTTTGTCTACTGGGCGCCGAGGATTGGAAAGGGCTGTTGTGATATCATAGTCTCTCCCAGGCTTAATCTTTCCTAATGGTACACCAGATCTGTTAGTTTTGCTCTTTCAATAGACTCTGATGGTCGGGGGCCGAGAATTAACATACCAACAGTTTGGAATGGCGTATCTTCTGGAAGAGAGTCGGATTTCTCCCATGCTTTGATTCCATTCCAAAAGTCGTCATCATCCTCTCCCTCTGATCCCGCTTCTTCTCGCTTCAGTCGGTCAATGATCTTCTCTAACCAAACTTCACCGGCACTCATTCCAGCATATTTCCAAACGGTCTGCTGCCTCAGGATTTCCCATTGTTTTAGCTGCTCATTAAGGTCTAGGGCTCCTTCATCTCCGTACATCCTTCCCTTTCTCCCATGCCAAAAGGCAATTTGACCGCCTGGGCATTCGATGATCGCAAATTCCGGCAGTGGGCCCACAACTTGTCCCTCTTTGACCTCGACACCATTGATCCGGAGACACCCTCTTTGAAGGTTTGTAGCGAAGTATCTGTACAATCCTTTTTCGTCATATTCTCGATGCTGGCGCCAATCCCAGTCATCCCACGGTAGCAGCTCGCCATCTCTGCCATGACCCTTTGCCATCGGCCATCGTCTTGGAGGCATATCACGCAACATCATTTGCTCATCAGTGACCCACCATGGATCATCTGGCTCCATACTACGAACAGTTTGGAGGGCTTCCAGGCCCTCAATCTGAACCTCCTCTTCGTCGTCGTTTGTGAGTGGTGGCTCGGGAGCCGCATTCGGGTCATGAACACGAACACGGCGGATATCCAGAGGGAAAATATCAGTTGCATGATTTCTTGGTGGAGGCTTACGTTTGTCGAGGTCAACATCGGCATCCATGGATAATGGTTCGGTTGGCAGGTTAAAGACTGTCCCAGTCACGCGGTCCCAGATCCTGCGTTTCCTAAACACACCTCTTTTGTGACGGACGTAAATGTCGACCCACCGAAGAGCCTACGTATTGATTGGAAGGTTAGCGATATTTTCAATGACAAATCGGAAGGATCATATGTATGGTGTTATCTTTACCAAAGAGAAAGGCCGACTTACAGGGAATGGCTCTACAGCACAGTCTACGCCGCCATCGACTTCAAATTCAGTCATCGCCCGGAAGCTGTTGTCTATATTCTCCTCCATCGACGCTCTATTTCTTTGCTCGTCAATTGCATTGATCTCGTCTTTCGTTTCTCCAATTCTTCGCGGTCGCCAAACCGTGTTGTTTGTACGTTCCTCAAGTTTCCTATCATCATCGTACTTCTTGAGTGCTTCAAATCCACCGTTAACCGACTCATCGTAGTCAGGGAATTCGGTTGGCCACATGTCTTTGTCGGCTTCTTCCTCATCCCCGACAGTTGGAGGGACATCTGGGATCTCGTCCACCAACTCCCACACGGGCACAAGTGCTTGTCTCTTGACCGGGACTTCCTCCATTTCGTCAACTTCGTACTCTTCCCATTCCACCTCAGGACCACGATCAGGATCCGGCTGTTCTTCCACCCACGGCGCAAAGATGGTGACCAACTTTCCTTCGGGGGTCTTGATTTCGATAGGCTGCCTCGCCGTCTTTTCATATTTAAGTTTTGTTATCCTTACACCAGTGTCCTCAACTCCCCCTTTGCGTGGGAGCGGATGTTCTCTTTCGAAAATCACCCTTTCAACAGGGTAATCAAACGAGGGAGCCATCTTTGTCGCTTGCTCGTTCATGATAATCTTTTGTCTCTTCTTCTTCGTCTTTCTTCCAGTCGGCCTCTGCTCTTTCCCGTATTCCACCTCCCTCATTTGCGGTGGTTCCGCTGAGCGAACCCACTTTGTTCCTTCCATGGGAATTGGCAATTCGTGCTCGAGGCACACTCTTCCTTCTTCATAAACTTTCATGTCCTTCGTCGCCTGAGGTGGACCAAGATACCTTCTCCTTTTCGGTCCCCCTCTCTGGGTCTTAACCCACTCCAGCTGTTCTTTCAACCACTCCGCGTTCACACGTCCCTCGATGTAGTAGTTGTTCCAAAGATCGTAAGCGCGTTTCCAGCTCAGCCAGACCTCCGGGTTGGATGCTCCATCTCTGTATATTCTCCCGAAAGCGTCACAGCGCTCTTTGATTTTGGGAAGGGATGGCGGATGGATTCCTGGTGCTAATGGTGAGGGAATTCCCCTGGGGTCAACAACATGAACAGGAAGGAAGGTTCCACCATTTGCGACCGCCAATTTATGACATGCGATCGCCGTGTCGAAGGGGCGAAAGTTGAAAAACTGGACGGGTTTTTTATGTCGCGTCACGGTGTCGTCAGTTTTCTCGCCGTCCTCTCCTTGTATGGCTCTGTCACTCTTAATCTGCTGAATGACGTTGTTCCAGGTGGTATGCCTGATGATTTCTCGGTTCGTTCGTAGCCTTCTGGCAAGTATAAGTTCCTGTTCTCGCAATTCTTCGAATCTCGAGGGGGGCGTCAGCATAGAATCGATGTCCCTAGATTTCGTTGTTGATCGCCTTGAGTTTGAAGACCGTGGCTTCGAAGGCGCCGATTTTGACTGCCTCGAGTTTGAAGACGCCATCTTGAGACTTGGTGTCTTTTCAATTGCTCCTTTACTTCTTCTTTCCTGGTCCAGACATCAATTCGTGAAGCTTGAAGAGATTCGAATGTCCGCTTGCGAGGAAGAGCAGAAAGCAAAACAAAAGCAAATGGGGATGGATGCGCGGAATTACGGGTAGCGATGAATGTTTTGTCTGTGTTTACGAGATGTTGTCCCTCAAAGAATGCGAGGGTGTTGCTCTGGAATGCGACGAGGCTTGATTGGGTCAAATTCCTTTAGTCGTGTGGTTGGAATGCCAGCGTTCTGATTTAGGAATCTGATTGCCGACGAGGCTTGACGCAAACAGGCATGTAATTTCTATTGTTTTCTTTGTGCAGATTACTGAATGTTAGGGATATTTGAGATCGGTCTTTTTGAGGATATTCTAGTAATTCAAAAGAGTTTCCAAGAATGTGTATGTGGGTTTTCTGCGAGTTATAATGTTTTCCTTCTTAAGCAATAAATTGAAGTCCTATAGGTAGACTTCTGGTTTGTACGACTAGCAATACCCCTAAAATTACATCAATTTATAAAGACTCTATAATAACAAGAACAAGCGAGTCAATAACTATCAATTTAAATACAAGACGTCTGAATAGTACACCAAAATCTTGAGACTACCTAAAAAAAGGATTTCTTGAAGCCTTCTCAGAACTACACTTTCATGTTATCCATGAGTTTACTTCCTGTCTTCATTCTCATGGCGCTCTCGTATGGCGAAGAATTATAGCACTCGAAGCAAGGGATGTGGTATTCACTTTACTATATAACGCGCGATCGAAAGTCGTTCGGTCTTTACAGTAGTAAATGATTGACTCTTCATACGAGGCAATAAGGTGTATCTCGCTTAACCTAAGAGAGGCGAGCATTACTCTATACACACCAGAGTTATAAAAATATCATTCCGAAGACCTCACGCAAATAAAACAATTATACGGGTAGTTTAGAACAATTAGTACTTTTCAATCCTTATTGTGCTAGGTAAAATAGGACAATTAAATTGCTGGTGTCAGAGTTTTGATATAATGACTTTTGATGGCGTGTACAGAGTAATGCTCGCCTCTCTTACAATCTAGAAGAAAAGACCGTTTTAGAATCTGGTTTTTTATCACTTTCTACACTCAATGATTGTAATACGATGGCTCCTTTACATAGCGAGAGTTCGTCTAGAAGAAAGTCTGAGATACGGTGAGTTGTGAGAGGTCGGTATATAATTGGATTCTTATATGGAAGTCTACACGGAGGCCCACACATGCTTGATCATACATAACAAGTTGAAGACCGCTGAGATTTGACATCTAGAGATCTGAATCGGTGAAAATGAAGAAGGATAAGGGAAAGTGTGTCGGTTTTCTAGAAGTATAATCGAGCGCACATGGAAAGGGAAAAGACAAATTGTAACGAAGGAAGGAGTGAAAGAAAGAATTTGGATACAAGCTATCAAGCAGAGAGTCTTGTGATCATGCTGCCTCTACTTCAACAGAATTCATGGATATCATTCTACAAATCACCCCCCAATAAACCATGAGGAAATTTATTAGTCCAGAAATCAAATCTCTCCCATAAAACAGAAACACGATCATACAACGGTACTTAACTCCACACACTCCCCAAATCCTCCAAAAAGGAGCGAAACTAATATTTGGAATTCCAACGGGCCTCACTTCCTACCGAGTCCAGCCGTACGCGCCAGGATCCAAGGAAAAGCGACGAAAAGAGAATCCAAGACCTTATATCGTTACAGTACGTCAAAACTTGGCACCTCTGTCATGTCACACGCGAGATCTTTAATGAGTTAAAATAGGGTATCGCGTTAGAACGTTCTATTATTATTTTGTTTTTCTTTCTTTCCAAAAAGCCCCACGAAGCCTCAAGATTGTGTCCTTCGGCCCCACATTTTTTACAGGACAGTAGCGAGGTATGCTCATGTAAGGTGTTGGTGTGCTCGTACACCATCTTTGGTGACGGAAGCTCGTGGTCCCGTTTTCCGGTTTTGTAGATGGGTTGTGGAGGGTTGCTGCATCGAGGGTCCCTGGAAGATTGAGAGAAGGTTGAGGGGCAGATCACGTTCTTATGGGGTAGCAAACATGATTCGTGTTTATTGGTTAACCTTAATTGACGAGTGGGAGGGAGGGGCAGTGGATGTCGGATGTTCTTCTCGCCGCATCATAACTGTATACATACATTCCATCGAGCTGCATCTGCTGGATCCGGAGGCATTGGAAATTGAGACGTCTATTATACCACGTACACGACACAATCAAAAACCAGTACTCTCATTCAACTTGTTACTTGGGAGATTCCTCGTCTCGAGTAAGGTTGGAGGACTAAGAAATGACACCGCCGTGCCTACTGTCCAGGATCACGCATCAGTGCTTCAACGAGATAAGGAAGGGGTGCTCATATCGTCACGACCGAGACAGATCCATGATAGGATCCTCACCAACGGACAGATTCCGAGAAGATTAGCCTAAGACGTGAATAATACAACACAATACAGCAGTTACACCACAAGCGGGGAGAGGCACCACAACACACCCTTGACTACCCCGGATTTTCACTGCGCCGGAATCTCCTCCCACGAACCCTGGATCTTGGTCTTTGAAATCAGGTACTACACACACATACACGAGGTGTGACACCACGATAACGATATACAGTACCAGACTGCTCTACAGCACGAGATTAGGAATCCACTCCACCTAACTTCAAACAATGGCCGCCACTGCCGAAGCCGCGACGATGGCGGGATCCAACATCACCAAATCTTCCATCCCTGCTCATCCCATCGCGGTACCAACTCACGGTGCGGGTGGTTCATTCACCATCCTCGCTGCCACCGTGGTACCCGGACAGGACCCTCTCACCGTCATGAATCTCGTACGGGACATCGATGGCTGGTCGCGCTGGAACAGCTTCTGTCCACATGGCACGATCACATCACGTAAGGAGAAGGTGAAAGCGAACCCGGGGGAAGAAACCTGGTTGAAGATCGGGGATAAGGTTAAATTCGATGTATATATGTCAGGTGATGGACTTGTGCCAGGGAAGAAACGGAGTCGCGAGCAGGAGGTTGAGGTTACAGCTATGGAGGAGATGGTGGGCGGTCAGGGGGATGGGACGGCCGTCGGACCGAAGGTTTGGCAGAGTGAGTATCAGAAGGAGGACGCTAGGAAGGGAAGGAAGGGGTGGAGGATTGCTTGGAAGAGTGTAGGGTGGAGTCATTGGCAGATGCATAGTGAGAGGGTTATGGAATTTTATGAGGATGGAAAGGGTGGGACGGAGTACTTGTGTTGGGAGACGTGAGTATTCTTCAATGACCAATGCCAGGGTCAATGCTAACAAGAATTTGAAAATTTAGCTTTGGAGGTGTCTTGGGACCTGTTGTTAGAAGAACAGTCGGTGGTCAATTGGTTGATAGATTTGGGGATTATGCCAGTGACGTGAGAGGATTCTTTGAATCTCCTTCTCAATGAATCTGATGGTGACTGCTGCAAAGCAAGTTATTGAGAGATGCCTTGGGTCATTGGGGTGCTGGTTAACGTTAATTTCTTACAAAGTACGCCAACTTCTACGCATGAAAAAGCTATCTTGTAGCCTGTAAAACGTATGTGAACTTGATTAAATAACATACTGCATTATATTATACCCCTCCGCTCAATCCGGCTCTCCTTGACTAGGGTAAATACAGCCCACGCCCTGGAAAGTGACAAGTCCTACCAAACCATAGACCAATGGATTACCCTCGATTTCCGATCATCTCTTGAGTCTTAATCTCTTTTATGTATCTTATATAAGTTTTGGTATACACAAATATTGACTAACAAATGAGCAATAAGTAAACAAACTAGTAGGAAAAACGTCATCATCAAGGTATTTCCATCCCGATCCCGAGCCCCAAATCCATCCCCGAAACAATCGTATGTTCAGATCCCCAGCACGGGAGGAGGAAAGAGAAAGCTATGTACAGCACAAAATAAAACCATCATCCCATTTTTGAACAACCATTACCAGCCGGATATCATAAGAAAAATCAAAAAGAATGGCCCAGTCCCTGTATTTCATAACATTCATCAAAAATTGAAACCCCAATCCCATTACCAACCCTCCTTCCACATTTGTCGAACCCCCAACAACGCCAAAGAACCTGTCAACATCTCGTTCTTCTCTCCCAAGATTGGTCGCGAAACCGATATGCGTTTTCTCAAAGAGCCAAACCCGTCCCATCGCCCGTCCATCGATACAGAGCAAGAACTTCCCGCCTCTTCAGTTGCTGCTCCCCAAAGTCCTCTGGAACCCGTCCTCGAACTTGAGCAAGAGCAGAGCGCATTACTTTGCGGAAGTTCCGTTGATACTCTGTGTTCAAAGTAGCAACGCAAGCTTCGTGTGCACGCACTATTGTCTCACATGCCTTGACGACGCTGGGAGATGCTTCTATCTGTTCTCGAATCAGTATTTGTTACATAAGAGACCTTGTCATTGCTCTGCACACCCCTCTTAGGAATAGAATTGTGCCAGAAAGGCTCGTGCAATTGCAATAATTATGCGAACATTTAAGAATAATCGACTTGATTATTTCTTTGATGACCCACATATCTTGGGATACTCAAGTTTCTTGTACTATACTTTTGGCATAATGACCCTTGAGAGTATGTGCAGAGTAATGACCAGGTATCTCACGAAATGAAGTGAAAGTCGGACTTACTTGTAGCTTGTCCGCAATCAACAGGAGTAGAAAGCTTCCCTGCAACAGATACACGCCAAAGAAAAAAGGCATGAACTCCAGACCTGGATCGTACTCGAGTATGTTGTTGATTGCTTCCGCCGCGCTTACCGCATGTCCAGTAGCGTTGATGAAGCTTTGTGAGGAGATCCAGAGATCGTTGTCATCAAGTAGGGATATTGGATCCCATTTTCCTGTAAGAAGAATATGAAGAACATGCATCACATGTGTTCCGTAAGCAACTACAATACGAGTTTGAATTTCCGTTTCAGAAACATGTGCCGATGAAGCGGTGTGGACTGAATGAACTGAATGCACGGAAGGAGTCCCGACGTCGTTATGATCAGGCTTCATCGTCGTCGAAACCCCTTCCATATTGTCAGTCTGTTCCTCTGATTGAGGACCAAGATGGCGGATTTCAAAATCTTTGAGACTTTGACCGTAGGCGTCTAATTGTCGCGCAATTTCGCTGGCGTAGTCATCCCATTCCTGGGCAGATCGAAAGCCGATGCCGAATCGTGGGTGGTTTTTGGCGTGATAGAGATCGACGATCTCTCCGAGGATGGTCATTAGGGGTAAGAAGTATCCGAATATGCTATGTCCCGTACACTCAAAGTTAGGTCCTCTCCTTCTAATCCGTGGTGTACCACTCGGGGAAGTAATATGAATGCTTGAATCACCAGTGTAGAATTCTCCAGCCTGCCACAACGTGTCGTCCATTGGCTGGAGAAGGCCGTCGCACTCAATATCCAACAGGAAGAGAGGTCTGTTGTAACAGAGTGCTAGGTGCCTGTCCACTGTGTACACCAGCCACCATATCCTCCTCCTCTCCTCGCGTTCTTCCTCGTTCGCCGTTGCAGCGTTAGTAGGGCCATGCTCATCTGCTTCTCCATCTGCGTCAACATCTTCACCCCCTTCGCCTCCATGCTGCGAGGCTTCCGGGTTTGTGGGCAATTCCCTACCAAGTTTTAATTCTCGAGCCAAAGACCAGGCAGCGTTCCACCATCTCAAGCTTGCCCCTTTGTATTCACTTGCTGACACCACAGTTGCAAGGTGGATGTATGTAACCACATCATCCAATGTACCGGCAGCACCAAAGGCACTGCTATCTCCATCCAGACCATTAGACTCCACAGAGCCAGGCATGGCAACACCCAGGCCACCCAAAGCGACACCGTTGACAACGGTATTTGAGAAGTTTGGCGAAGAGTCTCCGGCAGATGGACCATGGATCAATGGTTTGAGCAAGCCAACGGTGAGCTCGAGTAGACGTTGACATACTCGTGCACGTGAAGAAGGAGGAGCTGTCAAGAAAGCAGCATCGCTAGTCTGTGCCACAACCCACAGCATACTCGCCAGCAAAGCTGGAGTGCAATCCCTGGGCTTGCTGGGATGGAGAATAGAGTGTTTTCGGAAGACGTATCCGAGAACGTATGGTGATGTGGGGTGCATCATAGCTGATGACGAGCTTGCAAAGTAGAGATCCAGTAGATCACATGCCAGGGATAAAGGAATGATGCTTCCCAGATGTGGGACGAGAGGCTCCAATACGGGGTAGCGAAGGGTGGTGCTGTAGTTCTGCGTCACGTGTTGCCGGTATTGTGTAGAGGGAGATGGCAAAGACATCCAACCTCCTGGTGACGCCGCATCCGACCCCATGGGGAACCCGGGCAGAGGACTATCGCCTAAACGAAAGGCAGCCGGAGTATTGGCCGGATAATGAGTCGGGCTTTGGGTTTGAATGGCATAGGGGAGATCTGTGTAACCGGGTACAGAACCTTGCCCGGCATTGAAGTTCTGATGGCTTCCATTGCCATTCATTATGTGGGAGTTCAATCCACCAGCGTGGTATCCACGCATGCTAGAATAGCCGGTCATATTCAGGGACGCGGGGCTTTCGATTTGATCCGCTTCTGCGCGACTTGACATGTGAGGCTGATGTCCGTTTTGGATTTCTGTGAGGCTCTCGAGACTCCCAGCACGCAACCTTCCCTTGATAGTCTCTCTCGTGGACCCATTTTCAAGCCCAGATGTATTGAGACTGAGGGATCTCTGTGCTTGTGGTCTCTTGAACTCGTTGTTGCTGTCATTCTTTGCAGAGCCTCCGCTCTCATTCCGAGATTCCGTAGGTGATCGCTCATCAGACGACTGCCCGGTAGGCGACTTTTGGCCATTAGCAGCCGCCGCAGCTGCTTGTTGCGCGAGGTCTTTGCGAGATGCTTTTCCTCTCTTCTTTCGTTCCCGAATGTATTCACAGCCCAGACCAAACTCTAGGATGTGTTAGCAGATTCGAAGAGGGTTTCATGCAAGGCTAAGAGAACTTGCCAACACAGTGTGCACATGGCGCTTGCCCATCACATTTTGTCCGAAGCTGGTTGCACTGATCGCAAGCTCGACTTATTCTTCTTCTGATTGGTCCCGAGGCACCATTGCCATTTGACCTCCCATTGATAGCACCTGGCCCGTAAGGATGTTGGCGGTGCTTGGAATTCTGACCTCGGTGGACCTGTGAATTTTGGTGGACGTCGACGTGCTGTTGAAGTTGCTGGAGTGCGTATTGCGAACCGTGGGCAAGTGTATCTAAACCGGTATGCATGTGGTTGGAAGGAACATGGCCACTGGATAACATGCCGCTCGACGGCAAGGCGTTGTAGGCTGAGAAACGGTGGAGTGGGTTAGAAAGCATATTGAATGTATTATCTGATAAAACACTCTTTTGGCGAAGTTGAATGAAGAGTTGAAAGGTGGGGAAGGTGGTGTTATAAAAGAAGTGGGAAGGCGTCTTAGCTAGCCTTGTGAGAAGACGTGCCGTCGGGGCATCTATAAAAGATCTGCTTCACAAAGTCCGGGGTAATGAACGTGCCCTTGCTGATTGCTCCTGGTCTCCTTGATTATCAGCAGGACCCTTTGTGAGAGGCAAGTGTGGAGAGCAGCGGAAGGTCAGAACTGAGGACGACGCCACAGGTGACAAGACAATCAATTCAAATGGCGGGGTTTGCAATATGGAATCTGCATTGACGAGGAAAAAGAGGGCATGCTCTGAGGTTTATTGCACTCGAGTGTGGAGAGAACCAGGGGGAGACAGATAGCTGCCCAGCGTGGTCTGGTAACTTAATAACGTCGTCAGGCATGCTGGCTGGCGGAGGAGAGCACTGGGTTGGCAATTGGACAAGGACGTGGGTACTCTCGGTATGGCGATTTAGGGCCAATTCCTCATTCTTGGCGAAGAGTTTGGGTTGACAAAATGACTAGGTTGGGGAACGATCCATGGGAACATGGGGAATGGTGGAGGGTGGAGGGAGGGAAGGGGGGGAGGGGGAGTCTGGCAAGAGTTCGCTAGACCAGACAATGAGAGTCCACGGCGGGTTGCCTCCGCGAAAGACGTTCCTCGGCCGTGCTGTTTCCGCATTAGGAGACAGCTCCAGCTCTGAAGCTGCGTCAGGCCAGGAGGAGGAGCACATTTTGAAAGCAGAAGCCAGCAACGATCTCACTTCCCAGTTGCTTGCATTGGCACCTCTCCGTACTGATCCCGGCCACACAGCAAAGCACAGCACAGCACAGCGCGTTAGATGCTTAACTGCGCGCGCCAGGATGAATGGATGAATGAGAGTGCGCCAAACTGGCCATGAGGGGCCATGACTTTGGTGATGGCCCGCGCTGCTCCTACTGCTGCTCCTACTGCTGCTCCTCCTGCTGCTCCTCCTGCTGGCCCCTGGACCATGATCAGGGCCATGAGAACCGTGGGAGCCTCTGTGTGGTGGTGTATACCAAAGGTGTTGTTTTGCTGACAGACTCGTCTTGATAATGGTGTACTGGTGCAACCACCTCTCTTCGGTGATAGGACTACTATGAGCATCAACGTTCATCTCGACGCATACCAGCCATCCAATCAGGCCCTTGCTTTCCGAGGGGATGGCAGTGAGTGGTAGTAGAAGTGGATGCGCCGGTCATGATGCATCGCAGACTGGCTTCGATGGCGGGAGGCTCGCTGCCGGTGCCTCCAATTAAGGTGTGGTGTGTGTGGAGGTGGATCCATTATTGCGAGGTGATGGGATGGGGTTGCTGGGATTATGGCTGTGGGTATGGATTTGAGAAGAAAACGGTCCGCCTAACCCCTATCAGGAAGTTCCCAGGGGACTACTGGTGCTATGAAAAGGGGCCTCGCTCGTCTCGGCTCTGCTAAGCTGGCTTGGGAAGTATACAGTGCTTGTTGGGCCAATGCCGATAAGCTTCTTTTGTCTTGACTTGCTTGTCTCGCCCAGAGCAAGTCAGAGCCCGCTGGGCCTGTTCCAGAGGTATGAGGGTTGTGTTGTGCTGACTGACCTGACCGGCCAGGTTGGAGTCGCTTGAGAGCCGCTGTCACGATGGTGTGGTGTGGTGTTAAGTGTGCGAACGCTAGCTAAACCCACAGTCTATGGCGCTCATGGTGCCCATAGTTGACGTTGCGCAAACCGAGCCGAAGCCCCCTCCGCCCACTCCTTCCCCCGCGCGAACTTCGAGTCCACCAGTCCACTCCCCCAGGAAATCCATCTTCCGCACTTACGAAGTACGAAGTAGAAGTAAAAGTCTGTCACATCGGCCCACCGGCAATCCCCCCCAAATCCAAATGTAACGGTCAACAACTCCGTCCCCGTGCTGTACCTGATACGCCAACGGAGATACGACCTACCATCCTGCACTCCAAGTGTCCTGAACTCCTGAACTCCTGAACTCCTGGATTCGGTCCCTCCAATGCATTTTTATATCTGGCAACCACTCAACTAAGCGAATGGCGAATGAGCGAGGAACGGACAGCAGTAGCCTTACAAGCTTGTGATGGTCTCGTCTCCTTGTCAGACCGTGGGGCAGTACGAGTACGCTAACCTTCGAGTACTCATTCCACCCCCATTTTCGGGGAAAAGCCAGGACAAGTGCCAGTCGTTGACTTTGACAATTCTTGCGCCAATCACAGCATTCATGAACCGCTTTAATGGATTATGAGGAGAGTCCTCCGCAATCTCAATATGAAGCTTTGGTGTTATAAGAACTCCCTTGATCCTTCTGCTTAATTGCTTCCTCGTCCCCGAAGGAGGGATGAGCAACACCGTTGTGACATAGCGCTGTCGCTCAGCATCAGCACTGCCGCCTCTGCCTGGGGCAGGCCACAACATATGTGTCGTGCATGTCATCCAAAAAGAGACCTGAAAAAAGAAAGTCCTCGATTCTGGGGCTCTAAGAGCCGTTGCCAGGGTTCTCCCCCGCGCCACAACCCTCGACGGAATACGATAAACGGTCCGATCTTCCCCATTGTGTCTGCGACCCCAATCACAAACCTGGCGGAATGATGAGCTTCCTCCCCATGCCAAAGAATCTTTGGTGTACGGAATAGAAGGATCGTGTAATTGCTCAACCACCGTCAGGCGTCCAGAATCGATATAATATAGTAGCTATGATGATACCAAATACTTGATTAATTTCCAAGTTGTGGCAATCCTGCGCGGGGTACACGAGAAATGAGCAAAGGGTATGCTGTTACTCAAATTACCCCAGATCTTTCCTCTCGAGGCTTTCTCCGAGACGCTCCGCTGCAATATCATACCCGTCTAAGAACGTGGGGATATGAAAAAACTATACAGGTGCAGTAGTGGGGTGTGGAGGTCGTGCCCTGGCCAGGAACCACGACGATCTGATCGAGGCAGTTGCTGCATCTTCGAGAAGGATGTCGATCGTGAAACACCGAAACCACCATATAAAAACCACCCACGATTGCCGTTTCGCGGGGAAACAGGGGATCTGTCAGGTGGCAGGCCAAATCTTTTAGTGTGAGGTTGTCGACGGCAATGATCGCTAGTAGGCATTTCGGCCCCTCGTCAGTGCCATTTATGCACCTCTCGTAAACCGAAAAGGATATCTCAATATGGAGCCGAATCCCGCCACGATGTTCTCCTTCAGATGCCCGACAATCTTTGAATGTGACCCGCAGAGAAGAGACTGTGACTGGCGTGCCTGGAATCTAAACATGCATCTTTACTGATACTTGGGTCGAACCAAAGTCAAGGCCTTATGACAGGCATTCCCCAGATATCTATAATATGTGAACGGGGGCGCTTTTGCTTTTGGGGCGATCAGGTTGGGGTAAATAATGGAGAAACACTCCCGACCTCCCGTGCTTTGGTGGCCGCGGGCCTCATTAGACGACGAGCGTATTCAGGTCATCAGATACGACCAACAACTTCCCCTCTGATTCGGAATACTCTGAACCAGAATCTTTTGACACACAAACAAGACAGAACCTCCGGGGGAACGGCATGACGAATGTATAGATTGTCTAGATATTGATTGGGGCAAAAGGGAGATAATGGTGACATTCAAAACTAGGACTGTATCCTGGGTTGCAGGGAAGTCGTGTACCTCACTAAAGGAGCTCCAGGGGGGACGCAAAGTATTCCTAGGAGGTGTAAAAAAACACGGCTCGAAGAAGTCCGCAGATGGCAGCAAAACATTCCTTGAGTGTCTTCATATGCCAAAGAGACTTCTGGGTGCTGTGTTACCTGTCGAAAAGCTTCAGCGAGGCCACCTAGGTTACTCGTATCGCGTGGCACATGTGAATGCCGATATAGATTATTGGCAATTGAAAAGTGTTGATTACCATACCCTCCTGCCTGTTTTGTGGACTGTCCTTTGTCTCCAAGCAACAAACCAAACGATACACCCATCTTGTTGCATCGAGGCCTCAGTATTCTCCTGCTCCAGAATTTGCGTCTCACGGTGCTGAAATTTACATACTGGTACTGGATAATTCCCGCGCTTTGGACATAATGTTGGTTGATGACTTTTCCAACTTGCTTTGATACCCAGGCCCCCACATGCGGCATAGATAGATACAGATTGCGATTTGAAAGAGGCAACCTCCGGAGCAGGTCCACAGCAAGTACCGAGCGCTCGCTTTCGTGGTCCGCTGCGGAGAGCCCCCAAGTAGCAACAACCTATGAACGAAGCACGAGCAATCGATAACGCCCTTCCCAGCTTATCGATGTCGAGCTTCCCATAAAATCTTCCATGAGATCTTGAGGTGCTTTCGTGCTTTTACATGACTTGCTACTACACACAACGTTCCGAATCGAGTCATCCACCGGTAGGCTGTGTCACGAAACACGACATGTTGAAGGGCTGGGATGCGACTCAGATGGCTCAGCTCGGCTAGCGATGGACGCCTTGATGAGAAAAGATTCTGCACGATGCTGATAATGAGGGACAAAGATGGAAATCATACATGCCACAACGGAACGTCCTAGAATTTCATCCAGTGGTACTAGTAATGGGGGTGATGTACTTGATAGGTCATCGGAGGGGACCCTCCACCAAATCCCACCGCTGTTATTTACTCCTAGTCTCTTACCCAACAAGAATCAGGATCTTGAGGGTGACAACTGGGTGGGTATTTTGGGAGGGAGGGATCTGGGGTTTGTTGGATATTGAATTGGATACTGATGGGTAGGCGTAACTGTCGTGTTCAAGGAACCGGACCCCGCGAGCATCTGATGATCTTTTGGGAAAACGCCAAACTAGAATTCCAAATCGAGAAATTGATAAGTGTGCGCTGGACGAGTTCCAACTCCAAACGAAAAGCAGTAAAGTACTTTGTGGTATATAGACGGGTGATAACGCATCCTTGGAGGACGGGTTGAACAGAGCAGGGAGGTATCGCCGATACCAAAATGTTCTCATCTCACGCCACTCGGCAACTGGACTTGAGACTATGATCAAAGCCATCTTTGAGGCTTGAAAGATGTTCGTACAACGGGTCCAATGGACATGTCAGATACAAACGGTACCAACTACCAACAAAACCAGGACTACTGGCTCATGTGTGACCCAAAAAAGACGAATGGTCATCAACTCAACGCGACTTGTCAAGCTAATACTTGGACATTCCAGGAGTGATAACGCGCGTCTGTGAGACTTCTCACAATAATGCTGGGTTGACAGGTCCCACGTACAAATAGAAGCATCTCACTTATATACAAGGGATGAACAAGATTGTTGTTAAGGACTCTGAAGATGATTGCGATCGAGATCGCGCAGGGAAGTTTCGTAAGTTGAGGATATATATATTCGGCGAGGTGTTACGCCGGCAGTTGAGGGGTACCCGCTTTCTGCTTTGCCATTGCAAGAGTCACTAGCACGTGATGAAGCAGCACATTTTCGACAGGAAACTCTCCATGTCTTTATACGCAGTTTAGATTTTGTATAAAATCCAGGCTACTCATTAGAGATTTTCTCCAGACTGCCACGTAACAACGTCGAGGAATGACCCTTCACGTGATATCAGTTTCATGTGACAGTATTGCTCACTACACATCCCTGCAATACTAGAGTATTGACGTAGTCAATAATGGTTCTAACCGCATACTTGAGTAGGTACAATTGATACTTGCCTCCCGAACTATCAAATGTTTGGCCAAATGTTTTCATCTCCCACTTTGCGCTAGCATTGTACTGTTAATCTTTTGCATTCTTCGGTAAAGTCAAACAAAACAACACCGAAACTCCGCCCATAAGCGTCTTGGAAACCCGCGAGTCTGTACTAACGAGAAGACCAGAATTGTCATGTAGAGAAACTTCAATACATGGACATCCCCTCCTCTTAGGTCCCTATTTTTCAGGGTGGGGATTTAGGGATAAGCTCCTCGATATAAAAATATCCTTACTTGTATCCTTAGTAGCGCTAGTTTACGCATGTGAATTCCTAACATTTCTTACTTAGTATGAAAGTAGGACTAAGCGACAATAATGAGAGGATTACGCGTAAAGTAAGGAGTATTAGTTCTATAAGCATTCCTAGGCACTAAATAGTACTTTATATACTCCTGACTCTTAGATATACGACCTTGTCGGCGCCTACGCCAAGAACCTTGCTGTAAGGATAGCTTCGCTTATATCCTTAAACATTCGCCCCTGAGCATATCCTTGTATCGAGGTTTTCCTGCTAACTCCGAAAAGCCACACAATCCAAGAACTTTAATGGCTTGTAGGTGGGGTAATGTGACATCATACGTGTAATTGCTTAATAGAGATACGTTCTGCGGGGTTGCATTTGTAATCCCCAAAGACGTAGATATACCTTCGCTTTCCCTTCCTTCCTCTCCCCAGATATTCAATCGTATTTTATCCTCTACCTTTATCAGAAATCCTCATCATGTCCATTCCAAAAACTACAAAAGCTTGGGTTGTTGAAACCGGAGATAGCTTCGACGCTTTGAAATTCAAGGAAGAACCTATCCGAGAACTGGGCGACACAGAAGTCTTGGTTAAATTTCACTTTGCGTCTTTGAACTACCGCGATCTTATCATCCCAAAAGGTCAGTTGGATGGCATAAATGCTCTTTGAAGGACTCTTTTCGAACTTGGGTTTTTTTCTGCCCCGCTATTTTGAAGTGGGGTAGTGGCAAATGACCAAGACCTTCCACCGAGAAATAACAGTAGTTCAACGATGACCACAGATTCGCAAAATTACGAAGTACTACCTGCACCAGGAGAAAACTAACATCTTCACAGGCCTTTACCCTTTTCCATACAAACCAGATGTAGTACCCGGTTCAGATGGAGCAGGAGATGTCGTTGCCGTCGGAAAGAAAGTCGATCGATTCCAAGTCGGTGCCAAAGTCGTAACTCTTTTCAACCAAAAACATCTGGCTGGCCCCGTAACACTCAAAGCAGCCATGTCAGGCCTAGGAGGCGCAATTGATGGTACCCTTAGCCAATACGGAATATTCAATGAAGAAGGTCTGGTGGATATGCCCACCACCTTGAGCTACCAAGAAGCATCATCGCTTTCTTGTGCGGCACTTACGGCTTGGAACGGTCTCTATGGTCTCAAGCCTTTGCTTCCAGGTCAGACTGTTCTAACGCAAGGAGCTGGTGGTGTGAGTATCTTCGCGCTTCAATTCGCTAAAGCGGCTGGTGCAAAGGTCATTGCCACCACTTCCTCTGCCAAGAAGGCCGAACTTCTCAAGAAGCTCGGGGCTGACCACGTTATAAATTACAAAGAAGAGCCTGAATGGGGTGCTAAGGCGAAATCTTTGACTCGTAACGGAGAGGGTGTCGACCATATTCTTGAAGTCGCCGGACCTACATCCATGGTTCAGAATTTCGAGGCCATCAAGATGGAGGGCGTGATCTCTATTATTGGTATGCTTGGTGGTGGGACCGACAAACAACCCAGTTTCTTGGAATGCTTGAAGCATGGTTGTACCGTTCGAGGTATCTTGGTCGGAAGTCGCGTTCAATTCGAGGATATGGTGGGTTTTGTTGCTATCTTTTGGCCGACACATCTGACTTTTGAATAGAACCGTGTGATTGACGAGTGCAATATCAAACCTGTAATTGATGAGAAGATCTTTAAACTTGAAGAACTCAAGGAGTAAGTCGGAAGAATCATCATGTACCCTTAAAAGCAAATACTAATCCTATTGACAGGGCATATCAATATATGTGGGACCAAAAGCACTTTGGAAAGTTGACTATTAAAATCGAGTAAATAATTTGTCATAGTGACTTATCACCTCATCATATCAAAATATAATGATACAATATGAACTCCAAGAGCTAAGCCATTAGCAAACTAGACTTTTTACCGACTGATATACTTGTGGAATGCTTGAGAGGTTATATCACGTACACCCTCACCGAACTCGGTTTTCCTAAGGTTTCTACAGCAGTGATTCAACACACATCACTGCTAAATACCTTATAACATAAGATCTGGAAACCCCCGAATAGATAAAAAAGAAGATTATATGTAGAACAAATTTAAAAATTTGAAAGACATTTGGTTCAATGTTACAACTATTTATCAATCATAATACAGACCAAAGTTCCTGATCGTGTCTCTAGGTAGACTTATACCAAAAACAATAATCAAGATCATTTCAAGGAGCGAAACGAATACGTACGGATGTTTCACCAACAATACTTGTACCCAAAAATCTATACCTCCGAGAACGACTCACTTCTAATAAGACGTGAAATTAACTGATCTCTTGTGGCGTACCTCGCTCCGATAAGAAGAATTAACGAAACATGGAGAGCGAGAAGCATTCCTAAGGACAGAACTTGCAAAGTTTGCTCAGCTGGTATCGTATCGTAAGATAATGTACCCGATCATCCTCTCGAGGTTTTTTTCTGGCGGTCTCGGAAAGTAAGAAGTTCTCGATTTTTACTCAAAGGATTTCTAGTTAGAAATGTAAATACTTTAGATATTTACGCTCCCTCCCGCCACTGAGTGTAAAGATGTGATACCACAGGTGTCGCGACTCGAGATCTCGGGTACTTTAGATGTGATCAAAAAGACGATTAGATCTAGCTCTAGCATTAAACAGTTGCGGCTTGTATGTTAAGGTATCAATCTTGCAGCAGAGTACCCCCTATTTCCACGCATACACAAAACTCCCCTCAAAATCCCCAGAATCCCACCAGACCAGAACTCCATCGCTACATCTGCATAGTAAAAAGAACGTATCCAACGCATTTCCATGCAGCAAATATGATACCCAAAGGAAAGGCAAAATCAAGGGTAGTCCCAATCGCTATCCCCAAATCCCTCAGTTCCCTGATTATTACCACCACCCATAAAGAATCCCGATCCCGCCGCCGGCGAAGGCGTATTCATGCCATCCGGATTAACACCCATCCAATTATCAAAACCAAGCACCAGACTGGCTTGATCCCGAAGCCACCAATCCTGACTTTCTACCAATGCTTCGACACCACCGAATAGCGTACTTGGACTGACTTGCCGAGGCATGCGAGATGACTCGGTGGAGGTAGTGATTCCAGAACTGCTGCGGGGTATATTGCTATCCGGAGTCAGTGCCGAATGTGTAGTGGACGTTGAGTGATCGTTGTAGCGTGGAGGATATGGCACGGAAGACATAGTTGTGTCGAAGGTTGTGTCGAAGGTTGTGTCGAAGGGAGTATTCTCGGATCCAACGTTGTTTACCACGGCTTCCATATTAGATATACGAGTTTGTACCATCGTGCTTGGGACACTCAATGGGTTTGGTTGCATGCCACTTATGATCGACACGCCAGATTCTGGAAGATAACTGTACATGCTCTGTTTAAGTTGATTTTGAGAGCGCACCGAATTTGCGTTTTGCTGCTGGATCGGTTTTGGTTGAGACACTGGCGGTGAAGGAGCAGAGGATGTAATCTCCTGTTTCGGAGATGGTACATCCGCTGTACTGAAATACCCGTATTTTGCATCTGTTCGAGTGAGAACCGCGGCAGCTTCTTCTGGCAGATCAATCTTCCATTTTCTGGCAAGGACGCTGAGTATGCTTAGTGTTCGTCGAGAGCATAACCAATCTTCTGCTATCTCCTCGAGATGTTTAACGCCGTGGACAATATCTCTCTTAGCAGTCTTTTCGGGAAGATTGAGTAAATGGATAGTACATGCCGAATGCACTATATAGACGGCAATGTTACAGATCTGTCGCAATCCATACGTCTTTTTGTATAGACGCATAATCTTTGAGACAGATCCTGCAGCTTGTGTACATAGCTTTCGCGGAGATACATGAGGGGGAAGAGGTGAGGTGTTGGGATTGTACTTGAGAAAAGGACGGAAAAGATGAATGTATAACAAATGAAAGAACATGCTATTCTTCAGTTAGTGGTTGTAATCTACGAAAGGAGACAATACTCACTGCATGAGCAGAACATTTGGTAACTGCCCATCCTTTGGCTCTAACTCCTTAGGGAGTTCCCTTCGCCATGCTTCTAGACGCGTTTGTAACTCACTTAACTTTTTCAACTCCTGAAACCTTCCGACTGATTTTTCAAGCTGTTGCGGATGGTAAAAGAATATTAAAAGGTCACTACTGATCTCACAAAGACTTGAGATTTGTAGAGCAACTGTCCTTGTCCGCGCTGGCTGTTTGTTGGCTTGCGAGACACCACTGTCTGTATAAGGAGACCAAATATCAGCGTCCTCGTCTGGAAAGACATCATACTTCGGTACAGTGATATTGGCCGCAGGGAGTTGAGGTAATCTTCCTAGGTAGTTTGACCAACATTTGTCAAACAGGAAGCACCCCCAAAATGTTACTCTTCGAGCATCAATCTCTTGTTCATCCATGCTTTCCTTGTTATTTGTCATACCCCCGGAATCTAAGTTCAAGCCCATGTCTTGTGCCATTCTAAACCCCATTCCACTATATACCCAACCCTTTGCCTCTCGCCCACACCCAGCTTCTCGAACAGACATAAGACACAAAGCTTGAACTGTGGTTAGCCTCGGTTTCTCATATTCATCATTTTCCACGATGAGCCTCTTCGCTTCTGCAAAGAATGCATCGCCCTTTGTAGTAGGGTCGACTGGAATCGCGCATCCTTTAGGCGAATTTGAGAAATGGCAACCAAGTGCCAGCATCGCATTTACTAAGAGGCTAGAACAATAGATAGTTCGCTTTGGATTACCCACCGGCTTTCCCAACAGAAAATCTCTGTAGAAAAGAGCTGTTGAAGATGTCAAAGTCAGTAAGGGACTTAAGCGTGTTTGACGTTGGAAAAGGTACGAATTGTACCTACATTTTGACAAGGTGGTAAAGTAGGGGTAATGCCACGTGAAATACATATTTATCAGATGAACAATGACCTCTGTGTCAGTGGTTACAGTAGTCCAACTCGTCAAAGGGTCCTCTTGTTGTGTGTATGCTTCTGAACCGGGCGCGTAATCGTCATCGTCGGTTGGGTCGAGGTATATCAAGTTGGACGTGCCCCCAAGAAATCGTACTGAACCACCTTCCAGTCGCAACTCACCCATTTTACCCGACAGCTCGGTTTCGAAGGTTGGGAGTTTTGAAGTTGTATCCAAGGCATTGTCATCCATCTCATCATCCTGCTCATCCAAACCTTGCTCTTGTCGCAGTATATTGTCCGCCACATCATCCAGACTCTCACACGTTCGTATCTGTCGTATCAAAGCTGGTACATCATCTTCCGCCGCATTCAAGATAGCTTGGATAAGTGTCTGCAGCGTCGAATTACGCGTCTTTAAACTACCTATCTTCTCTTTGTATACGCCTTTTCTCCGATGGTCGCTGTTGGGGTCGTAGACGCATTCTGGGTAATCCGGCGTCAGTTTTAAGGAGTTACTTTGGAGACTTCACTATACTATTTCTGAAGAGGACTCACCAGTCCCATACACGCTCGAACACGCAGCGCAACTTGGTGTATTCCCATCACATTTCGATTTTCGTTTCCGGCAGGCAATACAGGCAGTACTCACGCAGCGTCTCTTTATTGCTGCGTCCTCCCTACTGCTTCTCGATTTCTTCTTCGCTGGAGTTCCATTGACTGGAGTAGAGTTTTCTCCACGGTCTCCGTCTCCATGTTGTACATACTGCAGGCCCCCCTCTCTGACGACCGGCATGATAAGGGTGGGGCACTGTAAAGAACTGTAGAGCTGCTGACTCGGGACCTTGGACGGGATCTGATACCAATCACCGTAAGCTGCAATTCTCAATTCCTGAATTCTAGCTCGGGATATAAGGTTATGTGACAGCGAGTGGTGAAGGTATCTTCATCGGGCAAATCGCAATGCGCGGGGCATTGGTGGGTATGGTTCAGCAGTAGAGTAGTGGGCGGCAGATGACAGAATGGGACCGTCAGCCCGGTAAGCTAGGGAATGCGCTATGAGCTTAAATGTCCTTGATATTTTGGTTCAGCTTCAAGATTCCAGGAGACGGGTTTGGATTTGGGTTGTTTTAAGGCATGTGTTTCCCCAGACGGAGGACTAAAGAGTGCAGAATGATCTCCCGGTGGGGTGACGATAGCTGAAGAAAAAACAAATGTGAACGGAGTCGGCTAGTTATCTCCATCCAGTAAGAAAGAAGGACCTGATAGATAAGGAGCTCCCAACTATGTTTTGCTGTCGGCTGCTTTTCAAGATATTCACTATTACAAAGTCACAGTGGCAGTACTTTGAGACTACTGTTTTCCACGATGCAAAACATTTCAAGAGATTATGGAAATCGAACCCGTTTCGTTGATACACTACTCGTACCCTCTTTGAGAAGTTGCCTGTGACAATAAGACTTCCGAAATTCAATCGACCACTATCAAATCGATGGCAAGATGAAGTTTTCTTTTCTTTTTGCTTCTTGCAGCTTCTTTGCCGGTCTTATTTCGGAAGAACTGTTATCTTGAGCCTGGAATTTAAAGATCCGGATTACTGAGTATCATTTGGATATTTCATTGCCAAGAAGAAATAAGCATCATGATGTCCATTACTGGGATGTTGCCGGGTGAAGCTTAAACATATGACGTTATCACACCTCAATTTTATAGGGCTCGAGAGGGGGGTGTTGAAAGCTTGTCTTGAAGGCAATTTTGACCCTACCCCTAATAATGAACTCCTCGCTTCTCTGAGTTCAAAGGAGTTCCTTCGAAATTAACCATGTCAAATGCATCTCCCAATGTCCTCTCTCAAGCTGCTGAAGAGACATGCTCCCTAGCATTTCTGATCCGATCTAGCGCCGCCCCGGCATTTCTTGTTCTCGGCACCGAGTTAGTCGGAGTTATTTTGGGCTTACTACAGTATCCCCTAACGCCGCTATTTTTTCTACTACTTGAATCCATATACGGACCTCAAATTTAATTTGCCTTGTAAAACAGTCTCACAGCTATAGCAAGAGGGTGCGTATATAGTAGCTTTAGTTATGCTTGAAGGTTGTATAAATTTTGATAGTAGAAACAACTTTGGCGTTAGGGAATGCTTCAGATATATGAACTCGACGAGTAGGTAATTAATTCCATGATCGTCACGGAAGTATCGAAGCGAATAAACTTGCGCCAAGTGGGTGTCCAATAATTAGGTTGGGCTTCTGTGGTTCCAAGTGGAGTAGACGGTATGTCGGCACCAGCAAAGTACCCACCTGACTCTTTAACTCCTATCTCCTTCTCCCCTTTTGGCAGGTATTTCTAAAGCTGGTATTTTAATACATAATTTTGCCTTCTCATCATTTGAGGAATTGTTTGAATTTTCGCTTATATCGTTGAGCAATTCATTATAACTCGCGTAAAAATTCAATTTACATTTCCCGATTTCCAAGTAAGCTTATTAGACAAAACAAACCCAACCTCGCTTTTTCTAAATTTTCACACAAGGTTCTCTTTCTACACTTTGAAAGATCTCCACCAATTGGAAACAAAATACTGTATACCTGCGACACGATTGAAGACAAAAGATCCGGAGAAAGTGACCATAGATCGATGGCGGATAGCAGCACAGTACCTGGACTCTCGCGACTGGTATCAAGAACAAATCTTGACGATTACTCACACTATGGTGCACATACGAATACCAGAGATGCCGATGCGTCAAACGAAGCAAGCAGCATTGGGTCAAATTTGTCAAATGAAAAGAGGTCAGATGTAGATGAAGATTTAGGTCATGAAACCATGCCAGATATTGGAGACGAGGGTGGAAATGAAAGGAGTAGAGACGTCGAGTCTGGTCTGAATCTGGAGAAGGCAGAATCGAAGCGAAGTGTACGCGACCCCAGCCTCATTACTTGGGATGGACCCGAGGACCCAGAAAATCCTAAAAATTGGACAATCAGACACAAATGGGCTGCCGTTTTCATTGTATCCTCGTTCACCTTTATTTCGCCAGTCTCATCTTCGATGGTTGCGCCAGCTATAACCTCCATTGCAAAAGAACTCGACATCACCAATCAAACCGAACAGTTCATGACCCTATCAGTTTTTGTTCTCGCTTACGCAATAGCACCCATGTTTCTAGGACCTCTATCAGAAACTTATGGGAGAGTTATAGTTTTGCAGTTGTCCAATCTCCTCTATCTTATCTTCAACTTGGCTTGTGGATTTGCTCGAACCAAGAACCAATTGATCGTCTTTCGGTTTTTATCAGGATGTGGAGGAAGCGCACCCTTAGCAATTGGTGGTGGTGTTTTGGGCGATCTTTTCAATGCAGAACAGCGAGGAAAAGCGATGAGTATGTATAGCCTCGCTCCTATGCTTGGTCCAGCCGTAGGACCGATAGCTGGGGGTTTTATTACTGAGAATACTAGCTGGAGTTGGGTGTTCTACGCAACATCCATCGCGGACGCTTTCATTCAGGTAATGGGACTCTTCTTCTTACAGGAAACCTATACACCAGTTCTCCTAGAGCGCAAGAAGAACAGACTGATCAAAGAGAGCGGGAACTCGAATCTGCATACCGAATTCGACAGGCCTGATCGTACTTTCTCAAAGACACTCAGAATCGCCGCTATTCGACCCTTCAAACTTCTCGGCACACAGATCATCGTTCAGGTGTTAGCACTTTACATGGCCTACCTTTACGGCCTAACGTATCTAGTTCTCTCCACCTTCCCGGTACTTTGGACTGAACGTTACCACGAACCTATCGGAACGGGAAGTCTGAATTACATTTCGTTAGGTCTAGGGTTTTTCCTAGGATCCCAAGGTGCTGCCTATTTCCAGGACAAAATCTACAAAGCTCTGAAAAACCGAAACAATGGAGTAGGAAAGCCGGAATTCCGAGTACCTCTTATGCTACCTGGTGCACTTCTCGTGCCCATAGGGCTTTTTTGGTATGGATGGAGTGCCCAAGCACACTTACATTGGATTATGCCCAATATTGGGGCGGTTATATTCTCCGCGGGAACGATCATCGGATTCCAATGTATCCAGAGTATGTTATTCCCACCTCACTTAAGGCTCTCAACTAATTTTGTTCTCTTCTGTAGCTTATATTGTGGATTCGTACACCAGGTTCGCAGCCAGTGCTTTGGCTGCTGTGGCTATGATTCGATGTATTGCTGCCTTCGGATTCCCCCTCTTTGCGTCGTATATGTATAGCGCTTTGAACTATGGATGGGGGAATAGTCTTCTGGCGTTCATTGCTATTGGGTTGGGTTGGCCGGCACCTATCCTACTATGGAAATTTGGAGAGACGTTGAGGAAGAAGAGCAAGTTTGCTACTGGTTAATCATTCGAACCGGGCACAGCTTAGAGTGCTCCTCATCTTGTTTTGTATGTTATTAACGAGCTATTGGTATATGTATAAAGGAGAATTCGGGAGGAGATACCCCATTGTTCAGAAGCTAAATTAAGTACATAAATGAAGTGCTTTTGTAATCCGATTGTACTACGTATCTTCAGCTAGTTTAGATCATTGTTTATTCGTGAAGCCAAGACATCACAAACCAACTAAGTCCAGATACTTCAGCAGAAGAAGATACTTGCAGAGTGACGCAAGGAAAAGCGGTTAAGAAGTTAAATGAGGAGGCGAAAAGTAATCAGCGTGGCGCTCAGAGTGGGGCCCATTTCAACACTATTCTGACAGCATTCGATGGCCTTCAAGAAAAGTTTCCACATTACAAGCAGGAAGCAATACTCATTGCAATACCAATGAAGGATACCAACCCATTATTCGCCCCATATGTTTCCATATCCTGTGCTCTCGATCCAGTGCTATGTAACTAGGCACTCGCTGTGATTTTGAAGACAGTTTTGATAACTAGCGATTGAGAAGTTTCTACTGGATGAAACTGGAAGATCATCGGGATCCAAATGTTTTCGTAATTTATTGGTAAGCTCTGGCAACTGATGAGAATCGTGTTCAAAATATGGTGGCAAAAGCCATACCATCGAATTCTTCTGCGGTAGTCAGTTCATAAGTACAGGCCAAAGCTTGGTATCCTGTTTCGTTGATGACTTTCACAGCAATATTGTGTCGGAATATACCAGTTTCTGTGCTGGAGAACCTTTTGAGCGAGAATCCTGCCCTTTACTCTGCTTTCAACTTCGATGCAACTGCCGCACAAAATGCGCAACCCTCGTCGACGAAAGATGTCAGCGACTTCTTATTTTGGCGATATGGAAGATTTTTATGACAGAAGCCGTATTGGTCTTTTCTGGTAGGAAGGCTTGAAGAAATTTCCAGGCAGAACTCACTGTTACTCACAGATGTTCGTAATGAACTTGCCACTTCAGAAAGCCATTGTCTTGAGAGTCTGTGAGCATGCTAGGACGAACCCTTTGCTGAGTTGAATCAAATCAGTTAAGATAAGCTGTTGAAACAAGATTTTCAGATAAGATCAGAATGTCAATTCCCACCTGACCTGTGGGAGTACAACAAGACATACCGCGTAGCTCCTGCGCAGTTGGCTTCAGCATATCTTCATCTCTTTGGTCTTACTACAGTAAAATATTTATTGGGTTGAAAGGGCATTGGGTACTGAAGGTCATGGAGAATTGATTGCATTGTAATAGGTGGCTATCTAAGGTGTTTATATAAAGAGTGTAAGGTTTAGGCAGACATGAAGCATTTAGGCAGCAGAACTATAAGTGGATCAAATAAGGAAGTGGAGCAAAAGAGAAAGTAGACCCAGCACAACAATACTGTACGCGGTCATTACTCGCGATCGGTATACACCTAGCTCAGAATGGTATTATCCCAAAAGCCTCGACAACCAAATAGTTACATAAATGTTTTAAAATACGGTGAAAGACAAAAATACCACCTAATTAATTAATAACGACAGAAATGCCACCTAATTAAACTTTTTACGACAGAAATACCACCTGTATATCACTCTTTTTTTAATATGCGTTTTATACATAGATTTGATGAAGAGAACTTGTGGCATATCTGTCGTAAAAAGGTGGTATTTCTGTCGCTTAATATTCACTTCCTATATATCCTAACAGCGTCGAATATACTAAATTGCTAGCCAATTTGCTAGCGCGGATTCTTGTTTTTAATTGACCTCTAAGTATAGCCTCTACAAAATATTAACTAGTCGTATGTCAATAACCTTAAAGCGCATGCAATATGCTACTGAAACAGAACGCCCCGCGCCGTCGCGTACTCCCTGATGCCGGCCACGAAGTTAAGGGTATTGCTCAGGAGCAAGCAATTAAGGGTAATAAACCAGGATTTAGACGCAAACGCGAGGGTAGGGAGTACTAGGCTTAACCACTACTAAAATCGACAAGGACTGGCATACGAGGTATCAAGAAATAGCGAGTAGTTAGCTAATTTACATCGTTTATTATTTTTTTAGTGCCTTGCTTATAAAATCTGATGAAGAAACAAAATCGCTAAACTAACAGAAATGCCACCGATGATATAGATATTACTTTACAAGTAATTTTACTAGTAAACTAGTGACATAGCACACAGGTGGCATTTTTGTCGTAAAAAATCAATTAGGTAGCATTTCTGTCGTTTTTGATTAACTAGGTGGTATTTTTGTCTTTTGTCGTTTAAAATAATTACGATTTTTGACCTTTAAGCGATATAGGTACACTATAACAAATATTCTACTTGTGCTAGAAGTTTAGCACAATTGATTTTTATAATGTGTATTGAGCAATGACTAGGTGTCTTACAGAGCTGTGCGAGACGTTGTCGCCACAAGTCCCACGAATTATTTCAACCCCTTGAACTAGATCACTTGATCCATGTTATCTAGTCTCTATTTGCATTTTCCAGAGTTGTTTGACTAGAATGTTTCGTAGTAGATAAAATGTGGTAATGAACCGCTTCTGGTTTATCATTCCTTCTGTGATACCAATCATGAATGATTTATGAGAGCCTAAAAATCACCGAGCGTATCAAAAAGTAAATAGACTGAAATGCGGGTATTTCTGGCTTGTTTGACACTAAGGAGTACGAGAGGCATACTCCCAAAAGCCTGCCACTAGAGAAAACCCCTTATCAACGGGGCTACTGCCTTAGCCACCATGTTCCCACAACCAACCTATAACAATTCTCAATTTATACCTAGTATTTCAAATTATGAAACGCCACCAATCCCTTTATTGGCCTTCTTAATACCTCCACCTCACGACAGAAATTTCTAGTTTCTCGCCACTGAAATGTTCTTATATGTACTTCAAGGTTGTTTCGGTTAGTATGAAGTCTTCCGGTAGTCGATCCTCTCCTTGAGCCTTGTCTTAAAGTTTCCGACCTCGTCATTCGTGATTACCTCCGTACAGAAATCAAAGATATTTAAAATGCGGCTCTCTGAAGGTCTTTGGAATACAATACTGCGGAAGGTTATTGTGAGAATGCCAGGTTAATCCGTGGGCAAAAAGGAAGCCCACAAAGTACATAGTTAGAGGCTTGTGTGTAAGCAAGGCTTGAGATTGATAGCGCTCTGTACATTTGTTTCCTAACTTTCCTTCATGGCTCGTCTTTGCGACTCAGCGAGAACTACCGTGGTAAACCGATCCTAAAGAGAATGCTGGGATGGCATTGTGGAGTACCAAAAGTTGGCCAGGCAACTTTTTAAGTCGCTAAGAGAACAGCTTTCTACAAGTTCCAAGACTGAACAATGTGACCACGAGAAGCTACCGCTCATGCCAATCTTCTTCGCATGATCAGAAGGACTTCTAGCCACTTGGAACGTACGGACAACCCTTCCGCACTTATTGCTATCCACTATGCCACCCCAGCATTCTCTTTAGGAACGGTTTGCCACGGTACACTACTACATACTTCGTCCCAGGCGATACCAATGTAGCTTTCCCCCAGGTGGCTAAGGTGCGGAGCGGGGTAAAACTCCCTGAAAAGGTCACGATCGCTTCGTCTGGGACGAAATATATGCACTTCAGCGCAAAGATTCGGATTATACTTAGCCTTTAGTCCTATACATCTACTACTATACCCAGTTTTGCCTCTGCCCATAGGCAGATTGTTAAAGATTATGTCCTACAAACTACCCTTTAATACTGTTTTATCTATAGGACTTAACATATGTGATATAGCGAGAATAGGACTTAAGCTATGCAGAACCTAAGAGGGTAAGCGATTTTAAGAAAATAATCGTGAAAGGTAACGCTACCTTTTCTATTCCTTAGGATGACACACGTAACACGGAAAAAAGACGATCCGGCTGGCGGACTAATAGGAAGCTTCTACCAGGTCTGTACAAATCTAAACTGAGATATGATTTCTAGTCATCTTCTACTGATCCTTTGAGGTTATTTGCACTCTAGCGGGACAGAAATTACGACCCGCTCCTATTAAATTCACTGTGCATCGAAAAGGAGCAGTGTCTCGCTAAGAGGCTATTGAAATCGCGGCAGTGTTTGGAATCTCCCCTCCTCTCCTCTCCTGGCTACTAGGAAAGGAGTAGGAGATCCATATATTTGGCTAGGAGAAGGAGAGGAGAATGGGTCACTTATCTGGAAAGGAGTGGATAAGGAGAGGTGGGATTCGGGAGAGGAGTAGGAAGGAGAGGCTAAAATAAGGTGGAAAAATAAGGCTATTCGCAAGTACGCCAGGTTCGTCAAAGTACGCCAGCCAGGCTCGTCAAAGTACGCTAGTACGCTTGGTTCGTCAAGAGTAAGCTTCGTCAAGAGTACTATACAGTATTTGTACTCGAGTCTCGAGTACCCCCTTGCTATAGATCAAGTCTACCTAATTTCCACCTGTTTCACCACCATATTTCAGACCTATTTAAAACCCACAACACCCAGCCTCAGGAGTACTCCCGCCCTCTCCTATCCGGTGCCCTGGTGGCGAGGATAAGGAGTACTGAATGGTCAGGATTGGAGTAGGAAGGAGAGCGCCCTAATTTGTACGGATAGGAACGGAGATTCCGTAGGATAGGAGTGGCGGGGAGAGGTTTGGAGGGGAGATTCCAAACACTGAATCGCGGGGTAATCGACCGGCGGCCATTAAAGTCATACTGTTATAATCGAAAATCCGCACATCTTGCTACACCCAACCTAGGCGAAGGTCGTACCGAATCTTCACCGACATGATTTAGGATTTGGTTCTTATAATCTTGTGCTCTCCCCTTCCCACAGTAAAGGCAGGGACCCATGGAATAGATTCTAGGGACATAGGGTTCTATAATATATGGACGGAGCTGAAAATCACCAAAAGAAATATAGTTCCTATATATCCTATATAGCCTTAACCCCACCCACTTATAAGTATATATCTCTATCTTAGTACGTCCTTTATTTACGTGGACGTACCGGCTATAAGTACAAATATATCTAGACTTGCGTACTTACCCAGAAGAGGAAGATGGAGAGTAGGTATAGGGGTTATAGGGGGGTATAGGTAGGAATAGGTAGGCAATTGTAGTAACCGAGAGTGTAAAAGAGGAGAAGAGAGGGCGGGGGAAGGGTGCCTATAGCTAGGTAGGTAGTCATACTTCGTATGCTAGAAAAGTAATATTCTAGATACGGAGTACTCGGACCGGTAAAAGTACTTGGAGATACAGCGGGGATACATGGATCATGTACCCGGGCTCCTGATGGATAAGATGCTTTTGAGTGGCAGACTTGGCGTAGTCGATTTTGCGTACACGGTGCATCTCCCAGAAATCCCAAAGCCAAGTCTGCCACTTAGCTTGTACACCGGCAGCGGGGGACATAAAGTATAAATCTTTGCCGTATACTTGGTAGTACGGAGATTTTTTGTGCTAAATCCTTGGCATCACCCGTAAGAAAGAACTTGGATTTGAAATATTCTTTCATTCCTATTCCACCAAGTGTCCCGAAGGACTTCTGTAAACTGCTTATTTCTACTACAAATATGCCCCTCGGGGTACTACAAATATGCCCCTTGGGGTCCAGGTTGCATACACCCACTCCGTACTCTCCAGGGAATAAATTTCGCTTACTGAATTCAAAGGTTGTATTAATTCTAAAACCCTCTGTGCGTTAGTTAGCATTCCTTAGCGGAACGGCGGAGATGGGATACCCCAGGTGTCCCCGGGGTAGTGCTGATCACCGAAAAAATCGGAATCGATTAAATAGTACTCATGTATACATAACTTATACAGGTATAAGCCCATGCACCGGCTACTATAGGACTCCGTACAACTTCTCTACTACTAAAATACTCTATAACACCTAATAACTTTTTTATATATATTAGGATTAGAAATTAAAGTAAGCGGCTTAGGGTTAGAGTTAGTAGAATAAGATTTTCAGTTGTTTTATAGTGTAAATATTGTGACGTCACGTGCCTAGCACCCCAAATATATCCCGCACTTTGTACTTAGAATTCTCTTTTCTCCTTAGTTTTGGATACTCGTTCACGAACCACGTAGTTCAAAGGCACTTTGTTTACGGTTCTCACAAACATAGCTAAGTGCCTACGTTTTCATACCAGATATAGCCCAAGATCTATAAGTACAGTTTAATCAATTCCGAAAACTCATGCCGAAAGTAAATTTACTATACTTTATAGTTAAAGGGTCCCGGCATGAGGTTAAACCTGTTTGGAGTCCACTTTTACTTACATTTTAGATATATTCGGAGTTGTACTTCTACAAGTACTTACGAGTACCTTAAAAGGTGCTTGAAAAGAAGTACTTTGAAGTAGGAAGGGCGCTCTGAGGGATTTTTGGTGTGACCAAGGTCTAAAGTCCTACTAGTACCCCTCCCCCCGGCAGCACCTTGGACCTCTGTATCGAGCTTCTTCTGTATATACTTCTAGAACATTTTGTGAGCGTGTTACTCGGTTTCGTTTTAGTCTTAGTCGAATTACACTCTCGGACCACCACAAAATGGACGAGGGACCACTACAAAGTGGACGTTGATTGATGCGAGTGACAGGCACAGAAACTTAAGCCAGTAGGAGTAGTGCCTTTGGGCCCTGGTCTGTCGGATTACGCAGCTTTCCGTCATCCAAAAACCCCTGATTGATATGATCTACGTCTTTTAGTGCGTGCTTTTACGAAGTAAGATTCTAGCTTGGCAAAGCCACGGGCTTCTAAGCTAAGAATTTAAGAAAGGGGACTTGGCCAATCAATGAGCGTACGGAGATCAACATAAAGAAGAAGTAACAGAGAAAATAGAAGTAAGTAGGCCTAGTAACGCTTTCCACTTATATCCACTTGTAGTGGTCAAAGAGTGCAATTCGAATAAGACTAAAACGAAACTGAGTGGAAGTATTTTGAGTGTACTCAGACTTCTAACGCACCTTGAAAGTCGCTCCAAAGGGAGTAGCAAGGGCAGCTCCAGCCTCCAGGGAGATTTGGGTGTGGCCAAGGTTAAATTTTTTAGATTTACTAGAAGTACCTTGGGCCTCCCGCTCAAGTTCTGACCGTCTGACGGCATTTGCATAATACTGCGTATCTATTACCTCAACCGGGACATTTGAAACATCATAAGATAGTGTCCTTGGCCGCTTCTTGAAATTAGATTAGAAGCATTTTAAATGGAGTTTAGAGTTTAGTCCTCGGGCACAACCAAGAATATTGTGGATACGTACCGATCTCTGGATATTGCGTCTCATGATTCTGGGGAACTAACTCTTGACCTGCTTCTGTCTGTCCGTGGAGCTGACTGAAAAATTGATATACTATGGACAGCATCAAGCTTCAAGCCTTCCCCTGAAGTCCAACGTGGTATCATACATTGAGCGCTTCAACCACAAAGGATTCCAAAATGAAGTTGTTTTATTCCACAACATTACTCGGCTGTCTAATATTGGCTTGGACAGCTAATGCTCAGCGGCTCGGAAGGAGGCAGTTTCCTGGACTTGATCAGGTACCCATCTGCGCGGTTCGTGAACTTCCAATTGCATAGAAAAACCACTTTCTAGGTTTCTTGAGAACAGAACTTCACTGATGCCACGCATTCTCGGACCGTCTATCTTCTGATGATTCTCTTGTCCAGTTCTTCATATGATGTTTCTAACAAGATGTTTAGTTGGGCTGTCTCGCCACTCTAGTACCGCAATATTGCACTTCGTTCACCAACACCACTTGTATATGTACCGATAACGACTTGGTTGATGCTATACAGCCTTGTGTCTTTCAGGTCTGCAATATTACTGAGTCACTACGAGTACAGAAATATCAAAAGGACAGCTGTGGTGTTCAGAACGACAAATCACGACAACGCTCTTATCAACACACGGCATACGTTTTTATAATATTCTGCACTTTTTTTGTCGCTGCCCGCTGCTATGCAAGAGTACAACTGGGAATGGGAATGGCGGCCGATGATTGGGTCATGGTGGCAGCCGGGTGCATCTTTATTGTAATATCTGTTGGGGTTTTGGATACTGCAGAGCGCAATTTTGGCCAGCACCTCTATTATCTGACTCCGGAAGAAGTAACATATTCATTGAAGGTGGGTGCTTACGGTTTTATGAAGATGTCTTCGAGCTGACTTGCTGTAGTGGTTCTACGTACAAGAGATAGCCTACAATATCTGTGGCATGCTCGTCAAGTTATCACTGCTGCTTTTTTTCATGCGCATCTTCCCAGCACCGACTATCCAGCTTGGTGCCAAATGTTTTTTTGCAATCATAGTAGTTACTTATCTTCTTTTTGCATTTCTGGCGACTTTTCAATGCGTAAGTCAATACGTTCCATGTCTCCTAAACTTATTAACGACATGTAGTGGCCAGTCCGGGGGGCGTGGGACAACTGGATGTACAAGTCTCCACCCATCAAATGCATTGAAATTTACAGCGTAGTTATTGCGGGGGGGATCGTGACCGTTGCCTACGACGCCATGATCTTGTTGTTCCCTCTACCAGCAATATGGCAGTTGCAGCTGGCGAAGAATAAAAAAATACAACTTATGATGGTATTCTCTCTCGGAATATTCGTGGTCGCCTGTAGTGCCGCCAGGATTCCCCTTCTATTCGTTATGCGAGGCTCAACCGACGTTTCTTGTAAGTAACTCTACACATTACGTTTCTTGAAAACAATATTAATATTCAAATAGGGGACCAACAACCGGTCGGATTTTGGAGCGAGACTGAATTGGGTGTTGGGATAATATGTGCCTGTCTCCCACCTTGTCGGGCGCTCGTTATGAATCTTTTCCCGAAATTGACCTCTATACTCGGTAGTCGTAGTGCGCGACAGCCAAGTGCAACACCGGCAACTATTTCAGGACGCGAGGGACATAAGTGGAAGGGTGGAAGAAAGACAATAACAGTCACCACAACAACAACGGTGATGGGCAGCTTTATTCCATTGGAGGATATGAGCCGCCATCAGTTTGGACCCGATTCAGAAAAGGCGAGAAACGAAGTGTGACGGAATGCCTGTGAAAAGGAAGTAAGAGTTCGGTGGCATTCCAAGCTTTTACAGACCGAGTTATGACATTAATAAGGGCGCTTATAAAAGGCCCTACAATTACCAACACATGCGCTCTGGAATAAGCGCAATTCAACTAGAGTAGGAAAAACAGGACCAAAGGAATGGAAGTTCTGGAAAGAACTACAAATGGGAATAATAATTGGCAGATCTCAGAACAGTCCTAGAAATTGTCGCTTAGGCGTCGAAGTCTTCTAGCGAGAAACGAAGAAGTAATGACTGTTCCATAGCTATCTTTGGTGGGGGAAATGTACGTAAAAAAGATCAATAATGAGTTGATAAGCGATGGAAGCCAAATCTCGATAACCTGTTCGACTTTTAGGGCTTGTGTAAAAAATAAGGGAATCGGTTATTACCCTTCGATACTCTTACAGGCTAGGTATCAGTAGAGCATTCCAAACAAAGCAATAGACGTAGGAAGCCTCAGATGATTAGTTAAGAGGGCGTTCTTTCTTGCATAAACCAAAATGGGTATATTAGCATTGTCCGAATAACTGTATCTAATATCTTGCTCTAATTTCTATACCTCCCCTCCCGGTGAACAAGAAAAGCAGCAGAGATGTCTTTTCTTTCTACCAGTATTAGCGTAAGTAAATTATAACTATTGAAATTTTAAATGATCTAGAAATAGTCTTATATTAGTTTACCTTTTATATAACTATCTTAAAAACTCCGCTTTCCCCTCTAAGGTACTAACTAGTAGTATACGAGTTACGAAGTAAGGGATATTCTATTTAGAAGTATTCGTATTAACTACCTTTAATCTCTCTATTTAACTTAAAAGTAAAATAGAAATATTATAATAAAGATTTTTATTATAATAGTTTAAAATATATATTAAACCTTTTTATAATAAAACGGTTAACTAATAAGTTCTTATATTTATAGTAAATAGCTAAGTACCTATATTTAACTGTTATTAATAAGTTATTAGAGTAATAATAGTAGTATTATTAATATTTCCTAGTTTTAGTATTCTATACCTAATTAGGGGCGCGCACGGGTAATAAATAAGGAGTTTCTAGCCGCGGCTAAAGGGTCGGGATAAATCTTGTGAATAACGCTGCGAAAATCGGACGTACTCGTATAGTAAAATTATGGCTCCAACCTCTGCAGTAAGTTTATCCCCTCCTTGGCGCATCGATGGCCCATTTCGGCATTATAGTATTAATCCTCTCTTCCTCTCTTTAAGGAGAAAGCAAACCTCGCGCGAATTCGCGACAACCAGAGACGCTCTCGGGCGCGTCGAAAGGAGTATCTCCAAGAGCTGGAGATCAAGCTACGACAATGCGAAAACATCGGGGTCGAAGCCTCGACTGAGCTCCAGACGGCTGCTAGGAGAGTGGCAAGCGAGAACAAAAGGTTACGAGAGCTATTGGCGCAGAAGGGGGTAGATGGCGATTCTGTTGAGGAGTACTTGAATCGGCCTTCTTTGGCGGGGTCAGCGAACGGCCAATGTCGTGGGAGGGGCAGTGGAGATGTGCTCGAGCGAATGATTCAAGCACGCAAACCATGCTGTCCTGGAAATTATGGAAATGGTAGCGAGGCTGTGGGTCGGGGAGGGATTCGAGATGAAGACTCGGATATCGTACGGCAGGATTCATTCGTACAGCAGGGTGGAATGGTGTCTCCCAACACATCCAGCTTCACGAGCGCATCTGATGTCACAAATGAGTCTGACCAGAGGAGTATGGACCAAAGACGGCATGTTTTACTGCCGCAGCAGAGAATGTCTTCATTAAATCAACATAACCTTGAGGCTACAAACCCAACGCCCATTTCATCATACCACGGATCCCATGTCTCCGTCCAAAATAGCCAAGCGAACCAGTTTTTTATGTCATTTCATAATATATCATCAAACCCGCAAGTATCAATGGACCCGATTCCAGTACCACCAACCAGGGGAAATGTCAACAGCTGTGATCTTGCAACCGACATGATTACGAGTATGGCTGGTGGTGACCCAGTCGACGTGCGAGCTGACCTAGGATGTCTTCCGGGTATGGAATGTGAAGTAGATAATCAGCTTGTCTTTCAAGTTATGGACCGGTATTCAAACTCGCTGGGATTACAATAACAATTATTGAGCATGATCATGTATATTTTGGTCATTCTAGAGGATTCCATTTGTTGTGACCTGCTTTCCTTTCTTAACCCGTGTTGTCATGTTACAAGACAGACAGACTTGGGAAAGTCTCCCTCCCAAGAATATATATAGCGGATCCTGTTGAGGTCCACCAAGAGCTACTGATATACAGGCTCGGCTCAGTGCTAGCTTGCTTCATACATACAGCTTGTCAAACACGTAGCCCTCATATCCTGCTTCTGCAATTCTTCTCGCCTCTGCCATATACTTATTGACGCCTCCTGTATAATTCAAAGCTTGTTTTGTCTTGCCCGGGATATTTGACTTCATTTACAAATTAGTCTTTCTTTCTTAAAAACTCATAGAAAGGGAGAACATACACCATTGTACCAACCCTGTGTAAATCTAAATAGCGAGGTATTCCACATATCATCGACAATCTTCGTCCATCTAGCCTCAGAAAGCGCTGTCGAATCCATGGTCTTTTTATTGTTCTTCTCGCAATAGTTGATGGCGTCGGAGATCCAATCACCTTGTACCTCAACAAGAGTCGGGCCATTTGCAAAAGCAGTCGGCGCTGTAATCGCGTCAATAACCACCACAAACGAGAGAGGGGTGAGAGGGATGTAAGGCTTACCTTGCAGACCATACAGGATGAACATATTTGGAAAACCATTCGTTGTCATTCCCAGGTTCGTCCAAGCACCCTTTGCCCATTTATCTTTCAACGTGATTCCATCCGCACCTTTAATATCAATCTGCACCAACCCACCAGTTTGGGTATCAAATCCGGTAGCCAGGAGGATAACATCGAATTCCAACTCTTGACCATCGCTCATCAAGATACCCTTTTCCGTGAAAGTATCAATGGGATTTTCCTTGACCGAGATCAAATCGACATTCTCCTGATTATAAACCTCGTAATATCTTTGTTCGAGACATGGCCTTTTGATACCCCAGGCGTGCGGTTGGTTCTCCAGTAAAGGCGCGAGAAGGTCCCTCTTTCTCGGGTCGTTGATTCTTGCTCTGTGTTTCTCCGCCCAGAATTTATATGCTCCGTCATTGACTTCTTGATTGTAGAGAACATCTTGGTACGTCCCAACCCAGAAATTAAAACCACCCATTTCCCACAACCTCTCATATGTTTCTCTTACTTCCGCTTCCGTCGCATCTGCCGCGTTGATGTAGATCCATTCAAATTCAAAGCCTGTGAATGTACCGCCACGCGTTTTGAAGATCTTCTCGTACTCACCTTGGTTCTTGAGTTCTGCCTCAACGACAGGATCGAGTTTACGTTGCCGCATGGGAATGCAGAGATTGGGTGTTCGTTGGAGGACGGTGAGATGGCCGACTTCTGGACCTATCTCTTGGATGGTTTGGACGCCTGATGCTCCTGTACCGATAACAGCCACTTTCTTGCCCTTGAGATCTATACCTTCTTGTGGATATTTTGCTATTCTGTCGTTAGCGATGTACATTCGATAGATAAAATGAGAAACAAACATGTATGATGCATTATCCCCTTGAATCTCTCCATTCCCTTGAAATCCGGTACGTAGTTCTTAGCTGCAAACCCGGTGCCGAGTACGAAATATTTGCACTCTATAACCTCGCCTGTACTCAGAGTAACTCTCCATACAGAGGCATTCGTATCAAACTCTGCAGCGTCCACAGAGGTATTCAGTTCAATATCCTTACTCAGGTCAAGTCGCTTGTCAACGTAGTCGAAGTATTGGCGAAGTTCTTCTCCTCCCGGGAATCTTTCTGTCCATGTCCAGTCTTTGTAGAGACCTTCAATGCTGTATCCGTATAATGGTGCGTGACTGTCAACCCGTGCTCCTGGGTAGCAATTCCAATACCAAATTCTAGGTAGCATAATTAGTGATAACTAGAGAAAAAGATCGATAGGACTTGCCCGCCGAGTCCGGAAGCACTGTCAAATACTTTGCAGTTGTAGCCTTGTTTCCGCATGACGTAGAGTTGGTAAAGACCACCAAATCCCGCACCAACTATCAGGACATCTAGTTTTCTAGAAGGAATAGTACCATTGGTCTCGGCCGAGGGCGACATGCTGTACGCTCGTTAATAGGAAGTTAGAACTGAAGAGTGGATTCTGATTCCGGGCAAAAGGATTGGGTTGAACTTGAACACTTCGAGGAACGCAGCTTTATACGCCCTTCATGTATTGTCAAGTTACACGAAGAAAGCACCCTGCAGCACTAAGAAGCTGCATTACGATTATGTCCTGGAGGGTGTAAGATCTTATGTTGGACAGGGGAGATAGCAACAGTGATGTACAGTACACCATTTCACTTGTAAAGTGCAACCATCTTAACATGAGGCATCCAATTGAACTCGGTACAACAGCGGGTACCTTCGGAGGTAGGTGTGCAAAATTCCTTTATAGGAAAATGGTGGTCCACGACAAAAGTCATCCGCAACATGCCTCGAACAGAGGTTGTTATACTGTGAGCAAGAAGTAAATCTTGAATCTTGGAGGCGGATCTTGTGTCCCGTTGAACACCAATTGCCCGATGGAGGGATGCGCTGGCATGGAATCGGAAGAAAAGAACCATGAAGATGTGGTGCGATGTTTTACATGACCTTGACGTTAAGGTTGCTGTACAGTACATGCTTTTACCCCTCATCTGAATTCTCGGAAAAGATGACAAAAGTACAGCCAATTCAGAGCTAAAATCCCAACTTCGAACATCTCCATGTCTACTCTTTCAAAAATATAAATGATAATAAATTTACCAGCATGGGAAAACAAAACGAATAGTAATCAAGGAATAAATTGATTATGAAACAAGCAATGAAACTTCCCCATGATCGTCTGACGCTCTCGAATCGATGGTGATCAATAAGCAGCAACTGCTGCTAACGAACAGAAAGAAGTAGTAGAGTAGTAGTAGATGAATAAGCTTGGAGCCGGCCTCGGCAGTTTTCTTCCTTCTTCCAGGTTCCCCTCAATGACAAGACAAGTCTCAGCGAAGGAGGCAAGAGGCAAGAGGCAAGAGACTCTCAATGTCTACATCAAGTACACCAAAAGCTCCGGTTGGTGCGGGTATATTATCCAAGTACAGTATATACCTAGGGTACTCAATCGTACAGGAATAATACACCCGGCACATATAGTCCGACGTTTCAATTTAACGCCATGTAATACCACACCATTGGAACAGCTTCGTAATCATACCATGATGTGCTCGTGTCATGATATAATTATGATGAATTGCATTTTTATAGGTGTAGGTAGTGTTGGGAAGATGAGGACAGAAAGGCTCCAGCTTCTTCAAAGAAAATGTAAGAAATAGTCCGTGCACGTGACCATCATTTTCCCAAAATGACAACCACTTCCCCCACCAAAAAGTTCGACTCACGATGCAAGCTCTCCGCCAATTCCTTCCCCGCACTGCCATATCAACATACCACAGTACAACTCTCCACCAAATACGAAGAGCAATGTCTACCTTCACTCCCACTGAACAAGCTGAGATCAGCCAATGGATCACCACATCCACCCGCCTCTCAACCTCTTCCCCCTCCGAACAGCTACCCTTCCTTGACGCCCTCAACACCCATCTCTCGTCCCGAACCACCGTTTTAGGAAGCAAACCTTCCAAAGCCGATGAAGCCCTCTACACGTCCCTCGCCCCAATCGTCTCAAAATGGACAGCTGAGCAGAAGACTGGAGAAAAGGGCCACCCCAATATCATCCGCCATCTCGATTTCGTGCAAAACTCCCCTCTTTTCGCATCACTCAAGGTCGCAGAAGCGGATAAGCTCAAGGTCGACCCAGAGGAGATTCTTTACGTGAAACCACCTGTCGACGCTAAAGCAGAGAAGGAGAGATTGAAAAAGGAGAAGGCTGCTCTCGCTGCCGCTGGTGGAGATGCATCTCTCGCCGACCGAACCAAGGATGCTGCTGGGAAGGTGGTTGAGAAGGTTATTGGAGCAAAGGATGCAGTCGTCGCTGCTGTAGAAGGCCAACCACAAGGAGGACGACAAAAGAAAGAGAAGGCTGATAAGGCACCGAAACCACAGAAGGCTCCTGCGGCTGCTGCCCCTCTGTCCCCCGCTCTCATTGATTTGAGAGTTGGTCATATCTTGAAGGCTATCAAGCATCCTGAAGCTGACTCGTTGTTTGTTTCTACCATTGCTATGGGTGATAAGGCTGGTGCGGATGATACTACCGAATACGAAGGTCAAGTTGTGCGAACTGTTTGCTCTGGTCTCAATGGTCTCGTTCCATTGGAAGAGATGCAAGGTCGAAAGGTGGTTGTTGTTTGCAATCTTAAGCCTGTCAAGATGCGTGGTATCAAGTCAAGCGCTATGGTTCTTGCTGCTTCCCCAAAGCTTGCTCCTGGTGTTGAGGATAACCACGCTGGACCAGTAGAGCTCGTCACTCCTCCCGAAGGTGCTGCTGCTGGAGAGAGAGTCTACTTTGAAGGCTGGCAAGGTGAGCCAGAGGGTATCTTGAACCCAAAGAAGAAGGTATGGGAAATGATCCAACCTGGTTTCACTACCACCGAAGGATTGGAGGTTGCCTTTGATGCAGGTGTAGTGAAGGAATTGAGTAAGGAGGGAGAAGAACCAAAGACCGGTGTAGGAAAATTAGTGACTGCAAGTGGTGGAGTTTGCAAGGTCAAGTCTTTGAGTGGCGCTATCGTTCGATAGTCCTCTTCCAATTGCCTTTTTGCTAAACTAGAACCTCAACTTAATCTGATTGACGAGGCAGCATAGAGGAAAATAAAAAGACGCCGTAAGCGAGTTGAATTTTTTAACAACAATTTCTTCTAACATACCTTGATTTTCTTGTAATCATTTCTGTTTTATATATATAAAGTTTTGTTGAGCTAGCGTTCTAACAAAATACCCTATTACTCAAGTGATACTTGAGTTACTTAAGGTAAGTAGAGTAGGAGTAGGTAGTTCTATTGGGTAGAGCAGTAGATTTACCTACTTAAGGACCACTTAGCTATATTAGAGCATATAGGTAGTGAGTACTCTCTAAATAGGTACTTCTACTCCACTCCACTCCACTCGTTTCTAAATCTTCGTTAAGCAACTCCTTTCTTCTTTATAGAAAGTTAGCTCTGCGTATTATATCCTCCGGGTTGTCATTAAGGCGCTAGGACTGTCTCGCTTAAGCTCTCAATAGTGAATGTCTTTAGTGTGTAAGACGAGAACCCACTCGACAAGATATGCGAGCAAAAGTAAGAAGAATTTTAGATGCGAGAATATTTCTAGAGCTTTGCTAATGAATGCTTGTTGTATCGGAATATCGTTAAGAGCTCTATGAAATCAAGGCACCCCATCATAGGGCAATTCTAAGCCCCGTCCAATAACTTACATACCCTTCTTCAGCAATTCAAACAACCTCCACACCCAAATCCCTTCATTCCCATCTCCCCAAAACCAGAGAAACCCCACACCTCAACATCCCAACAGAACCACCAGCCTCTAGCACCCAGCACCAGCCAACCCCACCACCCCCTTATCCGCGACATACTCACAACGACCCTGCGGCGCAATCTCACTCGCATTCGGTGCACTCGCCAACCGCACATCATCAAACGCAATCCCATAACAAGGATGTACCCTGCTGCAACTCACGCTCGCCGTCTGGTTGCCCTTCCCACCTTGCGTGTACCTGTGGAAATTCCGGAATGTGACGTCGGAGATTTGCATCTTGGAGGTTCCGGCGAAGGAGCCGTTGTTGCCGTTGTTTTGCGTGATGGAGGGCCCCGCGTTGGAGCCGTGGATGAGGAAGTTTTCGAAGAGGAGGTTGGTTACTTCGCCCCTGGTTTTGAGGAGGCGGTTTAGCGAGAGTTTTTTACTTTCTTTTAAAATGTACTAGGATGAAATACGTAAATAAAAGGGAGGCAACTCACAATTCTCCACCCGTACCTCACTCACATTCCACAGATTAAACGGCATCGGTCTCCCCACCCTCGTCACCGCTTCCTCGGCATTGTACCAGGCATTTCCATTCCCGTTTATGCCGCCGATGCCGTAGCCGTTGATGGCGATGCGGGTGCCGGTGAGGATGAAGTTCGTGGCGTGGTTTTGGAAGGTGATCGGGTAAGAGTTGGTTCGCCAGTAGTCGAGGTCGTCTGAGAACTGGGTTTTGGTTTGGTTAGGTTTACCTTTTTTTAGGTGTGGGTTGTGGAAGTTGGAGGGGGAGTATTTGAGGTGAGAGGGGGTGGGGAATTGTTCTGAGCTTCTGGAAAGTGGGGATGGAGGTGATATTTCCGTCGTATGTGATATTGCTTTGGAGTATTTGAGTAATCATCTCGATTCTCCAAATTCTCCAAAGACAGCAATCTCATCCCCTTCCCAAACTCTCCCCTCCCCCCAAAAATCCCCCTCCAAAAAAGAAAAAAGAAAGTCACAACCCACACCCCCCTCCACCTAACCTCGACATCCTCAACCACAGGATTCAACCTCGTCGCAATCCAATACACCTCATCCTGGGGGGAAAACCACGACACCCCCATGATTACACGTCTCAAACGCCTTCAAGATCTGTGGTGCATCGTCGGTTTGATTCCTCAGCGCGTGGACGATGCATGTTTTTCCCTGGGGATCTTTGATGGGCGGGAGGGGATTTTGGAGTTGTGCTTGGGCGTGAGTTTGTGTGAGGAAGGGGAGGATGGCGAGAGAAAGGAGAGAGAGGCGGTGCATTGTGGTTATGGAGTGGGTTGGTATGTTGATTTTTGGAGCGGGGAGTGGAAGGGTAGTTAGTGTTAGGAGGAGGAGTGGTGATCATAAGAGGTAAAGATATTGCATAAAACAAACAAAATAAAAAAGGTATCTATCTATCTATCTCGATTCGTAACCCTCGAAGGAGAGAGGATATGGCGGTATGGTCAAGTGATATCGATCGACGTCACAGAATGCTCATTTACTTCGAAAACCCATCCACTTCATCCAGTCTGGTTCTTTCATTCGTAAATATCCAATCAATCAATCAACATCGACAAAAAGGGCTGCAGCACCCAATGTTCGCAACCAGCAAGGCGAAAATAACGACTCCCTCGCCCCCCCTTCCCCCCCCCATCAAAAAGATCTTCATCCTCTTTCCCAAAAATTGAAGTCGTGAAGTGCAAAATGCGTCATTCATCCCCTCCCCCGCCTCTGGAAAAAACCCGAGGGTTGAATAGGGGAAATGGCAATTCTCTTCTGATTGGCGGTAAAACTCCAATGGCTACTCTGCCTACATGTTCTTCACCCCAAGCCCCCGCTGTTGTACTCTTAGAGTAGTACCAACCCCTCGATTCCAATAAAGAAACTGTGGTTGTTCCCTAGGTATTATATTCTTCCGTTGCACTACAGCTTTCCATCACAGAAATCCATTCCATTCCAGTCAAGTCAGTCCACCAAGTCCAATAATAGCCGAGGTATTACTGTAAAACCGGCACAGTACTGTACAGTACTCTAGAATTTAAGAAATAACTAAAGGATCATAAACGTGATTCCCCTCCTCCATGCACCGAAAAAGAAAGAGATATTTTAATCAAGATAATAAGGGTTTACGACAAGATACTATAAAACAAGAGAATGAGAAAACCGAAAACACCCAGAAGCAATACAGTACAATATCCCTCCCTTCAAAAAGCCACAAATGGTTACCCAGCACCACCCAAAGCGCACTACAACATTATACCTATCCTTCCCTATCCCTTTAGTCAGCAACCGTACAGAACATGTTCTCGCACTACAAACTCCCTTTCTTGGTCCGGCCAATGACGATTAACGATGATACCTTCGGCGTAGGTACGCATATAAACACACGCAGGATGGATCTCGTCATAGTTATCAATGCATATCCAGATTCCGCAGTTGTGTTAGCAGGATACTAGTACGCATGTGCTTCCGTTGACTGAGCAGAGAGGAGATGTCTTGAGGTACATGATGTTTGATTTGGTTGAAGTTCTCTCTGATTCTAATCGGCTATATTAATCACAGTAGCATATGTGTCCACTCCGGGGTTTTTTGAGTTCTTTAAGTAGTTTTCAATAGGCAGGAACCATTGGTTTCCTACTGATGGATATAGAACGTAGGTGAAGTTGACATGGAAGAAATTCTCCAGGACCAAAAGTTGGGCTGCTGATGTCATTTTGATCTTCTGGTTAGCGTATAAAGACAATTTGTTGTATGGTTATCAAGGATATTTAACCAAGGCCTTTATTAGTCTGATTACTGTAACGCTGCGTGAATTGGACGACGATTTGGTAGCCCTTCAATACCAATAGTTACAAAAGCGTTACTTAGTATCTTCACCCTTATACTCTTAGTAAACTGGACCCAGTTTCACGTTTGAAAATTTCGTGGACTCAATTGAGAACTAGTCTCTTCATCCTTCCTAATTTGGACTGTTCTCAAAGAATACCACCCCTGAAGTTATATCCGGGACTCGCTTAATGGTTGCCAGGGATTAGTGCCCCTCAGTACCTACCCCTCCACCCCGCCCTCGCGTTTCCTTTACAACAACACCACGCCAAATATTTTGAACCACACTCCAATCTCAACTTGAACCATGGCAGAAACACACACCAAAGAGTCCGCAGAAGCACTTATCCCCAGCTTCCAATTCGAACGCGTTCTCAACCAAGGTACCACCTACTACACCTAACACGACCTCCAAATCAATCGCAAGAACCACAGCTAACCACTCAATCAGATCAAGCAGGTCGTCGCATAATCCTCCACGGAACCATCGACTCCAAACCTGCGCTCCTAATCCTCGAACGTTCTCCCTTCCCTTCCTCCCCTACCTACCTCACCCAATTACCAAAATCCCTCTCGCAGCTGCAAAATCTCGGTGCGAACGATGTTTATTTCTGGTACCTCGCATCTTCACACCCTTCCACATCCCCAATCGTAGCAGCACCAGAAAACGAACCAATTAGAGAAAGAAAAGAAAAAGAATCACACACAGATTTGAAGATCAACTTGATATATCCCTGCACGAGCCAACATCTAAAGAAATACTCACAACAAGGCCTCCGTCTCGTCCACGAAACACCGCAGATTTACGAGCAGAAAGTCCGTCCGTACATGGAGAACAAGCGTTCCGAAGGCCGTCTCAACTGGGTGTACAACATAATATCTGGCAAAACTGAGGCGGAGGATGTCATCTACCGTACACCACTCTCCGAGACTCCAAACGATGAAGGATTTCTGCTATTGCCGGATCTGAATTGGGATCGTAAGACGATGTCTTCGTTGCATTTACTGGGATTGGTGGAGAGGAGAGATATCTGGTCATTAAGGGATTTGAAGAAGAAACATATTCTTTGGTTGAGGGAGATGAGGGAGAGGATTTTGGAGAGTACGGTGGGGTGTTATGAGGGGGTGGGAGTGGAGAGGGATATGTTGAAGTTGTATGTGCATTATCAGCCTACTTATTACCATTTTCATATTCACATTGTGAATGTGGCTTTGGAGGCGGGGGCTACGCAGGCTACGGGTAAGGCGGTGGGGTTGGAGAGTATTATTGAGACGTTGGGGTGTATGGATGGGGATGAGGTGGGGATGGAGAGGCTGGCGTTGAGTTATACGGTTGGGGAGGCTAGTGAGTTGTGGACGGAGATTTTTGAACCTTTGAAGAAAGGGAAAGAGGAGAAGAGTTGATAAGAAATCGAATACAGTCTTAATGTTAGAGCTAGATGCTTGAAACCGACGAATGACGAATGTACGACTACTGGATACAATAACGAATCACGACTGCGGGCTATAACAAAACTACGAATCGCGATACTTCTTCTCAATCGCAAGGACCAAATCATTGACCTCAGCTCCGTGGGGACAATCCTTCCACTCCCGCCCATCCCTCACACAATAAATCTCGTTATCCAGTCTCACAGTGCAGCTCTTGGTAACCCCATTATCCGCACTTCTCTTCACGCTGTTCCTCAACAAACTCATACCTTTCCCACCATCGTCCTCAACAGCACACTCCTCTAGCTTATTCATATCGATGCCATGTTCCAAGGCGCAATCTGCTACTAAGCTCTTCTCTGGGATAGACTTGTAGTCTCGAGTCAAACACATGGTGAAGCCTAGGTAGGTCTTCGGAGATGGGTAGAGGTTGGCGGCACAGAGCTCTATTATGTTTCCTAGACATTCTGGAGGACCATGCATGCAGGATACGCCGTCATTCGCGGTGGCGGTTCCGATGAATGATAGAGTGAAATTCACTTTGGGGAGGACTCGTTGCATTGTTGGGAGGACGAGGAGTTTCAGGCAGTCCTGGAAGGTAGGGTGTTAGCATATAGTTTGTAGATTCCAACTTGGAATCAAAACTGGTTCCGAGGTTGTAGTTGGAGAAATATTCCACGAACCTGTGCATCTGGACATTTGCTCATGATATGAGCTTCCAGAGGGACCAAAGGCTTCTCTGCCACTTTCTCTCCCCCCTTTACTGCACTCTTCCCCAAAGTATGATCGCATGGTCGTAATCTCGCAAAGAACGAGCCGTTTGGGCTCTGATTTCTGAAAGAGAGGAGGTAGAGAAATGCTGCAATACTGAATCCTGCCACCCATCTCAGAAGCCTAATTCTAGGTATCATTTCGTTATTGGTACGGGGGACAGCTATCGTTCGTGCGCTCTTTTCGCCTGGAAAGTCGCAGCTGTTGTTATTCATTTTGACACTGCGATGGAATGTAGATGTCAGATGGATAGCGAAGACATGAGTACTGTGATTCGATTGTGGTGTTGTTGACAGATGTGGTTACGCGGTTCCAAATAAATGACGCTCGGAGTCTTAGAATGGCACTTTCTTCAACCGCCCATCAAGGCCTTGGCGAGCCAGCGAGCTGACGGAACACCATCATCACCACTCGCACTCTTGCTGTACCTCCCCGTTTGCAGCCAAATTAATTAATTCCCCTTTTCAAGCGCCACCGTTGTATTTGATGCCAGTCAACAACCTTGAGTGATCCGATTGCAGGAAAAGGAGACGAGCCATTCACTTCCAACAAGCAGATTGTGGCTGTGTCCCAGATAGGAAATCCCAGGGATTTAATCCCACCCTTCCTCCAAGTCAAAAACCAACCCAAGCAGATACAGCACACGGAAGTCATCTCCCGATCACTCAGAAAAGAGAAAAAGGAACCTGTTTCTTCCTTTGCAAACCCCCTTGTAATGCAGTCTCGATAACAAGTATTCCGCTTGCTGCACCTTTCACTTTTGTTCACGTCCAATGGCCATTCTGGAAGTACTTACCTTGGAAGCTTTCTTACGTCCGCTGGAGATTGATATCCATAAGATCCATGGACTAGCGAGGAGCTTGGCTACGACCTACGAGCGGTTGGCGAGGGAGTCAAAGGACCAGTTTTTGTCGACGCCAATATCAGACTCCATTCTAAGGCCGGATGGTGATACCGGTGGAAGGTGAGTTTACATTATACTTTTCCTTTAGGTGGTGAAGAGGGGAGTAGGGTCATGTGATGCATTATCCTAGTTGGGATGTCTTGAGTGATTGGGAGGAAAGAAGGTTATCGTTAATGCGAGTCTGTGCTGACGAAGTGAATAGATACCTCGCTATTGATATGTGAGTTTTCACGCTTCTACAAACACTTTCTAGCTCTGACGTTGAATAGTGGTGGTACAAACTTGAGAGTCGGTTTTATCGAGTTATTGGAACCTGAAGCAGAAACTGTTGGATTGGATAGCATTTCAGCAATAGCAAACGGAGAACCAAAAGAAACATCACGTGTTCGAAGACAACTTGAGAAATCTTGGCCTATCGGAGAGCAATTAAAACGAAATAAAGCGGAGGATCTTTTTGCTTGGATTGGTTCATGTATAGCCGAAGTTGTGGGAGATGGATGTAAAGTATGGGCTGGGGAGTTACCAGAAGAGATCCCATTGGGTGTTACATTCTCATTCCCAATGATGTTTGTTTTCCCCCCTTCAAGTATTGCATTTGTACTGATACTGTATAGCCAACATACATTATCCCATGCTACTCTCATGTCAATGGGCAAAGGCTTTGCTATAACATCAAACTCAGACCTTGGAAAATTACTCATTGAAGGGTACAAAAGTGTTAGGAATCCCACATTACGAACAATTAAAATTCATGCAATAGTCAACGATTCAGTCGCAACACTAGTTTCCTTTGCGTATCAACTTCGCAGTAATCCAAAGCGAAAAGCCGCTATGGGATTGATTGTAGGCACTGGATGCAATGCTACTATCCCCCTAGCACTCAACAAACTCCATGCAAGCAAGAGACCTGCACAGGTCAAAGTTCTCAACGATAGCGCAGCCTCAGATGATACCAAAATCACAGTCAACACCGAATGGTCAATTAACGGATCAGCGCCAGCACTTCGAGAATCAAACTTCATCACCCGTTGGGACGAGGTGCTAGATTCTCAAGGCGACACACCAGGATTCATGCCCTTCGAATACATGACAGCAGGTCGCTACCTAGGCGAACTAGGTCGGCTGATACTCCTTGACTATTTTATCCACCACCTCGGAATCGTAAGAAGAAACTTGCCTCCAAGTTTACTTGAACGACATGGATTATCTACTTCCTTCCTTGGAAACTTGGGTCCCCATTTACAACACATAGAACCTTCCATGCTACGCCAGTTAGAGAAAGAACTTCCTCCAGCCGAACATGCAGAAGCATTCCACTGGACTGAGGAAACGGCAGACGTGGTCTACAAAGTCGGTAAAGCGATACAAGTTCGTGCCGCGGGAATGACAGCAGCTGCCATCATTGGTCTACTAGCCTGCGCTGATGAAATATCTCTTTCTCCACTACCTACACCCAATTCGACGCCGGAGCACAAAATTACCAATGGAAATCGTATCTCGCCTCCAAACAAGATTGAGGAATTAATGGTTGGTTATACGGGAGGTTGTATCTCTCATTTCCAGGATTTCCTCGAGGACTGTCAGCGGATTTTGGATGAGATCATGGACGCTGAGTTTGGAGAGAAGGTCAATGGTATTCCTAGGGTGGTTTTGACGCCTTGTCATGATGGCGGCATTATTGGTGCTGGGATTTTGGCTGGAACCGTCAAGGTAATCTCGAGTTCCTCTTGAGAGACGAGGAGTATTTTTTGTTTTCTGCCTTGGTGTGTTGAGCCTTTGGATTTTGGTTTTGGTGATGGATAGATGAAGGGCCTCTTTTTTGATATGTTCTTGCTGGACTGGGATGGCCTGGGGAGGGTTTTTGCAAACTGGAGCTTGGCTTTTTCTTTTCTTTGTTAGGGGGACCTTTTTTTGAGATAGATGGGTGTTAAGGTTTCTACTTTTTGCGTTTTTTGGGTTGGGGGCTGGGGGTTTGGGGGGGGTTAAGGATCTCTGGTGGAGTGTGTGGGAGGGTTCTCAAACTTATTCTTTTTTTCGGGATGGGATGGTGTGGGGGTTTAGTTTTGTGTTTGTGGTATGGTTTGTGTTTATGTGGTGTGGTGGGATGTAGTGTGGTGGGGTATGGTATAGGCAGCAGTGTAATGCCTGCGGGAATATTTCACTATCACTACTTTGGACATAGCATTGTATTCGAAAGCCGTATTTTAGAATTAGGAGGAAAGTGAAACGGGCTTTGGGTTGCGTGTTGGATGGGTTACGAGTACGATGGTATTAGTTTTGGTGGGTTGGTTCTTAGGTTCTTGGGGGCGTGGGGGTTGGGATGTGGGTTTGGATGTTTGGATGTTTGGATGTGTCCAGGGCGAGATGGTTGTGGGTTTGCTGGGGTGAAAAAGGTTGGTGATGGGGTGGAAAGCCCTGGGAAAGATACAGGTATTTTGAATGGGAGGATGTAGGTTTAGCTAAGGTTGGGAGTGGAGTGTGGATTGATAATGTATGGTATGGTATGGTATGGTGCCTGACTTGTGGGTTGATACAGTACTGTGGCAAGCATATGATTATGAACTTTCGAGAGATCGGACGAAGGTGAAGAGAGAGAGTATGGATATTATGTAAGATACTGCAGGTACATGGATAGTGCTAGGTAGGGGTTTACTTGGGATATTGTGAGAGTTGGGTGTTGAAAATCATGATTCGGATTTGGATAGTGGATTACTGAGGTAGGGAACTTGGTTTTGAGGTTATTGTGCTTGGATGGTTTTTAGTGCTTTTTTGGAGGGGAAAAGGGGGGGAAGGGGGCAATCTATCGTATATTGTATATATACTGTTTAGGAGTAGGTAGGTACTCGTAGGCGGTTTTATAAAGGTACCTAGTTTAGTATTTTTTATACCCCACGATACATGTTACCCTACTAGCTATAGATCGCTACCTAGGTCTCTTGGTCTGGAAAATCTGTCACGCGGGGACGGGTAGGAAGGCGTTTGTGGAATCGTGATAAAACGGTGTAGAAGGTACCTATAGAACGTAAATTATAGCTCTACTTCGACCCTGTTCCCTACTTCTGACTCCTCGGCTATGGTAAAAGTATAATATTCTTGTTTGTTTTTTGTAAAGGGGGTGGACAGTCAATGCTAGACACTGTTACGTAGATCCTATGTGAAAAAAAGTCTATATCGACCAGATAGAAGTCTTTGATTCGCTGGTTTAGCTAAACATCGGGGCCGAGACATACTATGATCAGCGACAGTGTCCAGCTTTAACTGTCCACCCCCCTTTATTTAGATGGTAGAGGATAAGAGAAGAGGGAAAATCTACTATTCAGTTAAGAATCTGTACATGAAAGCTAGTCGACACTAGTACTCTATGAGGTTAACCTAAAAGTAAGAATTTTGTGACTTGTCGTTTATATAGATTGGAGGATAGCGCGCTTGTGGACGTTAGAGCGGCAATGTCTTGACTGAAACTCTATATATTCCGAGTAAACAGATCCTAAATTGTAAATCCAAGCCGCCTAATATAACCCTAACAGAGTGAGATGTCTGAGTCGTGAAGTATAATCTCAGCCTCTTCAAGCTGTAGATCTTACCTCGCCGCCAATTTTCTTCCATCTCAAACTCGCAATATAACACAACGGACCCTTGTCCTCTGCCATCAACTTCCTTCTCTTCTCACACCCCTCAGTCGGTGGTCCAAATTTCCCACACGCAATAGCCCGCGTGCAATAAGGACATTCATCACTCCAATAGATCTTGGGCGTCTCCCAGGTCCTGACATAAGCCTTCGCACCCTCCGTACTCAAAACGGCACCCTCCTTCAAAGGGAACCTCCAGGTCGCTGCTTTCTCAACAATAGCCATCAACTCCTCCTTCTTATCCTCACTCGTCTCGAACTCAATGACAAGTTCCCTCAAAGATTTCAATTTGGAAAACGCACAACCCCATCCGCTCTCATTCCAAGGGATGACCTGACCTCTCCGTTCCGCCTCCCAATCCGCCTTCATCACCCCAGCCTCACTACTATGTCCGCGTTGCGGATTAATCTCCAACGCAGCATTCCTTTCATTCCACCACCAATCGCCCCTCCGAATCGTGATCGTGACCCTCTCCATCCCCTGCAAATACCCCTGACTGCAAAACAGCGGGAAGCTATGCTCCAACCAAAACAGCTGCGTGAAGAAATGTATCTCCTTGACCAACTTCATCTGCCACGGTTGAAAATCCCGGAAGTACCGCGCTTCGTGCACGTGGTCGCCCCATTTGTCGCGGTCGAGGTTTGGCGGCCAGCGGGCGTGCCAGAAGACGTGTTCTTTGCTTGTTGGGGGGAGATGGTAGGTTTCGAGATAGGCGAGACGGCAGGTTTGGAGCAGCGTCGTGGAGACGGTGCGTTGGCCAGTGTAGCCTGGTCGTGTGTAGTTGGTTGATACCGCGTATTGGGATGAAGGGTCGGTTTTTGTGTATTCTGTGAGTGCGTATTGGAAGATTTCGTCTCGGATTTCTGGGGGGATGCGGCCGTTGAAGAGAGGGGAGTCGAGTTGGGGATTTATAGGACGGTTTTGTTCGTGGACGGGGTGTCGTTTGGTGCGTTTGTTAGCCTTGGGTGCTGGTGATGTCGGGTTTTGGAAGATTTGAGAGGGAGGGTTTCCTGCTTGGGTTCGGTGGAGGGATTGCCAGAGTATGCTTCCGGCGATGTCGTCTCTTATTCTTTCACTTCTTCTTATTCTTGGGGTTTGATGGTCCGTAACACCAGTTGGGTGTTCTGTTTCGGATGTTGTGTCCATGATTTTCCTCTTCGAACCCGGAACGAAATTCAACTCTCGAATTGGGAGGTTGATAGTAAGTGATAGATTGATAGAAACGATGAATGGATTATGATAGAAACAAAATATCAACGGAGGATAATAGAAATATATAGGAACTGCAATTACTGTAGGTAGCAAAACGCGGGGAGGAAAAGAGGGGTCTGCTGCCTGCAGGTTGCCTTGAGCCTTGCTGATGCCTTGTGGTGCGATGATTGGAGGTTTTTGGTTGGTACTCACCACACCATGTCAATATGCAAGGCAACTATCCGCGTTGATACCTATTCGGTTCCATTCGCCTCCATTCGCCTCGGGAAAATAAATACCACCGGGGACAATATCAAATAGGGGAAGAAGCTAGAGTCTTCGAGCTTTGAGAAACAAGACAGAAGGTGAACAGGAAAGTAATTGCTTATGGCACCTTGGCCGTAATGGACACGAAATGAAGTAGATGGAAGATGGCTCTAAGTTCAACTTGGAAGTTTAAGACCAGCCCATAAAAATATAGAAAACAAAACGAACAAACAAACAAACGAAAAATAACCCGAATGTTTAGACGAGTGATGTCAAAACATGGAAGAGGATATAGGTAGGAGACCCAGCATAGATATGTAGGCCGGACCTGAAGTAGTTGTAGAAAAGGCCAACTCGGCCCGTGATAGCAGCATACGGGATCATGCCTGCTCGGTCTTGTCTCGCCTAAGTTGCCTCGCAGCCTCGGTCAGATTAGGTTCCGGGGAAAAGATCAGACCCACGCTCATTCGTCCGATCCCCCATTGTCCACATGGGCTTCCGTGCCAGAAATTGGACGCGTCTAGACCACCATCGCAACTCCCCACGAGCAGCCCTGCAGTCCGTCCCTGGGATTCGCAGCGAGAAAAAAAAACCGGCGTGCTCAATAATAGAGCGGCGAATTGGAGTCGATCTCTTGAATTGGAAAGCATCTGTACTCGTACGGCGACCAAGTCAGTCTATCCCTGCGCTCCTTTTTCCTTGCGACGAGTACGGAGGTATCCATGGATGCCCTGTCAAATGTCAAGAGACTTTGGTCTGTGTATCGTCCACGACTCCCATCCACAACCCTCAACCATAATAAGCCACTCCGCTTGTGGTCGTGGTTGTTCTCTCTTGTGTTTCCCTCTGGAGATCCCATTTGCGAGAGACACACTCACACTCATTCTTTAACAGGAACCCCCAGACTAATAGGCTGGTCTACCACTAGCGGCGGCACCACTCCGGTTCATCTTCTATCCATTCGCCTAAGCACAACGTCTTCACCTCCTCACACCTTCTACCTGCCCCTTTTCGTGCCGCTTAAGCCCAAATGCTGGGTCTGAGGCGTGTATGATGTTCTCGTCTGCAAAGGGGTCGTCTTTGGCTTCCAGAGACCCCTCTCCCGCCACGACCCTCCAACCACATCAGGAGTATTCTGGCGAAGAGAGTGACCAGAAGCAAGGCGTGACGAGCAAGGAGGAAGAAATTTTGGATCTGGATTTCTCCGATTTAGGTGTAGCACAGGTTTTTAACCATGATCCTCGTCCAACTTTCGTTGTCAAATTCGACACTCTCTCAGAGGATCGCTTCGATGTGGTTTTTGTAAATTCGGCATTGACTGAAAATCCAAAACTATTCACTGCCATTGAGCGTGCAAGTGGCCCTCAACAATCATCAAAAGACGCCGCGGCTACTCAATTCAGAGGCTGGTTGAATACGATCTTTGATACATCCTCCACAAAACTGCCACCGGCCATCTATTCCGATTTTGCTTGGAATGCCTTTCGCATTCAAAAGACCTGGGTGGTTGTTGCAGGAAATGATACTATCTTTGATAGGCCGATGGATGTCCTCTCGCGCACTTCGAGCTCAAATTCCACTTCTTCTCAGGCTACTGAAATCCTCTCGCATAGCAAAGTGGATATTGTGCGTTCAAATGCTACAAACAGCATAGAGACAGGGGAAGCCTCTCCCTCCTTTGTAACACCCGGAACACCGGACTGGACCGTACCATTCCCTGTCGGTGATTTATCTCCTCATATCATCTTTACTCGAAGCGTGGATTGGGCTGCTACACCTTTGGGAGACATGACTTCATGGACACCAGAATTTCGTCAGATTTGTAACCTTCTCATGGCAAACCCACATCCCGCTGCGCTCTTCTGGGGCGAGGAACTCACAGTCATCTACAATAAAGCATATGCTGATAATGTGGCTGGCGACAAGCACCCGAAGCTCATGGGAGTAGGATTTTCGACGGCAGGAGCATTCCAAGAATTGTGGGACCACGTTGACACAATTTTCAACGAATGTCGAACTACAGGCAAGTCTGTCGCTATATCGGAACAAATGCTGCCAATTCACCGTTTTGGATTCCTTCAAGAGACGTATTATACTTGGTCGCTCAGTCCTCTGTATGGTGGCACAACGAAAATCCTCGGCATGTATAATGCTCCATTTGAGACCACTCGGCAAACCCGAGCCGCTCGTGCCTTTCAGACTCTTCTGAAGTTAGGACAAGATACTGCTCTTGCACAAACTGTGTCTGGATTTTGGGGCAAAACTTTACTGTCGTTGGAAAGCAATGGGTTTGATTTCCCTTTCGCTCTGATATACTCTGTGCAGGATGAATATGAGCAAGAGGATGATAATTCCTCTACCTCTTCTTCGTCAGATGTCATGAAGTCTTGCATACTAGAAGGTTCAATTGGTGTCCCAGATGGTCACGCTGCTGCACCTTCACGGCTGGATCTCCATCGCGCGAGAGGGGGATTTATTCCATCGTTCCGAGACGCTCTAAGAACACGTCAGCCAAAGCTCCTCAAGATCGTTGATGGATCTCTCTCCGAGTCATTGCTTGAAGGCATTCAGTGGAGAGGCTATGGCGAACCCTGCAGAGAGGCGATTGTTTGTCCAATTCGGCCTACAAATTCAGATGATGTGATGGGCTTCTTAGTATTTGGTATCAATCCCCGTAGGCGATACGACGAGGATTATCAAAAATTCGTTCAACTCCTGGATCGGCAAATGACTACATCCCTGGCTTCGGTCAAATTGTTCGAAGAGGAAACTTTGAGAGGTGACACTGCTAAAGAAAATGCGGAGGCTGAGCGTGTGCGATTCTCGAAAGAGTTGGATCTCGAGCGCACCCGACTACAACGTATGGCTGAGATTTCTTCGGTTGGTCTGTTCTCAATTGGAGTTGATGGCAAAGTCTTAGAGGCCAACGATCGATGGTATGAGATTACTGGTCACTCGAGAGACTTGACGAAACCTATGTCATTCGTGGATACTCTAATTGAAGAATGCAAAAGTGCGATGTACACGGGATGGAAACGACTTACGGTGGACCGTATGCCATGGACCTCCGAGTTACAATTGAAGAATAGTTGGTTTGACCCTGCTACGACGGAAGAGTTTGATCACTGGGTTCTTGTAGCGGCACAACCAGAAATTTGTATTGAGGGGGAGTTGAAGAGTGTCATGGGGACAATCACTGATATTACGCTCCAAAAGAGAAGTGAGAAAGATGCAAAAATGCGAGCAAAGCTTGCCGACCAGCTTTTGACTCGCGAACAAGAGGCAAAGGATTTACAAAAGAGACAATTAGAAGAAGCAGAGGAAAATCGGAGACGTCAAAACAACTTCATCGATATTACGTCTCACGAGATGAGAAACCCCTTGAGTAAGTTCGCTGATGATCTCCTATGTTTCAGGACTGACCCATCAAATAGGCGCAATACTGCAATGTGCCGATAGTATCACCACTACTCTCAAAGAGGCATTGACCGGAAATTCTGCTCTGGATGCTTCTGCTATCGTTGCATTTGAAGACGCGATTGGTTCCGCAGAGACCATCACCTTATGCGCGCAACATCAAAAGGCTATCATCGATGAGTATGATTGCCCTTATCCATAAAAACTTTAGACCGCTAATATTGTACAGTATCTTGACAATCTCCAAGCTGGACGCGAATCTCTTGCTCATTACTCCTCTGCCAGTCCAGCCTGTGGGAATAGTACGACAGACCTTGAAGATGTTCACCGCAGAAGTCCAGATGAGTTCAATCGAGCTCAATTTTAATATCGAAGACTCATGGGTAGATCTCGATGCAAATACTGTCATGTTAGATTATTCTAGACTGCGACAGATCTTGGTAAACCTACTTAGCAACGCCGTCAAATTCACCAAGAACGAGGCGAAACCCCGCAAGATCACCATTTCTCTTTCCGCCCATACAGCTGCGCCACCTCCCTTTCCAGACGACTTTAAGTACTTCCCAACCGAAAAGAGTTGCCCAGATGTAACTGCAGGAGAGGACTGGGGAAGAGGTGATATCCTCTATCTCCGATTTGAAGTAAACGACAGTGGTTGCGGTCTGAACGAGGAGGAGAAAAAGAATCTTTTCAATCGTTATTCACAGGCTTCTCCTAAAACCCATGTCAAATATGGGGGCAGCGGTTTAGGATTATTCATTTCACGTCAGCTTACTGAGCTTCAAGGTGGAGAAATTGGAGCTGCTTCGAAAGCTGGCGTTGGTAGTGTCTTCGCATTCTACGTCAAGGCGCGAAAAGCCGAATCAAAAGATGTCAACAATCCAAAAGAGAAAGCAATTCCTGGATCTCAAATGCTTACCGTTCCTATCATGCAACCCTCCATTTCGCGCGTGTCCTCAGCACCAGCTTCCATTCCAACAACCACATCTCTCGACTCGGGCCCAGCAAAATGGCACGTCCTCATCGTCGAAGACAATCTCGTCAACCAAAAAGTCCTCGCCAAGGGAATCCGCAAACTAGGCTGTACGGTCCACGTCGCAAATCACGGTGGTGAAGCCCTGGACCTCCTCCAGCAGACTAGATACTACAAAGGACGAGAAGATGATGGAAAGGAACTTACGGTCATCCTCATGGATCTCGAGATGCCGGTTATGGATGGTCTTACCTGTGTAAGGAAGATTCGGAGTTTGCAGCAGGAGGGTCTGGTCACGAAGCATTTACCGATTATTGCCGTTACTGCGAATGCGAGGCAGGAGCAGGTTGCTGCTGCGAAGGCTAGTGGGATGGTATGTTTCTTCTCCTCGTCCTCATTCTTACTTACAGTTGCTAATCGAATGACTAGGATGATGTTATGCCGAAACCTTTTCCGATCCGCGAGCTGATTCCAAAGATTGAGACTCTTCTCAACTCTTGAGGAATGAATTCTTCAAGAACCTTTGCTAGTCGACTCATTGGCACTCAGCTCGCCATTTGCAACCTTCATCTCCGCCCGGATTCTTTCTTCGCTCCCCATGGCCCCTTCTCGATCGAAGTCAGCGAAGAATATCGATTACATGCATATACGCTGCATAGACGAGTTCCTAGAAAAGAAGACCAAAGCGAGCATTGCGAGATGATCTCTTTTTCTTCCGGCATTTACTTTTGCCATTGCTGGGTTAAGATGATGCATGCATATTTCGGGCGTTGCTTTTTCTCCTTTTTTTCCCCCCCCTGTTTTCATTTGCATTGTTCCTTTCTACTAGATTTCCTCTTTCCCCTTCTGCTAAAGATCTTCGAGGATCTTTGAGTTTTCGCGGAGGATGTTTGGTGGGTGTGGTGTGGTGTGATGTGGTCTCTTTTTGAGGGGAGGTTGATTTGTTTTCCATTTCCATTTCCAGTTCCATTTCCATTTCTTTTTTTGTTATTTCCCTGATTTCATTTGTTTGATTTGTTTCCTTTTATACACGAGATACCCTGGGAGAATTTCCTTTTCTTCTTTTTTTCTTTTCTTTCTTCTTTTTCCTCTCTTCCTCCTTTCCTACTTTTTTCCTTCTTCTTCATCGTGTTTTTCTCTTTTTTTCTCTGGATTAAGAAGATGCTTCTAGGCGTTGGATGGATGGATGGCTGGAAGAAAGACAGATTGGTCTTCTCCTGGTGTGGCTGGGTCTGGATTCCGATTTTCTTTGGTTTGGTCTGGTTTTGCAAAGTGTCGTGAGGGAGTTGGTTGGTTGGTAATGAGTGGAGTGGAGTGGAGTGGAGTGGAGGTTGGGGATTTCTTTTTTTGAGGCATTGGTTGGTTTGTAAGGCATTATTGCATTGCATTACGTATGGCATTGTGGCTAGCGAGCATATGGATGGATGGAATGGGATGGGATGGGATGAACTGGGGGTGGGGTGTGGGATTTAATATGATATGAGATGAGATGAGACGATACGATAGCTTCATGAATGAGGGTGGTGATGAATGGTGATGGATGATGGATAGGATCGTATGAAATGAATTGAGATGAAATGAATTGAGATGAAATGAATTGAGATGAGATGAGATGAGATGAGATGTAATAAAATGAATGAAATGAAATCAAAGTGGTTTAAGCTTGAGATAGATGATTTAAGATGATTTGAGGTGACTGAAGGTAACTTGAATAAATGATTGACAGTTAAGAGTTGGGGTGAGGGAGATGGTGTAAACTAAACTAAACTAATCTATATCAACTTAATAAAGTAAGTAAGGGGATAACGGAAAGAGTAGTAAATAGCAAGGGAGTATGTAAGTAAGCAAGGAAGAAAGGAAGAGATATTGTACCGTACCGTATGGTATCTGATAGGTGTAAAGAGGTTGTGATTATTATATAGGATATAAGATAATATAATATAAGATAAGATGAGTTGCGTTGGAAAGGGATAGGATGGGATAGGATAGGATAGGATGAGATGGTAAGATATATAAGAGGGGAGGGACGGGAGGGGGTAGGATGGTATGGCAAGGACGGTACGGTACTTGTCTATGTCACTCACTCTAGGTCGTACCTACCTAGGTACTGTATACTTGTACATATGTACATGAGAGAGACCGTGATAGCCGGATCGGATCGATTTTCATCTTGGATGTTTGTTGGAGTTGGATGCTCGTACGAGTACGGATTCATCAAGCAACTTGGAATCTGAACATGACATGCATAGAAAGTTCATCACGTGGAGATTATGGAGGGGACGGGAGCTGATGGATGGATGGATGGTGGGGTAAAGGTAGCTCCAAGTAGCATGCATCTCCAACGAGAAAGCCATCCATCTACTCGTCATCACCTAGAATCAAGACTCAAGTCTCAGACCACCCAAAACCCAACACAAGCTCCTGCCCTCGTAACTCAACCAATTGACATCTAGACCTCTACCAACCTACACAAGAGAGGATATACCGACACCAACAAAAAGCACTTTCAAAATAGCTTCTACAGCCAATACCCGCCTCCAGCGTCTAGCACGCAGCATGTCGACCACCGCCACGACCCCCTCAACCGTTGGTCCCGCACCATGGCGACCCCTCTTCCTATCACACATCGCAAAGATGTCGTCGCCCGAGTTCGTCTTCAGCTCTCTCGCGGCGACAGAAGAGAAAAACGCACCCACGCCCTACGTCCCACGGGCGCGATATTGCATCTTCCGTGGGATGTGGGCGGAGCTGCCGGAGAATAGACATAATGATGCGCCGAAGAATGAGAGGGTTTACGAGAGTGATTTGTTGACTTTGACTACGGATGTGAGGATGCAGAAGGTGCCGGAGTTGTTTGCTAGTTCGGAGGGGAGGGGGGATGTGAGGCAGAGTCAGGGGAGTGGAGGGGGAGGGCCGGTGGAAGCGGTTTTTTGGGTGAAGGATGTTATGACACAGTGGCGGATTCGAGGGGATGCGTATATCGTGGGCCCGGATATTGAGGGGGAGGGGGAGGAATCGAGTGGGACGCGGACGACGAAGAGTAACGTTGGTGAGAGGATGAGAGTGGTGAAGGAGGAGGGTAAGGAATCATGGTCTTGGGCGACTGAGCTCACTGCACATTTTGGTAATCTCTCACCGGGTATGAGGGGTAGCTTCAAGAACCCCGCACCAGGGACGCCGGTTTCTGTCCCGCCTGAGGATAAGTCGTTGGCATTGGGCCAGAAGGTGTGGGATTTACATGATGAAGCTGCGAGGAAGAACTTTCGAGTGGTTATTATTAGACCCGAGTTGGTTGAGCAGGTTGACTTGACCGAAGCCGACAAAGCTCGGCGGTGGCAGTATACCTTTGTCGGGGGAAAGGAAGGAGGGGAAAATCTACAACACCGAAGTGAAGTTGGACATTGGAAAGTGGAAGAGTTGTGGCCATAGAGAAAGAGACATGGAGAAAAGAGAGGATCCTCCGAAGACAGGCATGAAGGGTCAAGGGCCCTTGTTTTAGTAAGAAAAAGATAGCGGCAATGGAAAAGGAGCCTCTGACTCGATATTTAGAAAGGCGTGCTTGCATCTGCTTCAAAAACTTCGGAAGATTCTCAAGCAATATGACATGTCGTCTTTGTCGATGATATCTTTTCAGACCTGATGCGAATAGACTGTTTTGATTCGATGGTGTTCCCCTTCTTGGCGTCCATAGCCCTGCCCCCAAGACTGAGCTCTTACGCCGCTTTTCTGCAAACACCACGTTGAGACAGGGAATCAATCAGTCTTGCTGTCGCCATCGCCCCTGTTAATAATGATCGTGATGCCACGAGAGATTCGACCTTGGATGGCCTGGAAATTCTTCGAGAACTTCTTGAAACGTGAACTCACTTTTACAAAGATTTTTTTTGGAGGGCAGGTGCTACTTCTGATTTGGCAGCTGCCAGCTCAGCGGCTCGGCATGGCCGAAGGTAGAGACACATTGAGTTGTTTGCTTTCGACGTTACGAAGTATCATGTCCTCGTGTTGACCTTGACTTGAGGATACTTTTGGTGGTTGGGTTGGTGGCTGACTTGTACATCTCACAAGTCTCGTAGGAAGTTATTAAATCACCACCTCTCACGATTCTACCCACAATCCAATCTATTTGTACACCGCAATCAAGATGGTCAGAAACGTCAAAAGGCCAAAAGGAAACCGCACAATTGTTTATGTGCCGTGTCGGGGCGCGTAAGCTTTATCCAGCAGGACCGACTGCAACGTCAATCCCCTAGAGAGGGAAGCAGACGAGACAACTTTACTCGAATAAAGCGCTCCACCGACAAAATGAATACACGTGGTGTACGTACAGTCTGACAGCCGGCAATATGTACCGGCACCGTTCGGATAGAGAGGATGATTGATGACCACAGCGTCTTGTGCCCTCCGCCAGTGGCCCGTCCCGCAGTGCAGGAGGATGGGGAACGGCTTACACTTACCAGGCCGAGGCTTGGAGGGTAGCTTCAGAGTGAGATAAATCATATTCTTTCACACTGTGGTGAGATGGGGATGTTGGGTTGGATGTTTCGTGGGGGTTCGCAAGCATTTGCCCAGTGCAGGAGATGATCTGCTCTCTCTCGTCGTCTAGATAACGTCGTGGTCAGCAGAGGCGGCGGCGCATGGCATCGATCGCATGAAGAAGGAAAAAGAAGGAAAAAAGAGCAATCCATTTAATTCGTTTCAATTAAGCCAATTCCGGTCCATAGGGCTCTTGTGGATCGTTTAGATGCAATGTGGCTCCGTACCCTTACAACCAACACGTCTGCACCTCGATCCTCCTGTAGGGTCGTTTCCCGTCGGCAGTCATACGACGACGTTGCCTCAGATTGTATTCGTTTCACGACCATTGGCCACATTTGGCGGCAGATGCACGGGAGGAGCGAGTTTAATATATATCGAGCGGGAGATGCCGTTTGCTGATATATGCTGTAGAAGATTTTCTCCATCTGTAGGTATATCGATACATGTGATATGTATGTATGCACTGGCTGCTCAAGATGGTTGTGTGTACCTAGCCTACTCGGTTAGCCTGTCAAGCTGCACTGCTGCAGTTTGTAGACCTCTTGACAAGGGCTTTCTTCTCCACACACGCCCTCGGTGAAAGGTGATTGGACTTGAAAAGTGCAATAGCCAGAGACCACAAATTAGATTGCATTTTGAAGGCTTTGAAGGGACCAGGGCTATCTATAGACCTCTGGTTGAGGTATTGATAGGCGTTGATAGCTTCCACGTTCCCTCGCTAACATTGAATTCGAAAAGGATGCGGCTCGGTTCCGTGACCTTATATGACACCAATATGTAGAAATCGCGAAAGGGTTTTGTTAAAGGGAACACGACCTGTTCTTCCTCCAACACATTTCTCGTATCTGTAGGGAGCGTATCTCGGATGCAGCACGTATGATTTTGAAGCGGTGATTGCCTTCAGTGCATGCTAGCGAAGCACTTTACCGCGGACTTAAGCTGTGTGTGAACGGAGCATGGAGTTGGTAAATTATGTGGTTGTCTTTGCAGCGAAATACAAATGCCGTGAGACTTCCCTTCTAGTCCCTTGGCAGGGCTTTGCAGGGCTTTGCAGGGCTTCACAGGGCTACGCTTCCACATCCGTCACCGGTTGGCAAACCGTCAACCTATCGGATTTGGTAGTCAGCTCTTCTCAATCTCAACACCCACACTCGCCGTTGAACAGCAATGCTGTCAATGCAATTGTGCATAACAGAGCGGCCCTCTGCAACGCTCTGCCCCTCTGCCCCTCCTGCAGCGGGTGAGCGACGCCTCGCATTGAGATGTCGGTTGTCTCTGATTTGTTGCGAGGTACGGAGGACTCGGTACTCTTCATACCTAGAGTAGGTAATACATAGGAACTCCACACACCAGCATCCATTTCAAAAGGCAACATTGGCCATGCACACGCCAGACATCTCATCGGGGAGACTTTGATAGGGTTACATCAATCGTTTAGCACCGTCCAAAAATACGCCTACGTTCCCCTCCATCTACGGTACTGTACGAAAGAGTACAGAGTGCTTCCGTACCTACGTGGCCGAGGTCGTGTGCTTCCTTCTTTCTGAGACCCGGAGCCGGAGCCGAGTGTCTAGACGACCTTACAGGCTTCTCTCCGTAAGAAGCCGACCGAGGCAAGAGTCCAACACCTAAAAGTGCACTAGTGTACCCGCAGAACCCCGCCGCCCGAAGCAAAAGAACAAAAAGAGCAAAGTTTGCGGCAGCTTTGAAATTCGTCGACTTTAGCTTTCTCGCATTGCGGCGTCGGCACAAGTCCCTGTGGAGATTGAGGGTCCATTACTGTATCCATTCTCCCCTGCGACAGTGGGGAGTGGGGTGGACTAGAAGCTAGAGCCCTGAAGCTACTTCGTAGAAGCTGCTCCCCTGTAGCTTTTTTTTATGAGGCCGTGAGGCCGTGACGCCCTCACTAGAGCTGGTTTGGTGGGAGCACCAGTACGGAGTACCTCCGAGACTGCGTACGAGTATTTACATACAACCCTCCTCCTCCTGCTGTGCTGCTGCACTCCAAACAGCCGATCAGTACCATTGTCCTCCCCCACCGTTTGACTAGATTCTCACGATGCCTCATTGATTGCACATTCCCTCCCTCTGCCATCGTCTCCAATACCCGGCAGCTCCAAATCTCTCTACGCCCATCGATACTCCGTACCCACCTGCATAATCAATTCCCCGGACCCCTCCACACCTCACGATACCGCCCCTCCACGACTAATTCACAACCATGGCAACCGCCAATTTCTCCATTAGTGAGGCTCTAGAAACCCTTCGCACCTCAATTCCAACATGGAATCAACGTCTCGACGAATTGAATGGTCAAATAGCTTTGCGACAAATAGAACTCGCACGTCTGGATGCCCGAGAAGAAAATGGCCAACGTCCACCCTCAACACGTTCCCTCAAAAATAAAGGATCATCAGAATCCCTCCGGCCCAAAGAAGCCGATGACAACAATCCCTTTGCTATACAGGATACAGATATTCTACCCAGCCCCCCTTCCGCATCACCCAAATGCTCCTCTCCAAAACAGCAACAACCCTCCTTCTCCCCAATACGCCGCTCCAGCTCCTCCATAAAACGCGGCATGGCTTCCAGACCGCCCAAATCGAACGGGAACTTCCGCGAATCACCTACCTCTACCCAACGTCAAGCCCCCATATATAATTCTAATAATGAAGCCCCCCCTCAAGCACATCCTAAAAATGTTCTACGAAAAAGAAGAACCGGTTCCATGGCTTCCGGCGAATCTGGTGTAACATCCAAACACCGAACCCGCTCCATGATAATCGTCTATTACGATAGCGCCGTGCAAACCGCTTTCGAAGAACTTGTTAGATTTGTGAGTGGAAGTCGCAATTCGATGCGGAAGGGGAAGATGGCAGCCAAGATGGCAGAGATGAAGCGAGCTGCGGAGCTGGAAGTCGAGCAAGACGAGGAAAATGAAAGTAATTTTATGAAAAACAATGGGAATGGCAATGCTATGAAGGCAGACAGTAAAGCAACGTCTTCCAACTTAGCTGCCGATCCCTTGGCGGTAGGTGAGGAGGACGACGAGGACGAAGGTATGGGAATACCACAACTCAAGTTCGTATCAACAAGACAAATGGGACCACCAAGAGCAATCAAAGGACCCGATCCCTCAAGTCAAATCCTCGGCGCAGGAATGCGACGCTCCTACCGGAGAGGAGGGGACAGTGACTCCCCCGATATCTTTGACGAGCTGGATAAAGGACTAGAATGGTGCCAAAGTCAATGCGAAGCCGGGGCCCATAACTTTCTACGAGAGGGAGAATGCGCGACCGAAATCACGAATATCAAGACGAAACTTGCAGAGGTCAAAGTGACGGCGGAGAAGGAAATCGAGAGGTTGAAGAAGGAACCTCCCATTTCTCCCGGGCGACAGAATCTCTCTGTTAAACCACCAAGGGGATTGAAACAGCCGCAAGTCAGGAAAGACTTCACCACGACCAAGGAGCTGGAGGTGGATGATGAGATGGATGATGAGGGGATGGGGGAGATGAGTCCACCGAAAGTGGTGTTTAAGAGATCTGGAGAGTGATTTGTCTCCTCTCTACTCCCTCCCCTCCCCCTTTCGACTTGGGCTGAGAACGCAATGAGTGCGGGTTTTTAATGACGAAATGAATGGATGAATAATATATTGAGGTTTTGAAAGAGGGGGAAAAGCATTTTTTATACCCATACGTTTTCTTCTTTTCCCCTCTCGCTTTTCTTTTCTTTTTTGGCGTGTGGGGGGGATATATAGTAGTACCCTTATGCCTCTAATTGTTTATTATGTATTGGGAATGATGGGTTCATGAATTAATGAAGGGATGAATGGATGAATGGAAAAGGAACTCTTATTTACTTTACCTTGCATAGTATGGTATAGTTGGGGTTAAGGGGTATGGGTATAGGTATAGGTATAGGTACGGAATATAACATGAAGGGGGTAGGGGAAGGTCTATATAAATACTTCTAAAATACTTCTAAAATACTTCATCCACAATATCTCCCAGACAAACGGGTGTAGATTTAAAGTGGGTCAAAGGTGTGCTACCCTACCTACCTAGGTAGGTAGGTACGGCCTAGAGTGGCATAGATAAGTACCGTACTTGCTATACTATCCCCCCTTTTATGTATGATGTATCTTACTACTATATACCAACTTATATTATATCATATCTTACCATATCATATTATATATTGAAAGACTCTAATAACCATAACCTCTATATACTTATTATATACTATATCTCTTCCTTGCTTACTTGTACCTCCTATTCTATTATCCCCTACTATTATCCTAACGTCTTATCTAAGGTTCTTACCATTCTTCCTCGGCCGTTAGGTTCGTTATAGATTTCAATATAAGATAAGAAAGATTACTTACTTACTCTATAATAGTTAGTACGTCTTCCTACTACGCTTAGTCGCTTATAGTTAGCGGAAGTGAGTATAACGCGGAAGTAAGTATAACGCGGAAGTAATTATAACGTTTAGTATACGTATATAGCTCTTAACTACGATATAGCGCCCTATCTACCTTTTGGAAAGACATGTAAATTATATAGATTTATAGGTATAATTAATTATTATCTTACACGAAAAGAGTACGTTTTTTTGATATAAATTACGTATAATATAGACGAGTTTACGTATTTATATACCTTAATCGATTTTAGTACGGTACTTACGTAACTGTCACGAATCACGTGTTCACGTGATAAGAGAAGACCAGGCGGCGTCCTGAAAGGTCAAGCACTATCAGTACTCTTATAGCAAATAGGGACGCTTGGGCTAACTAAGCGATCCAGGGATTTCATTCGGTTAGTATCACGTGACAGGGTCACATGATCGTTGGAGCTTGCAGGAGCTTGCGTTGGAGCTTGAGGATCTTGGGCTCCCCGTAGGCTCCACGAGAACGAAGGTTCTATATAAGACTGGCACGTCTGCCTTTAGATAGGAGCTTCGTGCTCAACTTAGTTATCAATCTTATCATATTAGTTTGACATCTTTGATACAAGTAACGAGTTCACTTCCAAGTGAACAACCCGATAGTCTTCTTCTTATCATAGCATACCAACCAGCGAACACCCAGCCAAGTTTAGTTAGCCAGTTTGAGTATTCGTTACACTACGTAGCGGTACTTCTAGTAGTCGGAAACGTATATTTTTCGAGGATAGAATAGTAATTAATTAACCCTATAAATCGGTCTTATTTTTATATTATTCTAATATATATATATATATAGCTACGTAGGCGCAAAGAGCCGTATACGCGTATAGGTAAGGCTTAAGTACGTATACGGCTCTCGGTATAGCTTAGCGTAGCTATACGAGTAATACGACGTAATACGAGTTCTTACCCTTGCAAAGGCTATAAGAGTCTCCCTAGAGACTCTTATACTAAGATTAGTATTTTATATTCTTATCCTTAGATAATATATATAACTAAACCTAAGAATATTACTGTAACGAATACTCAAACTGGCTAACTAAACTTGGCTGGGTGTTCGCTGGTTGGTATGCTATGATAAGAAGAAGACTATCGGGTTGTTCACTTGGAAGTGAACTCGTTACTTGTATCAAAGATGTCAAACTAATATGATAAGATTGATAACTAAGTTGAGCACGAAGCTCCTATCTAAAGGCAGACGTGCCAGTCTTATATAGAACCTTCGTTCTCTTGTGCTAGCTTGCTAGACTCGTCGCTCGGTCGCTGCTAGACTGGTAGACCAGTCGCCCCGTCTAGCGACATATATCACGTGATAACAATACAGAGAAATCCCTGGATCGCTTAGCTACTCCAAACGATCCCTATTTGCTATAAGAAACCTGGATGTGCCTGTCGAGGATTGCGCCTCTTATTATGACAAGTATCACGTGAGCACGTGATTCGTGACATAGGGATCCGAGGAATAAGGGAAAAATCTATATCGAGATAAGAGTGTTATAAGTTACTAGATTAAGTTATATATATATTTATAAACTCTTAGCTTAACTCTACGAAAAAATATAAGGTAAATACTATACTAAATATTAAGGTTCTCGAGTACCTTTAGATATAAGTTATTTATATTTATATACTCGCTTTTAGGCTTATTAAAGTAAAGAAGTTTAGAGCGTTTCTATACTATCTAAATCCTATAATTTTAGACTATTTATTATAATTATATAATATTATTTAAGCTTAGATTACTAATTAATTTATAATTTGAAAGGCTTTCATTTATAGACTTTTTAATAATATATATAGTAAAATCTATATATCTTATAACCTCTAGAGTTTACTAAATAACCTAGCTATTTTTAGCATTATTACGTATTTTATTAAATAAGATAAAAGACTTAAATTAATTATTCTAGGTTTTAAATAATTAAAGTTGAAATATAATAAAAAGTACTTTATTAGTATTTAGTAACTAGAATTCTATTTTATTCTAGAGAGGGGGTCTAGAAAGTTCTATTTCTTTTATAAGAAGGTCTAGAATTATTCTATTCTATACTTCTAATTCTATAGAAATTCTATAGAATTTTTTATATAATATAGAAAAATATCTCTTCGCTTTATTTAGCTAATAGAAAGCCTTAGATTCCTAGAGTTGTATATATTAAAAGCTTTAATAATATTAAAGATTATAGATTCTTATTAATACTATAACTTAACTATTACTATATTATCTTTGTATATCTTCTAAAGTAAATAGAGAGCCTTAGTATTATTTAGTAAATCTTCTATATCTTAAATATTACTAGACCGTAGTTCTCGAGCTATATAAAGCCTATAAAGCTATTATAGTTAAGGATAATTAAGTATAGGTCTATAGTTAATTAATATTTACTTTACTTAAATCCTACTCTCTAACTAGTTATTATATATACTAGAATTCTATTTTCTATAGAATTCTAGAACCTTTTTAATAGAATAATACGTTTAATAATAATATAGTGATAAAAGAGATTAAATAAAGTAAGTTACTTATACTTAAATCAATACTACTAATTCTAGAGCTAATAATAATTATTTATTAGTTATATATTATAAATATTAAATAATCTACTTTAATACTCTTAAACGTTATATACGCTATATAGGTTATATTATTAAGCTTATTATTTAAGCCTGTCTTTTTAATATTACTAAAGATATACTAAATTCTAAGTACTCGAGTAATAGTATAAACCCTTTCGCTATAATTAAGAGGTTAAAAGAATAGTGTAAGAGTAGTTTTCTAAGTAAACTTTATAATATTATTATTTATATCTAGAAAAGTATTTAGCGTTACTATATATTTAAGGATATTATAGAACTAGGCCGCGGATTAAAAAGAAATAATTTAATATATTAGAACTCGTAGTATAATATATTTAAAAGCGTAGTAAATTTATAAGTATAAATTAAAGAGTTCTTTAAACTCTAGCTTCCTAAAAGATTTAATAACTATAAGTATAAGAATAATATACTTTCCGAGAATAAATAACGGATTATTAGTATTATATATTACTTCTTATAAGCCTTTAAATAAACTCCTAAAGCGCTTAAATCTAATAAATCTATACTATTAAGGATAAAATAGGAGACTATTAGAATAAGCTATAAAAGTAGATCCTTTAAAGTAGCTAGCTAAAGTAAAGTAGTACCCTAATATAGGAGCTCTCTTATACTATAGAACCTTTTTATCTAAGACTAGCGTAAGACTAGTATAACCTATATAAAACTAGACTTAACCCTTCTAGAACTATATAGAGTATAGTTTATCTCGCCTAATATAAGATTTATATACTAAGTAAATAAAGTGGTAAACTCTAGTACGTTCTATAATAATTACCCTCGAAAAAGAAAAAGATAATATCCTAGCGTTATTAAGTATATACTCTAAAGAGTACTAAAGATACTAAGAATATATCTATTAATTATAATAAAAGTCCGGACCTATTATTTATAGAAATAAAGAACCTAGTTCCTTCTTCTAGGAACTAAATATATAAAGATTATTAAAAAGTAACGTAATCTATCTTAAATCTAACGCGAATCTAATATATCTATTTTAAATAAAAGAAAAGTTATCTTATTATACTCGTTATAGAATAATCTTATAAATAGTAGCCTTAAAATCCTTAATAACCTCTAAAGCATTACCAAGATCCTTAATATCTAACTATTAGTTCTCCTTAGGTCTATATTCTTTTTAGTAAATAAGGTATCGAATCTAGCTATTTTATATAGCTTTTTTATATATAATCCTTTTAATCTTATATTCTAAATCTCTTTTAATAATAATAGGCTTACGTAAAACTATTTATTAATTAAATAGGTCTTAATTCTTCGGAGCTAGCTTAAGTTAAGTAACTAAAATAACGTTATAAATATATTATTTTATAGTAATTTAAGGTAATACGTAAGTCGTCTAATTCGCATAATTACTTTAAGTAGTCTAATTTATTAACAGAAGAGTTTACGTCTAAGAACTATTATTAAAGGGATATAGTATCCTTTATATAATTTTAAGAATACTTTATCTCCTAGCTTAAAAAAGAGTAGTTTATACTTTTTATTAAA